CAAAGGGTTGGGCTTCCAGGCAGGCGCTAAAACCACAGAAGAAACACAGCTACCGCTTGACAGGCTCCAAAAGCAGAAAGGAGAGAAATACCTTGGGTTCTCCCCTCCCAAACTTCCCATTTCCTGCCAGGAACTCCCATTGGCTGAACCTAACCAGAAGACAGTAGGTGAGGAAGCCTCAGAAATGCAGAGTAGCCCCTTGGGATTCAAAGCAGGGGAAGGCAGGGAAGAATCCAAGAGAAAAGATTACAAGAATTGGAAAAGGAAATACAAATAGCCAATAAACGTAGGAAAATAGGTTCAATCCCATTAATAATCAGGGAAATGCAACTTTAAACCACAATGAGATGCCATTTTACTCCCCACCAAAAACGTTAAAATGCCAAGTGTTGATGAAGATGTTCAGCAGTGGGAACACCTGTACACACCACTGGGAGTGCAAGTTGAAAGCACATTACCAGTGTCTAATAATGTTGATGCTGAACACACCCATGCTCCAGAAATTCCAATTCTAAGAACACACCATCAGGAAAATCCAGCAATGTGTACCAGGAAATATGTACAAAAATGTTCACAGAGGCATTGCTAAGGACAACAAACTACCCAGCTGGAACCTACCCAAATGTCTGCCAACATGAGAATGGATAAAGTGTGCGTTATTCTTCCAATGGAACACCACATAAAAATGAACGAACTATAGCTACACACACCAACAAAGATGAATGTCACAGGCGTAATTTTGAGCAAAAAAGATAGGTAGCCAAAAAACCTCTAAATGATTCCACTTACATAAAATTAAAAAACATGCAAAGTATATAGACTGTTCAAGGAATGAATCATATATGAGAAAACTGTAAAGAAAAGAATGATAAATAAACAATTCAGAGTAGTGGTTACCTCTGGGTAGGAATAAGATGGATATGATCAGGAGGAGGCCCACAAGCATAGCTACTCTTTTTTGGGTATAATATATTTTATAATTAAAAACATGACTTTAGAGGTCCAAAAAGCTCATGTTCCCTCTCCCTAATTGTAATTGGGAATAGAGCAATACTAACACTCTCACACTCATGAAAGTTCTATGTTTATCTTCACTTATGGCTATTGACCTTGGCCGAGTTACCTGTCTTGCCTATGTTGTCTCAGTTTCGACATTTGTAAAATGAGGATAATAGTAGTAACTTCATAGGATGATTATTAGATAAGACAGCACATGGGAAATGCTCAGCACAATGGCCTGGCACCCACCGGGTGCCAGATGTCTGTTATTTTGCTCACATCAATGTCTCAACTTGGAGTGTCCTCCCCACTGCCTCTATCTACTGAATATTACTCATCCAAGGACATTCAGCCCAGTGCCTGAAGACTCTCCTTCTCCCTGTAGCTTTCTCCCTCTTTTTTATTATTATTTTTTTTACTGAGGTTATGATAGTTTATGACACTGTGAAATTTCAGTTGTACGTTATTATTTGTCAGCCACCATATAGGTGCACTCCTTCACTCTTTGTGCCCACTGACCACCACCCTTCTCCCTGGTAACCACTAAACAGTTCTCTCCATCCATGTTTTTGTTTATCTTCCACATATGAGTGAAATCATATGGTGTTTGTCTTTGTCTGGCTTATTTTGCTTAACATGATATTCTCAAGGTCCACTCATGTTGTTGCGAATGGGACAATTTTGTCTTCTTTATGGCTGAGTAGTATTCCATTGTATATATATATATATATACCACATCTTCTTTATCCAACCATCAGTTGCTGGGCACTTGGGTTGCTTCCATGTCTTGGCTATTGTGAATAATCCTGCAATGAACAGAGGGGTGCATAAGTCTCTTTGAATTGTTGATTTCATGTTCTTTGGAGAAATACCCAGTAGTGGTATAGCTGGTCATTCGGTATTTCTATTTTTAAATTTTTGAGATTTCTCCCTCTTTTATTTTATTTATTTATTTATTTATTTTTGAGGAAGATTAGCCCTGAGCTAACTGCTGCCAATCCTCCTTTTTTTGCTGAGGAAGGCTGGCCCTGAGCTAACATCCATGCCCACCTTCCTCTACTTTATACGTGGGATGCCTACCACAGCATGACGTGCCAAGCGGTGCCACGTTCACACCCGGGATCCGAACCAGCGAACCCCGGGCTGCCGAAGTGGAACGTGGGCACTTAACCGTTGTGCCACCAGGCCAGCCCCTCTCCCTCTTTTAAATGCCTAGACCTCCTGTTGCCTGCACCAGGCATTTGCCATGTATTTATTTATTCATTCATCCTACATGAGGCATTTACTACAAATTTATTCATTCACTCATCCAGCAAATCATGGGCCAGGTACTGGGAACACAGAAGTGACTAAAGCAGACATAGTCACCGCCTTCCTGGGTTCTGCTGCCTGGGGAGGGAGACGGACATTCAACAAATGAGAAAGTGCATAATTATTTAATTCAGCTGTGCTAAGTGCTATCAGGACAAAGTGGGGGATGCATTGCAACGCCACCACAGAGGAAGCTCACCTAGACTGCAGAGTCAAGAAAGATTTGCTTGAGAAAGTGACATTTAAGGTGAGACTTGAAGGATACACTGCTTTCTGTTGTCGCTATAGATAATAAATATTTATTGAGGTTCTATAACCTAGGTGGAGTATCAGTGCTCATGTACCTACAGAAAAAATAGCAGCAGGAGGTAGCCCGTGTTAAATGCCAAGTAAACAGAATGTACAACATTATCTAGATGTTTGGAATCCCCAACAGTCAGAGCTCTTCTTAGAAACATTTTATACAAAATGTGGGATTTGAGCAGAGCATTAACTGGAAGGCTGGAACTAAGACAAGGGAGGGGGAAAGAGGCATTCTGGATAGGGGGAAATATGCTATACGGGCAGAGACAGGAAAAGGCAAGACAGATTCAGACAGGTTGCCTGAACCAAGGAATGACAGAAGAAGGCAGTTAAAGATAAAGGTCAGATCATAGAGGGGATTGCTTATCATAGATGGAGTTTTCTTTTTGTATCATGGGCTTCTTTGAGACTCTCAGGAAAGCCTTGGGCCCGTCCTCCTACTCCAAAACAAGTGCATTCATAAAGCTGCATACAATTTCAGGGGTTCACAATCTTCCCAAACTCCCGTTAGGAACCCCTGCTATAAGCGAGTAGCGCTGAAAGGATTTGAGTAGAAGAAAGGTGGCATGTTCCAAACAGCGTTAGCACAATTCGTTTGCCTAAGAGGATAAGACTGTTGGCAGTAAGGTCAATTGAGAAACTATTGTAATATAACGCAAGCAGGAACTCATATAGCCCTAGGCTAAGGCCTAGGAGTTCTAGGAGTTCTAGGAGTTCTGAGGTTCTAGGAGTTCGTTAATTAAGTAAACTAATATTTATCGGGAGCATACTCTGGGATAGGCCTGGTGTTCAGTGTTAGGGATGCGTTAATGAAGAAGATAATGAAGGAGATAAGAGCACTGCCCTCAAGGAGCTCCAAGCTGGGCAGGATCAGAAAGGCAGGCAGCCACAGATGGCGGAGGGCTGAAGAGCAGCAGCAGATTGTCTTACTCAGAACTTTCCACTGCCCATTCCCTAGAGAATTAAGTCAGTCTTTAATATCATATTCAAGGCACTTCACAAAATAGCTACAACCCATCTTTCTGCTATCACTTCCTCTCAGGCCTCTTACCACAACTACTTTGAACACCCACCCACACACACACCCACACACACACACACACACACACACACACACACACACGACCTACCCCGCAGGGTGGCCACACAGGACTCTTGACTGTCTTCTGACCCTGCTTTGCATTTTCCTGCCTCCATTTTGTCAGTATTTTCCTCCCCCCCCCCCCCCCCCCCCAGGGCTGTCAAATCCCAGCCTGGTCAAACTCCTACCCATGACCCATTCTTCAAGGCCCAGTTGAGGTTTTGCCTTCCTTGAAGCTTTGTCTGAGTCTCCATGCATTCTGCCCTGAGTTACTGTGTGTGCCTCAGTCTACCCCAGTACTCAGTAAGTTTGAGAGCATGAGGATGTTGCCTTTTATCTTATCCTGAGAGGTGCCCAGGCCTTCTGATGGCAAGTGCTCAACATATCTACTGAAGTGAAAGGCTAGAGCCCAGGGAGAGCACGGAGTCAAGGTAGACTTGTGAGTCAGTGAAGCCTTTGTGGTTGGAATCAGGAAAGGCAACCTAAATGTTCACCTCCTGGTGGAAGAATTCACTCTTACAGGACAGGGATGCAGGCCATCCCAGGTATACACCAAGTGCATAGTAAATATGGGGTTTAAAAATACAGGACATTCATATCTAGGCAACTTAGGTCACCCTATCTATAATGATAGCAGTTTCCATAGGAAGAGGATCAAGTCTACTCTCACAATTGGCAGTTTGGGGAGCAGACTTCCGCATTTCTACTGGATTATAATTATTATCGTTGTTATTATTTATCAGGAAAAGAGTTTACTTGCAAAGGTCAAATGGGTATAAAGCCTAAATCATCCTTGGAAGTATTATAGTGTCACTCGAACAGCTCTTGCTTTTAATTCTTTAACAATTGCGGGTGGGACTGCACCGTGTCGTTACCTCACCTTTGTTTGCGTTATCAAAATACGCAAGACGTTGCCCAGGACGACTGAATTCTTTGGCTCGACCGCAGCTGCAACACCACAGGTGCACACTTCCCCCTTTGGGATACGAGAGGATGTGGGTGCCTCTTCAGCCTAGCCGTGCATTGAAAAAGTCACGCCTGACTGCGGGGCGTTAGGCAGAGAACAGGGTCCCCAACTGACTGAACCCACCCACTAAGACGCTGCCAGGTCCCAGCCAGTGCTGCGCCTCCTCAACTCTACTGATGAAGAAGGGGGGCCAGGGCCCCCAAGCCGGGTAGTCTGGCGGCGCTCGGCTCTCTCGCTCCCCACGCACTTCCCGCCTCCTCGCGGGTCCCGCGCGTCGCAGGTGTGCAGAGCATCTCCCGTGTCGTCTTCCCGCCTCCTGTCCCCTCCTCCCCGCCCCGCCCTCTCCCCGGCCGGGGGAGGGGGGGAAGGATATGAAGATCTGAGTGGCCGAGGGCGGCCGGGGCGGGGCCGGGGCGGCCCTGGAGGCCCAAGGCAAAGTCGCCGGCAGGGCAGGCTGGGCGCACCAGGAGGGTTGGGTGCTGCGTGCGCCCGAGGACCCGGTGGGACCACTTGGCCGGCTCAGGATGAGGACGCGCTGGACGACCCCTTGCCGCGCGGCAGAGCTCCTCGTGCTGTTCCTCCGGTGCTTCGGACTGGCGGAGCCCTTTGGCCGGGCAGGTAACCGCGGGCGCGTCCGCCAGCCGGCCGGCTAGGGGCCTCGAGGCTGCCAGGTCTGCCGACTCTCCTCGCTTCGGGTTAGGGCTGCGCTCCGAGGTCACGTCACCTCTGCTTTCCTCAGGGGTCTGGAGCCGGGCAGGAGAGCCGAAGGGGAGGTCTGGGGACAGGGCGTTCTATTGCCCTTGGGGGCCGGGAGGAGGGCGGGGTGGGGCGTGGAGGGCAAAGTGTTTCTGGTGTTGAGGGCAAGGAGTCCACGGTAGGAGCGGCACAGAGTCTTTTCTGGAAAGGTTCCCCGCCCCCTCCTGGTCCTCTCCTCTAAAATCTTGCTTCCCTGAAGTATGGGGCCTCTCAACACCCTCTATGCCCCATCATACCCGTCTCGCCCCTCCTTCATCCCTTGGTCTCCTTGGCCACTCAGTGTCAAGTGCAGCTTTCCACCCACGTCGCCAAGGATAAGCAATGACTCTCCGACTTTAGTGCGCCCACAGTGTACGTCAAAAAAGAAGTCAAGTTAAGCCCTGTCTCCTAACGTGACCGAGATCTTGACTTTGTTATGATGCCCTCCCCCCGTGCCTCAAGCAGCGACCCTTACTTCTAATTGGCTTATCAGCTCCAAACGACCCCTGCGAGGCTGACAGTCACACGCTGGAGCGCAGTTCGCTTGCCGGGCGACCTCCTGAAGCAGAAGCACGACCAGGAACAGACGCCCTTTGCTGATGCCCTGGGTGGTGTGAGCCCCACCATCTCCCTTGGCAGGAAGCGGAGTTTGCTTTTACTTTCTCTTTTTGCCTTGGTAAAAGGTGTGCTCAGGACTTTGTTTCTTAGTCTGGCTGTGTAATGAGCAATCAGTGGGCTGTCCCCACCTACACTTCTGTCATCTTGTCTCTATGAGGAAGTAAAAGATGGTCAAGGTAGTTTTTTAAAAACTTCAGGTTGCTTGTAGCTATTTTCTTTGCAGCTAAACTAAGTGACTATCTGATTTAGACTTTCTTCAGAGACTGATAGGAAGAGGTTCCCCAGAGTATTGAGTGGCATCGCCCTATCTACATGAAGGACCTTTTGATGGACCCTGCTCAGATTCACGCTTCTCGGTTCTTCTTTGACCCTACGTGTTGGAAACTACCAAAAGCCCTTTATTGCTGTGACAATTTTATTCTGCCTGCCCCCCATCCAGGGAGAAAACTTTCACTGCAGCAACTAACTACAGTCAAAACACACTAACCTTTCAGTCACTAAACTCCTGGTTTCCGTCTACATCTGTTTTAGTCTTGTCTGTTTTGTCTCCCCCACAGAAATCAAAATTTCCTTAATTTTTGCAATCTCTACAATTCCTGGCCTTTCTCATCAACCCAAAGCAAAGAGCAACAGCTTAATTCCATTCTCCCTGCACCAGGTCCTCGCGGGTATTTGTTTTCCTACAACTTTCCTCATCCTTAGCAGCTGCTGTGGTTGGCTTACACGCACCCTCAGACCAGACTTGTGGCCCTATTTCAGGGAAGCACTGGAGTTTTGAAACCCCACTCATTTGGGTAGCTTGTTTGGCAGTGTGTCAGCTTGACGATGCTGGTAATGGTGTGCGCTTTGTCACATGTACGCAGCTGGGTTTCTGCAGGTGGTCTCAGTTGCTCAGATGCTGGAGAAGTACCTCTGTGTCCTTGGGGAAATGCCAATTGCTTAGTTTATTTATTTATTTATTTTTTGCCTCCTTGGAGAGCTAACAGATTGAAGTAAACAAAATCTTCAGGGACTCCTGAGGTTTTCACCAGCCCACACCACCCAATCTGAACAACATGGCTTTCTGACTCCTCATAGACCGCCACGGTCCCAACTGTCACTTCAGGACCTGTTTTTGAACTAGCAAGCCCAGACTTCTGATTCTTTCCTGTTGCACCTGTGCACTCCGCACACATGGCGTGGCTTCACAAAGTGCTTAACAGTAAGGGCTGTGGAAGTTCTCCTGAAACTAAAAATGCTGCCGTCTTCATCCTTCCTGCCTTCCCAAGCCATCTGCCTCTCCATTTGTCTGTGGTCATGAAATGTTGATGTCCAGCTTCTCTTTGGAATGTGCAAGGCTCTCTGGTTTAGGACAAGACAGGAGTTAGTTAATGATCAGACAATAAGAGAGAGTTTTCCTTTGATTGATGTGGAAATACTAAAAATTCATTTTCAATTTATGATTATGCTACTTAGCCATTTCCTCTCAAACACCACGAGAATGTTTATGTAAAATGAAGCACATAACAAGTGGTACTGGGGCTGATGAGGCTTCTTTTCATCAACGTCTGCTTTTCAGACTTGTCCCAATATTGTATGTGGAGGTAAACATTAAAATTCCATTTAGGACCAGTCTAAGGTTATAAAGTGAACAAGATGCAATATAAGGAATAAGTAAAGAATCTGTTTTACAAATTGCTCTGTAATTACCTTTTCAAAGTGTAATACATTTCTGAAATATTTTATGTACATTTATTTAACAGATTTTCTAAATAAGCAATTATTTTAGCACTTCCTCAGTCTTTCTTCCCACTCTTTTTTTATTTAAAGATTGGCACCTGAGCTAACATCTGTTGCCAATCTTTATTTCTTATCCCCCGAAACCCCAGTACATAGTTGCATATTCTAGTTGTAGGTCCTTCTGGTTGTGCTATGTGGGACGCTGCCTCAGCATGGCCTGATGAGCAGTGCGATGTCTGAGCCCAGGATCCAAACTGGCGAAACTCTGGGTTGCCAAAGTGGAGTGTGAGAACTTAACCACTCGGCCAAGGGCTGGCCCCCTTCTTCCCACTCTTCAACCTACTATCCCAATAGGGTTGTAAGACTGAGGCACACTGAACAGCTCCTGCTAAGGGTAAGGAAAGATATGGGGAAATATCATGAGAAGGCAAAACTTTCCCTAGCTTATGCATTATGTATGAGCGCTTTACACATACATTACGTATGAAGACCAATAACAAGTTTCCTTAAGTCATATCAATAATTAATGTCTGTGGTAAGTGACCACTATAGGTGCCAAATGTTGACATTACATACTTGGTTAAAATACAGATTTAGAATGAGGCAAGTATCTACAGTAAAAGATGCTGCTATTGGGTGAGAAGTTTGGCAACTCCCCTTTAACATAGCTACTCCATGCTGCTCCATGCCTCTCCTGTAGTCTTTCAGAGTTGCTACAACCTTGTTAAGTCCAGAGTGTCCCAGAAGTAAAACACATAGTAAATGGAAAAGGGTAAAATATTTTTCTCTTCCAAATAATATTTATAAAGCAGCACTGTCACCTAAGTGCACATGCCCAGTACAAATGGGATTAGAATAACCTAAAATGCTACTAGCATTTGCATGACATAATAAAGTTGCGGACATCTGTTCAAGAACAGTATGCGAGAACTTAGCAAAGACTAGTAAAACCTGCAAGGGTAGGAAAGTTGTTGGCCTTGTGTAAGCACAAGATGTTAGTACCGGAAGTGGCTTAAATATCTTATACTCCACTGCTTTCATCTTACATTGAAGATATGAAGACCCTGGGGAGACTAGATGACTTCCCCAACATCTCCCAGCTATCTGGTAGCAGACATAGGTCTTCAGTCTAGGACCCCTAATTCTATGTTCCACTGCTCTTTCCACTATGCTGAGAGCTGTAGCTACTCCATTGGATTCTGCAAAGGCAATTTGAAAAATCTAGAACTCCAAACTGCAGGGGTAGGCACAGCTGCTGCTTGTCCAGTTCACCTGTATGGGGTCAAGGGGCACACAGCAGAGTGCTCAGGAAAGAGAGCAATGAGACTACAGGGTGGGAAAGGCAAAGGTTCCAGCAAGGGTGGCGGCCACCCATTCTCCTGCAGGAGCAGGCTGCTTTTTTTTTCTGCAGTAATTCCTGATACTTTGGAACACAAGATTTATTTTGGAGAGGTGAGAGAGAATAGTTTGGAAAAGAGGTAAGTCACGGGCCTGAGTCACTATTGGATATGTGGGAGAAGGACATTAGAGAAAGTATAAGGAATAATCTTCTAAGATAGTGCATTTTCCATTTTTCTTAACTATCCTCCCAAACTGTGTCCATAAAGTAGAGAATAGCAGAATGATGTCAAAGAAGAAAGAGTGAGGGATGGAAACTGCTATAGCAGACATACCTAGTTGCAACCCTATGCAATATTTTAAAGTACAGATTTGAAAACAGAAATAACTTAAAGTTTTAAAGGATTTTGTTGTTCTTATTGTTTCTCTTGTTGCTGCTGCTTTACTTTCTTTTTTTTTTTTTTTTTTTTTGGGAGGAACATTGGCCCTGAGCTAACATCTTTGCCAATCTTCCTCAATTTTGTGTGGGATGCCACCCCAGGGTGGCTTGATAAGCAGTGCTATGTCCACGCCTGGGATCTGAACCCGCAAACGCTGCCAAAGCAGAGCACGTGAACTTAACCACTATGCCACTGGGCTGGCCCTGCTGCTGCTATTTAAATAAAAAAATTCTGTCCAAAGTTCAAACTAGAATTAGACTTTATTTTATGGTTATTATTTACATGGTGAAATTTCCCCTCAAGTCCTTGGTACGCGAAATTTTAACCCTGAAAGCCTGTGAATTATTATTAGAAAAGCTGTTTACTGTTGGTAAAAAGCAGTGATTGTGAAACTGGCATCAAAAAGAAAGTGCCTTTTGGGAACTAAAATTTAACAGGTCCTTCTGCTGAACCCTTGGTTCATTGACAATGATTATTTAAGTTTGTCTAAAATATTTCAGCTGTACTCTCATCAACGTAAAGTTCTGTGCTATAACTTCAAAAGATTTTGTTTGGAAAAGTACTGACCAAATTGTTCAATTGTAGTTTGCTGTAATAGATGTGAATCTTGCTCCGGAAACTCAGGTGCACAAGAAACAATGTGTTACTTTATTTTCATAAAACCAAATTAAATTTTATTCTGAGGTCCCATTCCACCAGGTTAACAGAACTTCCGTGCCTGTCATTCCTGAGATCTTCCCCAGCTCATGCAAAACTGCCAGGGGAACAGTCAGGGAGGGCGTTCCCTTTGGCCTTTAGCTCACCCTGGTTACTTCTGAGTTTCCCTTGTCCAAACCCACTGGGTCTTGAATCCTGTGGCTCAGGGGATTCCCGGGGCTCAGGTTTGGCCTCCCTAGGTGATCCCCACAGTCAGTCCCTCCAGTCCCTCCCAGGGGCTTCCCATCACCTTCCTGGAGGTGCTGCGACTGTTGGCAACAGGTCCCCTCTACCTTCAAAACCCAGACCTCCATTTCCTCTCCTCCCTTTACCCCACTCTTCTCCTTCTGCCCCCTCAGAAGTCTCCCCATCTCCTCTGAGACACATCAACGTCATGTAATAATTTCTCCTGCCACAGTAGCTGAAATGTAAGCAAGACAGAATTGCGGTCCTGAATAGGTTCAGGATATTTTCTGTTGACCGTAGACCACCTGTCCAAGGAAAAGGAAAACTAAAGATCATCTTCATCTCATTAAATAAGGGGTAAAAATATTTCATGGAATAACAATAACAAATATGCATACTATTCTAAGTGCTTTACATGTGTGAGCTCATTTTATCCTCACATCTACCATGGGAAGTACTATTTTACAAAGGAGGAAACTGAGGCACAGCGTTAAATAACTTGCACTGATCAGCTGGCTAACAAGTAGCAGAGGCAGACTATGAATCCAGGCAGATTGGCTCCAGAGCTCATCCCCTTATCCCACACTGTATTGCCTCTCTGGCTACCTCTGTCCTCCAACCTTGTGTGGTACATTAGAGTTTATACAGCTTGGTACCCAGACTCTGCTCAGCAGACAGGTCCAAGGCACATTGACCACATAATCCAGAATCCTGAAATGTCTTCTTTGACTGTCTTGCCTCAGGTAATGATCCCTTCACCATCGTCAATGAAAACACGGGCAAGTGCCTCAAGCCACTGAATGACTGGATAGTAGCAAAGGACTGTGATGAAAGCAGGGATCTGTTATGGAAGTGGGTATCCCAACATCGGCTCTTTCATTTGGAATCCCAGAAGTGTCTTGGCCTAAATATTACCAAATCCACTGATTCCTTGAGAATGTTCAGCTGTGACTCGAATGCCATGCTGTGGTGGAAATGTGAGCACCACTCTGTGTATGGAGCTGCCCAGTACAGGTTGACTCTGAAGAGTGGACATGCCATAGCAAGTACAAATTCATCTGATGTCTGGAAGAAAGGAGGCTCAGAGGAAAGCCTCTGTGAGCAGCCTTACCATGGTGAGTATTGGAGAGGAACTTTGACTCATCTGCTGCTGTGTTTGGTAGATGCGACATTGAACATGCACAACTGACCACAAATAAAGTCATACACTGGTAAGGGCAGTGGGCTTAGCATTCAGTTCCAGGCACTATGGAGTAACTTAGCTACCTTTGTTAAGTTGGTGCTATTTGCCCCCTTTTACACGTAAGGCTAGGAGAGGTTAGGTGTCTTGACAGAGGTCACACGGTCATTCTGTGGCGCCCTGGGATTTGAAATCTCTCTGATGCCTAAGTGTATGTACTTCCTACTATAACATTCTTAGCTCAATAGGAAAGGAAACTTGAGAGTAACAGGAAATCCTTCTGACAGGATAAAAGTCAAATGCCCTAGTAAAGTCAAACCTATTCTAAGTGAAAATAGAAGAAGGGAAGAAAAAGAAAAAAGGAAACGTACTTTTCCTTATCTTCAGATTTTTATTTAAAGGAAAAATTTGAAAAGCCTCATCTGAGGTTATTTCTTTTATTTTGGGTGTGGTACCAAACTTTGATGTTTGTGTTTATGAGTCAGCATTTTAAGAGTGGACTTTTTCTAGTTTGCTTCCAAAAATAAGTAGATGAATATTGCCTTTAGGAGAGCTGATCATAAACTTTGTTCTGAGTCTAGAAACTAGATTACAATGAATTTCCAAGTTTAAAAAGAATGAGTAGATTTTTTAAGCCACTAAATGTAATTAGCTATCACCCAAGCAAATCTTTTTTCATTATCTTGCTCTAAATTACATCAAATGTTGATATAGAGATATATATGATTATGTTGTCTAAGTCTTAACTGTTATCTCACCTTTGCTCTTCTTTGCAAATTTGCATAACTTTACAGAGATTTTCCTCTTCTCTTAAAGCTCGTTTAAGCTTAATTTGGCTTCCCATGCTTCCCGTTATCTGCACACATTTTTCTCCTGGGGGAAACTTTTTTGTTTCCTACTGAAGATGCAGCTGCTTCTGTGACGTCAGGTTCTACCGTTATGGGGAAATACCAGACAATTAGAGAAAGGGTTTTCCTTTTCTTCAATCCTCTACCCTTGAGTAGTTGAACAAGTCTGTTTCTGCTAGCCAGCTTCCTCCTGACCTTAAAAAGCAATTGCTTTCTGGATACCACTTAATGGCAAGTGTAAATTTTGTGCTATAAAAGCCTTTCTCTAACCTGGCAGCTAAGAAAAAACATCGAACCAAACAAAATGCCTTTTAAACTGGATTTGACTTGTTTCATTGTATTTGTTCAAGGATCAGAAAGGATAATTTTCTTGGCATGGCTTTTTCTGTCTCCTGCCTCTAATTTATTTTTTAAAGATTGGCACCTGAGCTAACATCTGTTGCCAATCTTCCCTTTTTTTTTCTCCCCAGAGTCCCCCAGCACACAGTCGTATACTCTAGTTGTAGGTCCTTCTGGCTCTGCTATGTGGGACGCCACCTCAGCATGGCTTGATGAGCGGTGCTAGGTCTGTGCCCAGGATCCAAACTGGCGAAACCCTGGGCCGCTGAAGCGGAGTGCAGAAACTTAACCACTCGGCCATGGGGCTGGCCCACCTATGTGTTTTATTTTATACGTTTATAATATTCTCCTGAGGAGGGAGCCCATGAGCTTCACACAGCTGCCGAAGTGATCAATGGCACAGAAAAGGTTAAGAACCCACCTAGGGTACCACCCCAGAGAGAGCAAAACAGTGCCACCAGCAAGAGCCTACCAGGATAAAGTGTGTCTTAGCCTTACCAAATACTGTATTTGCAACACTAAATTTACAAAAAAGAAATTTAGAAATTTCTAAGAAAAGGTACGTGTAGTTCTGACTCCTCAACACATACCTCAAGTCTTAATTTGCATAGAGGCCAGGGCCAAACCTGCCTCTTCTTCTCCATTCCTCTCCAGGGGACTGGTACCACCCAAGTTATATATGTCAGAAATCTACAAGTCACCCTAGAGTTGTCTTGCTTTCCTCTCCCACTGTTCAAATTTAATCAAATATTAAGTCCCAGCAATTTTACTCTTTTAAACTTATGTAGACCCTTCCCATTCTTAGGTTGAAGACTGCTGTCTTAAGTTAGGGACTTTCTCTAGGACTGCTCTCTCAGACTCCATCTATTGGCCCCTGCCACCCCTTCCTGTCCAGCTGCATAGAGATAAGAAAGATAAGATGCCTGAGTCCCAACAAAGTCAAGTCCAGGGTTGCCCAGCTTGTTACAGCAAAGCTACAGCTCAAAACGAGGATTGCATTCCCTCATACAGCTTCTTTATTTATCCCTTGGTTTTTGCTATATAATTTTTTTTGCTTCTAATACAAGAACATTTATTTGTCATTGTGTCCTGGGTTTGCCTGTCTTTCCAACTCCCATCCTGTGTGAGTCATGTTCATCTCAGAGAAAATTTTCGTTGTATAAATTTTATGAATAAACTGCTTTTGACTAGCATCCAGATATGCATTTATATCATTAAGGTATCTTGACCTCACTAGCACTCTTCAAATTTGAATGTTTGGTGAATCATGCAGAGGAAATAGACTTTTAGTGAAGGGATGGCTATAGAACTATCTTAGAAGCCTGCCAACCTCTTTAACCATTGAAGCTATTTTGTCTTCTGTTACCGAAGAAATTAATGTTAGTTTTTCATGTAAGCACCTCATCTCACAAATCTTTGCTTATTACAGAATAAGCTGTTGTTTTAAGGTTGCCGTCATCATAAATTCGAACATTCAAAGAAGATTCTTCTCAGCAAAGCATATTCTGGTCCACCAGAGGTCCAGCAGCAGAGAAGAATGTGTGAGAATAACACTCTTAGTGAATAGTTAGCATAATTTAGCTGTTATGGTGGTTTTTATACACTTATTCTTCAAAGCATATTGTGAACAGGAGAGCTTTTTAATTGAAGCCCAACTTTGAGCTATGAAACATAACTTGAAACCTGAGAAGGCAGCCAATGATGTCACAAGTTGTCCTTATGTCAAGGGCTCTAATCAGAGAGCCAGTTCTCATTGCTGTCACAATGGAGTGACTGAATGTTTCAGCTAACTACTCTGTGAAAATGAGGATTTCACAAAGAAGGATAATATTTGCCCTACTGATCTCAGGGGCTTATGGAAAAGAGAAAGTGAAAGAAATGTATGTGAAAGCACTTTGTATTATAGAAACACGAGGTTTTAGGGGGAAAAAATGATGATTCTACAAGTAATAGCCTTTGTGCTTAGGGACTTTCCTTTTACGTGTTGTAATATGGGAAGAAAAATTGGTGATGAGCTATTGGGAATTTTGGTATGGTTAAAAAAAGCATAGATGATAAGCATGATTCTTATAAAATATAATGTCAAATTGCTCTTTAACAGAAGTACCCTGTTCAAAACCATTTCTGTCAGTGGAAAACAAAACCAGCGTTCCTTAAAAGATTGTTTGCAAATAAAAGCATCTAGATTATTCTCACCTTTTGCTTACTGCTGCTTAATACATTATAAACTATTAAATTAAGTCTCACACTTCACTTAAGTGAACATTTGAGAATAATAAGGGATATGGAATCAAATACTCTCTTAAGCACACTTTTAGGCAAATCTATGAGACATTTTGAGGGACCCTAATAGCCTGGTAAAGGGTGATAAGATCTGATTACTGTGCATTACCTAATAGCCCTTATTCGATCTGGTAATGATCATTGTTTTAAACAAATTAAGGATATGGAAAAAGGTGACCGAAATAACTGCAGAGTTAGCTGTTCTATAAAAACGCTTTTCCAAGAGAACCGTTATCAACGTAAGTTTTGAGCACTTCCTCTAGCCTTTCCAGGCATGTTTGAGGTTAGAATGATTTTTCAGTTTTTCTTCGTGTACCAGGGAAAATTATTAAAATGAAAAGCTAGTTCTGCTATCTCGCTGGCCGCCAGCTGGTCCCATGACTGCCCAGTTGAGGCTGGTTCTTCTTTCATAACCTGAATTACCATGTCCTGCCCCTCTCTAAGAATCCACTCAAAGAGCCAGCAGCTCTTCCCCCCATGTCCTCAAAACCCACAGCCACAATCCTACCATCAGCTTATGAACAATAGGGCTATTTGTCCACCTCTCTAACTCCACAGTTGGTTCCAAAGTCCACTGCTGCTCTCAGTGATTCCAAGGTTTTTTTCTGGCCTCACTCTTACAAAAGAAAAGAAAATAGAGTGTAAATTTAATCTCAGGGAGGGCACCCCTTCTGCTGAAGTACTCTGCCAACCACTGTAGTCAGTTGATCCTTACTTGATCAAGCCAATATTACCTAGCTCTTCCTCATACCTCAATAAGTGAAGCTTTACATGGATTATCTCATTGAATCCTCATGAACAAACCCATGAGCTAGATACTATTTTCCTAATTTGCAAATGCAGAAACTAAGGCTAGTAGAGGTTGGAGAGCTTTCTCATAGCCACAGAGTTCATGATTAGGGGAGCTAGCATTCAACTCCAGACGTGAGCAGTCAGCATCCATGCTCTGAATTTCCACACTGTGTAGCCTGTCCAGATGCTATATTCTCATAATTGAAAACAACGATCTTTCTTTCAAAGCAGTTTTAGAAATTAGTTAACTGAAACCTAATATCTAGTTTTTAATTTTTCTTTTCTTTACTTCCTCCCCAACCCATAGAGATATACACCAGAGATGGGAACTCTTATGGAAAACCATGCGAATTTCCATTCTTTGTCAATGGGACCTGGCATCATGAGTGCATTGTTGATGAAAATCACGGTGGGCCATGGTGTGCAACCACCTTAAACTATGAGTATGAGCAAAAATGGGGCATCTGCTTAGAACCAGGTATGTATGGGTTAGTAAACTTTATGTATATGGAAAGAAAAGGATACCATTTCTGTGAGGCAAAAGGGAGGAGGAAGAGTCCAAGATGACTCAAAAGTGACTGCAACAAATATTATCCTAGATAATGGGTATATATTTGAAGAAAGAGGGAGAAGTAGTATGTAGCCATAAACTTGCTTTCAGAAATAGGCCAGGAAGAGAACCAAGACAGGATGGTGTCATGGAAGATTAAGGATGAGGGAGTGTTCTGTAGCACACATACCTCAGGGAGAGGGAATGGAAAAGGCATGAGCAGTTAGGAAATTGCTGCTCACCTCTAATAGAGCCACTTCAAAAGACTAGTAGTCGTAGAAGCTGGTTTATAGTGGACTGAAGCGTGGAAAAGAAAAAGAGAGCTAAGGTGGTGGTTTGAGGGTGAGATAGGTTGAAGAAAGACTATTAGGATAGTGGAGACTTAAGTATGTTTATGGCCTGAAGCAAAGAGTAGGGGACAAAAGAGACAAAGGCCCTCTCAAAATTGATGACATTGGTCCCTCTGTTTTTCCTGTATGTTGGTCAGAGCATTTTTCTAATTGCTTCTTACTTGAAGCGCCAAAGGATTCACTGTTCTTTAGAAGGAGAGAAACCAAACTAGCAGTTGCATCATTATCTGGTATATGACTGAGATATATTTTCTCACCGATCAGATGAGAGTTACAGGGGATCACAGTATCTGACCAGTGATAGGTGCTCAAAAAATATTTTTTAATGGGCAATTGGTTGGAAGCATCTATAGTAAAGAGAAAGGGAAAAGCTCCAGACTTAAGTAATAAGAGTTAATACCTATAGGGCCCTGCCAGGTGTCAGGTACTATTGTAAGCACTCAACATATATTAACTCATTCAATCCTCACACAACCCTGTAAGGTAGGGACCATTATTTATCCCATTATACAGATGAGCAAAGTGAGGCACAGGGGAGTTAAATTACTTGCCTAACGTCACACAGCTAGTAAATGTCAGAGCTACCCCAGGAAATCTGGCTCTAAAGTCCTTGCCCCAAACAATTACATTATCCTGCCTCATTCAGTAGCCAACCCCTGGCATTAGTAATGCTGCTCCCTCCTTAAGGGAGGCTGAGCTTCAAAATGCAGAATTCTAAGCAACTTGAAGAGGTTATACTAAGCCAGTGGTTCTCAAACTTCAGGGTGCAACAGACTCACTTGGAGAGTTTGTTAGAACACAGATTTCTGGAGCCTGCCTCCAGAAATGATGATTCGGCAGATTTGGGGTGGGGCCCAAGGATTCGAAGTTTACTGAGTTTCCAGGTGCTGCTGATGATGCTGATCTGAGGACCACACTTTGAGAATTATCTAGGTAGAGGCCCAGGCTTTCCAACATCTAGAAAGATAAAAAGCCAATATTTGCTTCAGCTATAATTGATAACAAGCAGAGTTTGGCCAACCAGGCACCAATTTCATTTAAATCTTACTGTGGTCTGGACCAGAAATTTTAGATGTGAAAGGGAACTTAGAGGTTATTGAGTGCAAACCCTCATTCCTCAGGTGAGGGACGGCAGGCCCGGATTGATGAAGTGGCCTGTCAGGGTCACCACGTTCATGTGGAGCCTCATGGAGATCCCAGGATTCCTGACCCTCATTCCCCAGCGTATTTATCCCACTCTACCTTGCTTCCTTGACTGGCATGTGTCTCAGTGTCTTTAGCCTCCTTTGGGTGGTCGGGGTGGGGGTGAGGGGGGGGCGGGCGGTGTGGATTACTAATGCATTCATATGCCTCCCAGAGCTATTTTTATGGAAGAAGTGAAACTGAGTTTCTCAAACATGAGGACTGCTAAACCATGGAGGTTGTATTTTATAGCAAACACACTGCCATCCCACTGGAAGCTTCTGGATTTACAAGCATGGGGCCTCAGTGGTAATAAGGAACCTTTAGGCAACTTTAGGTGCGAATCCATCTTATTTTGTTTTCACCAAATGTCACAACAACTTCTGTTACTATTTAGGCCATTTGAAAGTGGCTGAAGCAGGAGTGTATGCCATTCAGAATATCAACAAAACCAGACTTAGAGACCAGTGCTCTGATTATAGCTCTGCCACAAACACCCCTAGATCTTTGTTCCCATCTGTGAAATGAGGATGTTAGATATGATCTCTAAGAACCCTTCCAGCTTAAAGGTCCATGAGTCTAATGTGTGATATGTGACTGGTTATGGGAGATCCTTTGCAGAACCACCCATCCGGAGCTTGGGACACACTCAACAAAGCTCACATTGTGGTTTTCCTCTTGTAGGGAGTACATGGCTCTGAGTATATTTTTGAACCAGTTGTATCAAGACCTATATATCTTGTCCAGGAAACAGCTTGAAGTTTCTTTGTCTGGAATTATACGTGCTTTTTAGATATTTGTTAAAGAAAATAATATGCACATTATACAATGTACATATATGTTTATATACATATGCACACATATATCTATGTATACATGTATAATGTTAATTATATAAATTATATGTCATCTATTAAATCATCTATTAAAATATTAAGGAGAAATTTGGACTTAGTTTCTCAAATAAGGTAGTCACTTGGGCTCTAAATCTTGGGCATGCAGCATGTCTGCACACACACACACACACACACACACACACACACACACACAATGGTTTTACTTCAGGCCGTGGGCAAACCCCTTTGCAGTCTGCCACCATTTTCAGGTGAGCTTGTTTTCCATCAGTTCAGGGGTGTGACAGTGTGAGCACAGTTGAAGGCTCCTACCTTTAGGCAGAGGGAAGAAATGGGCTAAAACATGGCATTGTATTTGATAGGGGATAAAGGGAGAGTGGAAGATGGAGAGTGGAAGCTTTAACCAGACTGGGTCATTTGATGTCCTATAACTTCAGTATCTTTGTGTAACCAAAGAATCAATATATGGTCTAGTTGAGCAAATGGCAGCCTCAATTTTAGCACATCCTAAGAGTATGCAAATTGAATTGCAGTATTTGTAAGCATTCTAAGTAAAAGAAAACATTATGCCCTACTTTATGATCACTAATGTATCTTTTTATCAACAGAAATTGGCTGTGAAGGTAATTGGGAAAAGAACGAGCAGATTGGAAGTTGCTACCAGTTTAATACTCAAGCAGCTCTTTCTTGGAAAGAAGCTTATGTTTCATGTCACAATCAGGGAGCTGACTTACTGAGCATCAACAACGCTTCTGAGTTAACTTATCTTAAAGGTAGGTTTAATTTGCATGTGGTAGAGCAAATTGCTGAAATTGTGATGCTGTCTGTCTTCTATTTTCGTATCCAGGTATGTTGTTTTGTGTATATATTTTTCTATCTACTCTTGGGATTTAAACTTCAACAGTGAAGCCCACAAGCAAGAAAACAGTGACTATAATCCTATTCCATCCATTGAAAATGCATCTCATGATGGAGACTAAAGAGAGGTTAATGTTCAGAAAATGGGTGGAGTAGCAAGATTAAACTGCTACCCTAAACTTAAGTGAAGGGATTTGAAAAAAGGTGAACATTTGCTCTTTGAACTTTGCTAAGTAGAGAACTCAGGAAGGTAAAGAAGATGGCTGAGTCATACTGGATGGCCTCAGTAAAACATCCTCACGTGAGTAAATGAGTCCAGTCCTCAGAAATCCTCAAGTGGATTTAAAGACGTGGACAGATGGAGTGGATAGCATTTTGTTTTGTTTGTGAAGTGGTGATGGTAATTTTTTAATTTTTAATTATGAAAACTTAAATCATGTAGGAAGGAATAGAAAATAACCTAAAAGAGACCTGTGTAACCACTACCTTGATTAAGTATATACTAACGTTTTGTCATATTGCCTTACATGGATTGATTCCCTCCCTTCCTCCTCTGCCCCAACTCCTTTCCTGCTTCCCTCCCTTTAAAGAAATGCAGTGTTAACAGAGTCAAAATAACCACCCCTTGAGTATTTTACAACATATATGTGTATAAATACTATATATGTTTTCATTATACTATTGTTCCATGTTTTAACATGACACAAATACTATCTTATTTACCCACGTGTAAGTTTATCCATTGTTAACTACTGCTGTACAGTATTACATTGTATGAATAAACCAGGTTATCCATTCCCCTATTGAGAAACAGGATGTTTTCAGCTTTTGCTATTACAAACACCTCTGTGAGGAGTATCCTTGTATGTGCCTCATCTGGCAGATGTGTATAATTGCAGAGTGATAGGGTGCATATCTCTTCACCTCTAACCAAAAATTCTAAATTGCTTTCCAAAATGGTTGTATTAGTTTGCTCCTCCACTAGCACTTGGCATTATCAGACTTATTAACTGACTAATATGTTGATGTGAAATGATACTTCATTTTTGTTTTACATTTCCCTGATAATAAATGTGGTTTTGCATCTGTGTTTATCAGGCATTCAGGTTTTCCCCTTGTAGTTTGCCAATTTGTATCCTTTGACCATTTCCTATTGATTTTTTTGCTTTCTTCATATTGATTTGTTATAGTTCTTTATATATTCTGGATACTAATCTTTTGTTGTGGGATTATAAATGTCTTTTCCTAGTCTTTGTTTTTTTCACTTTATTTTTGTTGCTTCTTATCATAAAAAATACGTTAATTTTAATTTGGTCAAACTTATCAATCTTTTCCTTAATGTTTTATGCTTGTTTATATTATTTAACAAATCCTTCCTTAGCCCTAATATGATAAAGATATCTTCTCATATTTTCTTCTGTTTATAGTTTTGCTTTTCATATGTACATCTTTAATCCAACTGTAATGTAATTTATAGAGGTGGGTATCTATCTTTTTCCACATGGATAGTCAGTTGACCAAGCACTATTTGTTTCATGTTTTCCTCTCTGATTTGTTATGCTGCCTCTAATAAATATAAACTCACCTATTATATGTGGGTTGTTTCTAGGCTCTGCATCCCATTCATGTCATCTATTTGCCTGTCTCTGAGTCTGTTCCACAGTTTTAATTACTCCAGCCTTACATAGTAAATCTTGTTTTCTGAGTGAGCAAATCCTCCTTCATTCTTTTTTTTTCTTGAATTGTCTCCGCCATTTTTTTTAACTATTTATGTTTTCATATGAATTTGAGAATTCACCTTGTTAATCTCCGTGAAAAACCCTGTTGGGACTTTGGAATTGCATTGAATTATAGTTAATTAGGGAAGCACTGCTGTCACTATATTATTAGGTCTTCTTATCCAGGAAAATGGTATGCTTTTCTACTTATCTAGGAATTTTTTTTTTGGTGAGGAAGATTGTCCCTGAGCTAACATCTGTTGCCAGTCTTCCTCTTTTGCTTGAGGAAGACTGTCCCTGAACTAACATCTGTGCCAGTCTTCCTCTATTTTAGATATGGGACACCATCACAGCATGGCTTGATGAGAGGTTTGTAGGTCCAAACCCGGGATACATATATTTCTATTCCTCTCCCTACAGTGAGAGACTACAGGGCCTCCACATGAACCTCCATTCACCTTTTATAAGACTATTAAGTTCTTTGCCTACAGAGATGAGTATCAAGGGTTGTTTTTTCCTTTTTCACAAAACTCTAGGCATTATTGCTGTATATTAAACAAACACTTATTCATTGATTCAGATAAATCCTGTCACACTGTTTCATAATTGTGAGTATTTGATAAATGCTAACTATGAGCAAAACCCTAATATCTCCAGATAAATTAAATAATTTAATCATCATTTCAACCTCATAAAAGAAGTATTTTTATCCCCCTTTACAGATGAGGAAATTGATGTTTAGAAATAATAGACCTGGGGCCAGCCTGGTAGCGCAGTGGTTAAGTGCGCACATTCCACTTTGGCAGCTAAGGGTTTGCTGGTTTGGAGCCCGGGTGCAGACATGGCACTGCTTGGCACACCATGCTGTGGTAGGCATCCCACATATAAAGTAGAGGAAGATGGGCACAGATGTTAGCTCAGGGCCAGTCTTCCTCAGCAAAAAGAGGAGGATTGGCAGCAGATGTTAGCTCAGGGCTAATCTTCCTCAAAAAAAAAAAAAAAAGAAAAGAAAAAGAAATAATAGACCCAACATTACACAGCTAAGAAGATCCAGAATTGAGATTTGAAATATCAACATGTATAACTCCAGAGCCCTTGCTTTTTACTATACTACCTACTCTTCTTACATATCTTTATTTCTTTTCATAGTTAAAAGCCTACTGGTCTTTTGTCATGGTTTTTGGCTAAAGCTTTATTCAGACCTTCTTTTTTACTTATAGCTTTAACCTTTTCCTGTGTTGTTTGGTGCTTGAATTGATTGACCTCCAGAATGCAAATCTGTCAAATAAACCTAATGGGCTAGTGTTTGGCAATGGAATTCTATTTCAGACCTTACTGTAACCTTACAAAAAATGCCATGGAGAGCAGAAAGTGCCAATAAATTTAAATCTCCCAGAATATAGACATTTTGGAATTGATGACTTCAGTGAAGGAGAAAAGTAGCAAAATGTGACTGTCAACACCCTACCCAACAATCTAATGATGCATTTGGAGGAATGAATGTTGCAGGATTTCTTTTTGCCTCAATTTTCTTTAATAAGTCATAAAAGTGAGGTAATATATTAAAGGACCCAGTTGTCCTCTACCCCTAACCAGACACTCCATATTTTATGTTAATCAATGATTTTAGAGGTATATCCCTTTCTAATATTTCAAGCTCCTCTTTCACTGCGAATGCTGTTTAGGCATATCAGTATGCCTAATTGTGATTGCTGGTTTCCCAAGACCCAAAAAAAGCTATGCTTTAAATCTGAAACTCAGAGTATCCAAATCTTGAAAATTTCTTGAAGTTTCTATTCTGTGCTTGCACTGAAACTACTGTGTATAAACGTTGGACTTGGAGTAATGAGGCTAACAAAAGTGAATCAGAGATTTTGTGATCAAAGTGCTTGATTTAGTTGGGGAAATGAGAGTCGTACATGTGCAGAACATAACGGAGAATGTTATTGCCAAACGACCTCTGGTTTGGTAGCTAGAGGTTGGATGGGACCAGGGAATCTGCTGTCAATAGAAAAGCAGAAGCAGCCCCTTTGAAGATAAGTCCCATGCAGTCTGAAAGAGCATCCTTTTTCTCTTCTGCCTGCCCCATACCTCATTAGTTTCGTTTTGACTTTGTTTTGCTAACACAGGGCCACAGGGGTGAGGGATTTGGTTTCCTCATACTCACGGGATTTTGTTTAGGTGTCAAATGTCCCATGGCTCTGGACTTCCCAGGGCGCCTCTAACCGCAGATTCACCCCAGAGCTACAAAAGAGGACCTGACAGTCCCCAGAGCAGGAACACATTTCCATTCTTTCTAATTTGCCTCCACCCTGAGAGGCTGTTCACTATGAGCTACTTTGACAGGTGCCTGATGGCTAGGACACTTCTAAATCAGGGCCTCTGCTGGCTGTGGCCTTTCTTATGCCTTAGAAGAAGCTGTTCTCCGTCTCATCCCAAATGCATGACCATTATCAGGCCCTGTAGTCTCTCATTGTGGGGAGAGAAAGAGAAATATATATATCTAATATATAAGATAAGTATCTGTGTGATTTGCATATCCATACTTTAAGAACCATTCATATGTATATAACATAATGTACATATAAATTATATAAAATATAATTATATTTTATATGTATATAAAGAGATATATAGATTATATGTAATACAATAACACATAATTCCCTGGGAGGAATTAAGAAACTATTATCAAGAGTTTTACTGCTGAGAATATTTCAACAAATTTATAAAGATTCCAACCCATTAGCTCTTCCTGTTTGTCAACATCATCCTTGTCTCGTGTAGACCATTTTGTCAGTTGCTTTGTCTCTTGCACCTGGCCCTTGATATCTTCAAATTCTTCCTTCATGATGTTAATGAAGTCTTACCAGATTCTTCAGTAATTCTGTTGACTTCCTTGACAGTGGGATGAAAATCCTTAGAATCGTTCACACATTCTTTTCATTCTCTTTCCAATACATGTGGGTCCTATACAAGCATGATTGCTCCCATTGCTTGTGACCATATGCATACTGAGTGGCATATCTGCAATTGGCCTCACTATTTAAATTATTTCTGCTTCTCTATCTTTCTCTGTCTTTTTTGCTGATCTCATCTGGTTGTCAAATAATAAATTTGAATGATACATCTCCACCGTAGCATGTATATGTGTGTATCTGTGTCTCCCATTCTGTATCTCCAGCCTAAATCTCTCCTTTGGACTCTAGAACTGTATATTCCATTGCCTACCAAACAGCTCTTGTACATATTTCTGAAACAGTCCTGGTAACACTTTACCATTTTGGAGATCCGTATCTGTTTCTGTCTACTAGACTGAAATCTTCATGGTGGCCGCGACTTTATCGTTTTGGTTTTATATCCTTAGTACCTGCAAATAATATGGCCTTAATGAATTTAAGTCAGTCTGGTATGCAATCAGATCTTCAAAATCTAGATACAATGGAAACTTCCTTTTCTATATCAGTAGAAGAGAGTTAAAAATAGTGAAACAGTTATTCTGAGAAGATTCTGTTCTTACCTTAGAAGAAAAGGGATTGGACAAGCTAATGGGAAAGCAGAATTGAATTAACTTATCAGCCTTTGGGTTTCTCAATAGTCTGAAGTTTTGTTGTCTGTCAGGAGCGCCTGCCTTTTGTGGATAGACAGCCTCCTACAGGAATTCCTGCCTTACAATCAAGGCCTTCAGATATTTTTGCTATTAGTAGAAACTTAAGTCTAGCTTAGATAATAACTTAGCTAATTTTGTGGTTTGTTAAAATTATGTAATTTTTACAGAAAAAGAAGGCATTGCAAGAATTTTCTGGATTGGCTTAAATCAACTGTACTCTGCTAGAGGCTGGGAATGGTCAGACCACAAGCCCTTAAACTTTCTCAACTGGAACCCAGGTAACTGCTCCCTCCTCTACTTACTCTGCACAGAGCAGAAACTTCAAAAAAAATAAGAGCTTCCTACTCCCTGAGAGCTTATAAAATTTTCAAATCTTGACAACTCTTACTATGATTACCTCTCAGAAGAATTTTTTTTCCTAAGCTCTTCTTTATTATGATACCATTATAGCCAAGTTGAACCACACCATGGACAACTAAGCATTTATCTCTAACCTTTAGAGGAACCCTACATTTTTAGGTAAGAGCAGAATGAGCCCTATCTCATGGCCCAGGAGCCATTCTGCATCCCTTAGGGGACTTGATATATATGACTGACCTATGTTGTGTTTTATCTGCAGCTTAATTTTAATAGAGAAATATTCCCTTACTTTAAAGTTCTTGGAGTGAAATAAGTCAGAGGGAGAAAGTCAAATACCATGTGGTCTCACTCATAAGTAGAAGATAAAAACGACAAACACACACATAGCAACAGAGATTGGATTGGTGGTTACCATAGGGGAAGGGGGTACAGGGGAGGTCAAAAGGGGAGATTAGGCTCACATGTGAGGTGACAGACTATTATTAGTTTTTGGGTGGTGAACATGATGTAATCTGCACAGAATTTGAAATATATTATGATGTACATCTGAAAGCTATATAATGTTATAATCCAATGTTACTGCAATAAAACAAATAAACATTTAAAAAATTATTGGGATCTCCCACTGTGGCACCCCCATACTGACAACATAATGATTATATTTTATTACACAAATAAATACCTTAAAGAAAAATTTGTAGTGAATAAAACAAACAAAACCCTAGTTATCCAGGATTTTTCCCCCCCAAAAAAGTTCAAATACCTTTTTTAAAAAATGAAATCTTAGACTTCTGACCAAAGTAGAACCTAAAAGTTAACACCGACTTCAGTACAAAAGTATTCTGCACACATATCTAAAAAATGAGTTAAACACAATAAAATACCAATGAGTCATTTTAGTTTAATGAAATTTCATTATTAGGAAATCTCTATTATCTCAGTAAATAGAATCTTTAAAGATAATTTATTCTTTAATTCAATGCCTTAAAGGCATTATGGAATCATAAATTAGTATATTTATTGTACAGAGTATCAGATTACGAGCTACTGAGCACAGGATGTGACACGGAAGTTGTTTGGGGGCAGAGGTTTGGTTTTTGGTTTTTGATTTAAAATTAACTACAGTATGTCAGAGTGTTTCCCCCTGTGTCCTACATTTTAGAAGAAAAGCATATTTAAGCACATGATTGTCCATTAAGGCTTATACGTTTCAATTTAGTAGAAGGTTTTAACTATTTTATGAGTTCCCATAAAAGCAGAAAATTATGAATACAATTATTTTTTCTAACCACTACTCTGGCCCTAACCTTCTCCTTCTAACTCTTTGAAAATCCTTTCCTTTGAGATGTGCCGAGTGCACCTACAATAGGTGGGTCAAGCTGTGCAACAATGGATGCCGCGTCTGGTCTGTGGCAGAGTTTTTCCTGTGAAGCTCAACTGCCCTACGTCTGCAAGAAACCGTTAAATAACACAGTGGAGCTAACAGGTATCTTTCTCACCTCCTTGTACAAATAGATCTTAAAATTACAGTTTCATGAAGTCAAGTAATCCATTTCAAATACCTGTTTCCACCTTTCCTTCACCTAATCTTGCCAATGCCAAAAAGTGTTTGATTTTGACCCTGTGGTTAGATATTATCAACTATGTAGGAATAAAGCTTTGGTTTGATACATGCCCATAAGAAGGCAGAGATATTCTCAATAGGAAATATATTTCTGTTCACAAGTGGCTCTTATTTCTCTAGAGCAAAGCTTCTCAAAGTATGTTCCCAGGCCAAGAGCATCAGCATCATCTTTACCTGTTAGAAATGCAAATTCTCAGAACCTACTCCAGATTTGTTGAATCAGAAACTCTGAGGGTGGGACTCAGCAATCAGTGTTTTAAGAAGCCTTCCAGGTGATTCTGGTGTACATTCAAGTTTGAGAAGCACTGCTCTATGGCCAGGTCTTATGTGTTACCTGCGCCTGTGAGAGGTCAAAAATGATGGACACAGGAACGTTCCCAGGCTTTCCCACCTCCTGCCCCACCATGCCCACCCCTCCTCTCTCCTTCTTTGCCAGGCTGGTTCTTTAGATCTTTGTGTTGGTAAATCAGCTGGCAAAGGAGACAGAGGTGCAGAAGGACAAAATGTCTACAAGGAGGGACTTTTTTCTGGGGAGTTTGGGGATAAGTGAGACAGAACCGCTGAAGTTTGGGGAGCAGAGAAGTCTGAGGAGTCTTTGAAAGGATGGGGAAGAGGAGTGCCTTACTGTCTTGCACAGGGCCCACCATATAGCTGGTATTTGATTAAATCCTCACTGAACAAGAAAAACTAATACTCAGAACTAAGAGGAGGGCCCGCCTGGTGGCGCAGCGGTTAAGTTTGCATGTTCCGCTTTGGTGGCCTGGGGTTCGCTGGTTCAGATCCCGGGTGCAGACATGGCACTGCTTGGAAAGCCATGCTGTGGCAGGTGTCCCACATATAAAGTAGAGAAGATGGACATGGATGTTAGCTTAGGGCCAGTCTTCCTCACACACACACAAAAAAAACTGGGAGGAAAAAAGGAGGTTTTAAAATGTCTTGCTTTAAGGAATGTTGGTGGAAGAGAAGACAGCATAAAACTTTTTATCCACATAGGAGCATAAAGCTATTTTTTAAGATTAAAAAATAAGTATAGAGAGTAAAGAAAGTAGGGGGATGTTTTAAAATAATAGGAGAAAATGAGCGTTCATCTTCCAAGTTGATTCAAACTAAATTTAGCCCATACAACAGAAGGCATAAGAGAAAAGACAGTACAAATGAAAATAAATCAGAGTGGCTGAGATAGATCAAGTAAATATCCTGTAGAGCGATTATTAAGTAAATCATGATGTTTCCACATGATTAAATAGTATGAATTTATTAAAATAACTTTGCCAGCAGAAAAATACAAAGAGCAGAATAATATGCCTACTTATTTTAATCTTGTAAAAATATGTATTCATAGAAAGAGTAGAATAGGAAAATGATTGTTTTCAGTTCAATTATGGTTGATTTTGTTCCTCTCTTCCTTTATCGTAATTGTAAAATATAATAATAATAACAAGTGCTGTTTCAGAACCTTAAAGTTGATTGAGTTATCTTGCAAGGGTGAGAAGCTAGTTGAACCTGAATTTTATCCTTTAATAGAAAACAGACTGTCTACGTTTTTAAGATGCTGTGTTTTCATACAACAAATATTCCAAACAGTTCCAAATCCATGAAGTCTGAGTAACCAAACAGCTTTCTAGTTCTATTAATAGGGGTACAAGTATTTTGTGTGGTTTTGTATCTCACTCTTTGTCTCTAGTCATTCTTGACCATCATTTGAGTGAATTTTATCATGGTCAAAACAAAGCATCACTAATTCCATGAGGATTACAGGTCTAGCAGAGAGGAGGAAAGAAGAGATCCAGAGATGCCCTTTGCCCTTTCCCTCTGTTGCTGCCATGTCTTGGGTGTGGAGTGTACAAATGTCTTATTCTGTTCCTTAAATCTCTGCCTGTCCTTTGTTCAACAGCGAGCATTAATGAACATCCGCTTGCTAAGCTGACTGTACGTGAATAAGAGGCTCGAACTCATAATCTCTTAGAGGCAGAGACTGGAGGGGAACCTAACAAGTCCCATAACAAGGAAGAGATTTGTCAGCACCTGGCTTACCCCACCCCTTTCTTCTGTCTACTAGGACTAAGGGCAATCCCTCCTTAAATAATTTGAGCCCAGCCACGTAGCGTGTTTGTATCACATTAAAGTTATATCGTTATCTGAATCCCTGCAGTCACTCTTATGATGCTATGTATACATTAGGCACCACATAAATTCATGTCACTGTACTATCTGACATCACATTCTCCAGTTTTCCAGAAGCCTTATGATTCAAGAAAGAAGAATTTGCAATGTTATTGATTCTAAATAGATGTATCTTTACTGGAATACAAATAGCTGCTTTCTCCCCAGATGTCTGGACATATTCAGATACCCGCTGTGATGCAGACTGGCTGCCAAATAACGGATTTTGCTATCTACTGGTAAATGAAAGTAATTCCTGGGATAAGGCAAATATGCACTGCAAAGCCTTGAGCAGTGACCTCATCAGCATTCATTCTTTAGCGGATGTGGAGGTGGTTGTCACAAAACTCCATAATGGGGGTAAGTTTTTAAAATATCCTATTTTGGAAGTTTAAAACATTTTAAAGTATCTCTATTTTCAGACTCTTAGCAGGAATGAAAACTTACAGTCTGATCCTTTAGATCGGCGCTGCCCAACAGAATTTTCTGCAATGATACAACTATTCTATAATCTGTGCTGTCCAGTACAGTAGCCATCAACCGCTTGTGGCTTTTGAGCACTTGAAGTATATAGTGAGGGCAACTGAGGAACTGAATTTTTACTTTCATTTAATTTTAATTCATTTACAAATTTAAATAGCCACATGTAGCTAGTGGCTACCAATTTGACAGTACCACCCTTGTGAATAATTTTCCTCTTCTCATAAGCTAAATGCTATTTAAGTTGCTCCGAACACTTAAGTGATGATTGTTTCACTTTTGAAATTCTTTGAAAGCTAAAGACTGAAGAACAAAAATACACTAAACTGCCAGTGTTCAAACCTACTCCTAGGATTCACCAATAATAATAGCTAATAGTAGAGTTCTATCGTGTGTGAGCATGATGCTAATTTTTTTACCTAGGAAGGCAGCATAATCATTCCAGGGCAGTGATGGACAATATTCTTATTCTAATTGGAAATCTATGATTGTATTTGTAGAATTTCATTATTTCCCAAAAACAAGGTTTATCTAACACGTATCAGAAACACAGCCTATAGGTCATAGTACAGCTGTTCCCCCTGTGTACTCTACCTGCATAAGTGACCTCAAACCCCTCATCACCCTGCCTGCCTGACTTGCCCACATTTTAACAGATTAATTAAGAATACAATCTTCTGCATTAAAATTTTAAAAGAAATAAAAAGAGAGAATACCATCAAGGCTCTTAAAACCCCGTATCAGAATGTAAAATCAGTAACATGTACATATTGAAGTATACAATTGAGTAAAACCAAGCCAACTAAAACATTTTTCTTTTAGGTGCCAAAGAAGAAACATGGACAGGCCTTAAGAACATAAATACGCCAACTTTATTTCAGTGGTCAGATGGTACTGAAGTTACTCTAACATATTGGGATGAGAATGAGCCAAATGTTTCCTTCAATCAGACTCCCAACTGTGTTTCCTATTTAGGAAAGGTACAAAACCTGTGGTTTATTTATATTCTTATTGTTATTCCTAATAATAATATTAAGATTACTTTGGTTGGGATATTTGTGTTTAAACTGGGAAAGAAAAGAAAAGGTACAAGCTCTGTAGATTGTCTTTCCAGTAGCTACTGAAAAATAAATAAAGCAATGACTAAATAATCCACTTCCTGTCTGAAAGTATCTGCTGGTCTGAAACAGATCAAGAGAATCCCTTTAGAACTCAGATGTTTGTGCCAGATTGGTTCTAAAAACCTGCTTTTTCTCAGGACCATCAGTGTGATATTTAGCATGCAGCCATAATTTAACCTGAAAAATCCCATCTTCTGAATTCATCTTCAGATTAAGTTTTATATTAATCCTACTTTGAGAAGTGAAAAAATATTTTTATTAAAAAATTAAGTCTAACTTTGCTCAGAGAACATCCTACTCCCATAGAATGCTTAAAAATGTATTGAATATGCTTTACTTAAGAGTACAAAGTGAGCTGTGTCTTGAGCAGGAAGGATATATGTACCTCTGCATTTTTGTTTGTATCCCTTTCCTGTGGACTTCTAATTGTTTAGGAGGCTGATTCTGTCACCCAAACTTCTGGAGACTTAAGTGGAAGCAATAAATGGGATGTGTATTTAGAAGTGTTTCAGGAGTAAAGATGTATTTAGAAAGGTGTCAAAGATGACTTTAGAAGGTTGTCACATTTGGTGCTCTATTTAAAAGGATATCCAAGATGTCTTTCAAAGAGTGTCAAAGATAGAGATGAGGTCCCATAGGCAAGAGTGAACTGATGGCTTACCTGGACAGCATTCCAGTGTTCAAAACTGACCCTTAACACAATTGACTTAGTAAAATTTAATTCAAAGAAAGCAGAGTGACTTAGTCAGTTAAGCAAAAGAAATGTTAAGTAGCCTATTTGAAAGAGAGAACTTTCAAGTCTAGGCTGAAGTAGAGTGGGAAGAGACTTTTGGTTCTAGAATTCTTGGAGAGTAGCTATTCTCACCACCATCATCATTTTACATATGAGGAAACTGAGACAGGGAGGTTAGCTGACATACCTCAAAGTTTTTAACCTGTGGATGAACTTTGGCCACGTCATGTGGAAGAAGACTGGAACATTGGCAACTGTTTGTGAGCTGAGTTCTTCTCTCTCCAACTTCTATACTGAGTGTCCTTTGATGGTTTTATTGTTACTTTTATAAGAAAACGAAATTCATCCCCACTGTGACCTTGAGGTGATGTTGAAATAACAGGCTGTGAGCCACAACCTTGCAGCCTTGTTGGGTAGCGTTTTACAGGAGTATGTTCTCAGATTTAATCATTCATTTATATTCGTTCCCTACCTCTCCTTTCTTCTTCCTCTTCCTCATCCACCTCCCCCTCTCCCTCCCTCATAGTTTTGTGAGAAGAAACTATCTTGGTTTAAAATAAGTTAGAGTTCAAGTCTAAATATATGATAATTAACTTCTCTTGTGGGAAAAATTTTTTTCTATTTTTTAAAAGCTAGGTCATTGGAAGGTCCAATCATGTGAAGAGAAACTTAAATATGTATGCAAGAAAAAGGGAGAAAACATGAATGATTCAAGATCTGATAAGATGTGTCCTCCAGATGAGGTATGTAAAACCCCCGTGTAAATTTTTCTAAGCAGTATTACACCTTCTTGGTTAGGGATGGTAGCTGAGACTTAAACAGTTGAGACTTGGAAAAATAGAAGAAATTACTAGCTTCCGTTCATTTGCGTTAGAGCAATCAAGAGGGCAGTGAATCATAATATGTTGGCATTCTTACAGAAAAAAAAAGAGTTATAGGAGAAAGAGTTACCTATTCGTGAATTTCTATAAACATGTATATGATTACTGTCCTCAATGCTGGTATCTTTACTTTCCCCACTTATATTATTCCTGTTCAAAAGTAATTCAACCAACAACTTTGATGAGCTAGGTGCCAGGGGTAAAGAGAATTAAGACACACCTTCTGTCTGACACAGGCTTACAGTCTTGTGGAGGTTATCCATGAAATTGTGTCCCACCCTCATCACGTGTATGAATTCACTGACCATGTCCTTAATTTCCATAAGTTGTGAGATGTTATCAATGTAACAGAACCTTGCTTGTCAGAGGGGGACATCATCAAATCTGGAAAACACTGTGATGATATTTCTCCTCTGATTTAGGGCTGGAAGAGACATGGAGAAACCTGTTACAAGATTTACCAGGATGAGGTCCCTTTTGGAACCAACTGCAATCTGACTATAACTAGCAGGTGTGACCATCAGTAAACATGTACTAGTGAGCTTTTAACTCTGGGTTCCTTTGCTAAATAATCTTCCTGAGAAAAAGATGCATCTTCAGTTTATACAGTAAGTCAGTCATTGTAAAAACTCTTGCTAATTTGACTCTTGTTTTGTAGATTTGAACAAGAATACCTGAATGATATGATTAAAAAGTATAGTAAATCTCCGGGAAAATACTTCTGGACTGGCCTGAGAGATACAGATTCACGTGGAGAGTATGGTTGGGCAAGTGTTAGCGGAGTAAAGCGGACTGTAACCTTTTCCAACTGGAACTTTCTTGAGCCTGGTGAGTGCATTAGCCGTTAAAATAGTAGAAAACAGTGACTTATGAAATGCAGCATTGCTCCCAAATGTATTCTTCTGACCTTTGAAATGGGAGGGAAGTGATGATCTTCAGGATTAGAGTCTATCTATGGAACCATAAAGAGAAGCAGTGACTATATCTTCCCTATTTAATCCTTGGGAATGACTCAATAAAAGAAGCTAGAAAACTCAGTTCTCAGAAACCACCACCTAATGGCACAAACCTAGAACCACAGTGTATTTTTTATCTTTTCCATGTAAGTCTCAAATAGAATCTAGAAAGCTTCATTGTGAAGCACTTTTCATTTTCATCTCTCTGCTTCTTAACTTCTTTCTCCAAAATTGAATGTGTTTATCTCTATGGTTGAGAATTAAGGAGGCAATATGTTGTAGGTATTATTTATTCTGAAAGTTAATTCATCCTTCTTTAACCAACTTGAAGCATTGACCATAATTAGCCATAGAATCAGAAGATTTGACTCACAAAGGACCTCAGAAGTCCCTTTTGATTTTAGAGTTGAGAAAACAGAGGCTTAGAAAGGTGATTTACTTGACAAAAGATACCTGGTTATTAAATTGCTAAAATCCAGATCTCCTTATGTCTAATGCAATACTTTTTAGATGATTTTGGCTTTGTATAGGACAGCAGTTATAAAGCATTTGACTTTTCTCCCTTTGAATTATTTATATTTTCTTGTGTTTGCATGATGTGATCATGAAGACCTTTTTTTATAACACGGAAATTAGAACATGTGTGTAATTAAACACAACATTTGAAATAGAGAATTCCCACAAAATTTGTAACACATGGTCGTCATCATAAATGTGAGTGGTATTGATAATAACAAAGTCATCTTTTTACTTGTAGAAGATGAAGGATATAGATGCTAATCCTGGTTAAATCTTGTCTTAAATTAGAATATTCTAACATATAAAACATGCGATTTCTTTTATAGACGCTCAGACATCTTAGAGTCAATGTCATGTTCTTCATGGATAAGCCTCAGTGGTTGGAGAGGTGCTCGGGAAGGAGTTACAATGGCTATTCTCTCAGTCCTATAGCCAGAAAGACTGCCATTAAGCTCTCTTTGCCATTATTACTCTCAGCCACAGCCAGTGTGGTCTATCATGGACAAGCCATGAGCAGCGGGCAGAACAGGGGAAAATAGCTCACCCATCCAGGGTAACACAGCGCTGTTTTTCCCAGTTCCTTGTTCCTCTTGCTGGCCATGTTTAAGTATGAGACATGAGACCACATGGCTTCCTGTCTGGTGGAATGAAAGTTGCCTTCATTACTTTCCAGTGTTTGCCCTTCTTGTCCTCTACCCAGTTCAGGCAGTGTGCTGTAATGGAAAAGGAGCATGGCATTTTGCCAGACAAATCTGGGTTCAAGTCCTGACTGTGCCACTCACTAAATATGTGGGCACGTCACTTATTCTTCATTTGGAAAATGGATCCAACAGTACAAACTATCCTTTAATGTTGCTATAAATAAATAAAATTCTGGCTACCATAAAATAAATAGTATGTTACCACATACCTCTTTCTATTTTTATTATACTGGCCCTTCCTTTGGATCTAATCTGGGGGAGTTTTGTTTTGAGGTTTACTAAATTGCTTAAAAATTGTTCAAAGTTGCTAAGCTAATACTAACCACTTGGGCTATCCTGAGCAGTGTAGTGTCTTAGGGTACGGCTCTGCACACAGACCACCTGGATTCCAATCCTCAATCAACCACTTACTAACATGTGACCTTGGACAAGTCACTAATCCTCACTGTACCTCCGTATGACAATAGAATCCACTCTCTAGGTTTGTTATGAGTATTATTTAATCCTTTTAGAATGGTACCTAGCAAATAGTAAGCCCCTCTGTATATTATCATCATCGTCATCATCATCATCATCATCATCATTATGAACAACATGGTTTTTTCCTATTGTCTCTTCCCATTTTGGCTCAAAGGGTAGAGACACTCAAAAACATTTGGACTTTACTTTTAAAAGGAGATTTTTAATTTAACTTTCCAATCCAACCCCAGCTTCTCCAGGTGGGTGTGTAGCTATGTCTACTGGAAAGTCTCTTGGAAAGTGGGAGGTAAAAGACTGCAAAAGCTTCAGAGCACTTTCGATTTGCAAGAAGATAAGTGGGCCCGCTGAGCCTGAAGAAGCAGCCCCCAAGCCTGGCGACTCCTGTCCTGAAGGCTGGCTTAGTTTGCCCTCAGGTCTTTCTTGTTATAAGGTAAAGTAACATTCTCATTCCATCCCTCAATGAAGTTATCTTTCTACTCTCCTAGTCCATGTCCTTGTACAAATTATGTTCCTCCCCAGACACATATGTTACCTACCAAAATGTGTGGAAGCACAGAGTCCTCATCAGGGCGTTGTTGAACCTCTGGTGTCAGACAGCTCATCCCCACATAAACTAATGTCCCACCTGAAAGAGTAGGACCAGAGCCAGAATTGGCTCTTCCTTAGGGTTCTTTTGTTGTGGGAAGAGGGTGAGTTGCATGCCGTGCTGACACTTTGCTGGTGATTCTCACATCCTTCTAATTTTTATTGTCAAATAAAGAGTTTTATCACTTCTTTCAATGTAAAAAAAGTTATTTTAGGGTTCTTTATACGTCTTACCACTCCAAAATTCAGTGGCTGTGACAACAAACATTTAGTCTCACGTTCACAAATCTCTGGGTTGGCTAAGGTTTGACTGATCAAGTGTGGGCTTGTATGGCCAGCTCTGCTTTCAACTGCTGGTCAGCTGTGCTGGGCTCCAGGGTATGAGTTGGGGTCTACTGCCCTTCCCTCTAGGGCTCAGGCTGAAGGGGCTTTTTCTTCTCCTAGTCAATCACTGGAGCCCGAGAAGCACATTTCAGGCCTCTGCTCACTTTACCCCACTAATGTCTCAGTGACCACAGCAAGTCACATGCCAGGCTCCAAGTCAAGGTATAGGGAAGTATGGTCCGCCCAGCAGGAGGCCATGGCAAGAGTGTATATCATGGGAAACTGAAGAATCGGGACCAGCAGTTCAATCTACCATTGTGTCATCTGCTCCTCCTCTTTTTATTTTGAAATGATTATGGTTCCTTTGGCATAAAATTAGTCATCACAAACTAAAGCAACAGTCCAAAGTGGCAAGTTTGGTTTTGCCACCTTTTGTCAATGTTCAGACACCAGTGCAGTCACCCCTCTGATTCTTCTTCATCAGAAAATAGTCCTGTACTGGGGCCAGCCCAGTGGCGCAGTGGTTAAGTTCACACATTCCACTTCGGCGGCCTGGGGTTCACCAGTTCAGATCCCAGGTGTGGACCTATGCACTGCTTGTCAAGCCATGCTGTAGCAGGTGTCCCACATATAAAGTAGAGGAAGATGGGCACGGATGTTAGCTCAGGGCCAATCTTCCACAAAAAAGAAAAGAAAAGAAAATAGTTCTGTACTTGCGCAGGTCTCAGTGTATTATGTTCAAAATTATGTTGCCAGCACATTTCTTTGCAGAAGTCCACTCCTAAACCATTCGTATGTATGCTTTACAGCTTTACCTGCTGGTTCAGTTTGTCTCTCAAGGTCCTAGGAATGCAGGAGGACATGGTATCTTGTTCTCCAGCCTGGCTGAGGAAGGTCATCCATTTGACAACAGTGGCTGGCACCTGTGGTGCTCTTTAGTTGACACTTTCAGCAGGACCTGACTGTGTCACAGTATATGTTCATTTACCTATGTCTTCATTCCACCTATAAGAATCCACTGCAGGGGTCCACACATTTGACTGTAATTGACTTTAAAATTAGGACTATTTTATGATTATACCAGAAGACAAAATAACATTATATTTTGTTAAGGTGTTTCATGTAGAAAGAATAGTAAGAAAGAGGAACTGGGAAGAAGCTGAGAGATTCTGCCAAGCACTTGGGGGACACCTTCCTAGCTTCAGTCATGTGGATGAAATAAAGGAATTTCTTCACGTTTTAATGGACCAGTTCAGGTAATACGTTTAGAGTGAGATCTTCTATGATAAATTTGATGTCATTTAGTTATTCAGCATTGATATGTTTTATAAGCCATTGCAATTTTGGTGTGATGGTGGAAAGCGGATTCCTGGACAATTTCCTGATGTCCTTAAGGACAATGTGGAGAAATATGGGCCAAGTGATGCTATCATAGGGGGAAGATTTCTCTGAAGCTTTGGGGACAGTCGTTAGTATGAGGGCCTTCAACTCCACAAATTCATTTTCTTCTTCCATCACTTTTCTGAACCAAAAAGAAGACCCGAATCTGTAAATCAAGGATTCAGGGTATTCCAGACAAAATTATAGAAGAGAAATCAGCATTTGGATATATCCTAGTGAATTCTTTCCTGATCATTTTGACTCAGGCAAACAAAAACCTCAAAAAGAAACAGCAAGAAAATAAACAAAACACAAAGAAAATTCAACTAGGCTTCTTCTCTAGGACATTAAATGTAAGAAGAGATTTTTTAACTGGACATCTAAAGAGTTTTGAGGTGGAAAACGTTTGCAGTGTATTACTTTTAGTTCCCAATTACATTGCTTTTCATTTGTGAGGATAGTAATTGGTTTATATACCACCTGTGCTCCCTGCTTGAAAAGGAAATTTCAAAGACATATTCCAGCAGAGAGATGAATAAAAAATCAAGAACACATGAATAAGTAGTTTGTTTTAAAAGAATTGGAAGGAAGAATAACATAAAAACAAAGCCTCAAGTCTAGATAATGCAATATGTGTAAATTATAAAAATAGAATGAAATTATCCTAAATCCCAAAAGAGAAATATAAGAATATTTTCATAAAACTTGGTGTTTAACTCTGTTTACAAATGAATAGTGGGAGGTAAAATGAGAAAACAGTTGTGAAAAATCAAAGTACAAATTCCTCATTTTACCTGGGAATCATATTTAGAAACACAGAGTATGTACATTTTTAAAACCTTAAGATAATGTGTAGTAAAATGCAAAAGAGTGTGTTCATCTAGTAAATGGGTGAAAAAAAAGGCTCGCATGAAAAATTAAAGAAATGAAATGACGAAACATGAAGTCCAGCATAAAGCAAGATGGCGGAAGACCAAATTTTTTCATTATCAGTTATGTTTAGTCCAGGTCTGCAAATTTCTTCAATAATGGAATCCAACTATATGCTGTTGAAAGAGACCTAAAACAATCCAGCCCAAAGAGTATGATGTTGTTTTCCTGGAAGGAAGGGGCCACAAAGTGTTTCAAGATTGAGAACTTTTGGTAAAAATCCATATTTTTCACATCTCTTTAAAAATTAAAACAACTGGCAACATTTTCATATTGTGGCAATAATTAGTGAATCCTGAGTAGCCAGTGGTCCTCTGAGATGGGGCATCACTCTCCAATTTGCTCTGGTTCCTAATTTATTACTCCTTGACCCACTTCACTTTCTTATGTTAGGTGCTTGTCCCACATTAACCAAAATAGCAATTGAGTTCGTAATCACAGACTTCATGCAGCAGCTAAAATGGTAAAAGTAAAACAATGGGCAAAATATATTGTGCAAATGTGAACAAAAAAGCTAGAGTCACAGTTTTAATGTTAGATAAAATACAATTGAAGTAAAAATGCACTAAACAGGAAAATGAGATCTATTTCTTACTGACTAAAGATACAATCTAAAAGGAAGTTGTAATATTCAAGAACATTTATGTACTTAAATAAAATAGCATCAAAATATATAAGGCAAAAATATTTATTACATTAGTGAAATTTTCCAATAAATAACAGTAATGGGAAACTTTAACACTCGTCTCATTCATTGATAAATGAAACAGGCAAAAAAACAATATAGAGCATGTGAATAGTATAATTAAGGTTGATTTAATAGTATTCTCTGTAGTTTACAACGTCTGAACATACTTTCTCTTTAAGCTCTTTTCCTATATTACTTACAATAATTGATCTAGTAGGCTAAAAAGAAAATCTCAAATACCAAAGTGGTATAATTATACAGGTTATATAAGAAGTGAAATCACACCCTATCAACTTATAAATTCAGTGTTTTTAAGTAACACTTTTGGCAAATAAATCAAAACTGTACAGATGATGATAACAGCACTCACTCTGAAATTGATGAGCTATAGCCAAAGCTATAGTTGGAGGTACATTAATATCTTTAAGGGCTTTAATTATTTAACAAAAATAATGAAAATAAGCATTCAACCAAAACTGAAAATAAATATCAACATAAACATAAGGAAACCATAAGAAAGAACCTGATAAAGAGAAAAGTGAATGACTGAATTAGAAAAGCAGTAGAATTGACAAATCCTAGAGCTGTATCTCTGGAAATAAAACAACAAAACAGAAAAAAAAATTTACTGATGATTAAATTATGAAAATGAAAAAGAAAACACAGTTAAAATGAAACCTGAGTATGGGATTATAAAACCCATTTAATGGAGAAATTTTTTAATTGGTGAGAAAACTATGTATAATTATATGCTATTATACATGAAATTATTAAAATGAACAATTTGTAGGGAAATACAAATTAGTGTACAATTGATTTGATAAGTAGAAACCCAATAATTCAATAGCCATGGAAGAAATTGAAAACATTGACAAAGAATTTCTTCCAAGAAAGAGATGGGAACTATATGGTTCTGTATGTGAATTCTTTGACATTTTATAAAAAAAGATCATTACCACATATTTCAGTAGTGCAAGCAAGAGCTTGTATTCCATTACATAGAAACTGTTGCAAGCGTCTGGTTTATTTCTCAATTCTGATGTCAAAGCTTGTCAATAATAGCGCAGAGAACACTTACAGACCCACCTTGTGAGTAGACTTTAAAAAGTAAATACTAACAAGTGATATAATAACAAACACCTATATAGTAGTTATGTGCCAGATAATGTCCTAAATATTTTCTATCTATTAGCTCATTTAATCCTTACAACAGCCTATGACATAGATACTATTACTATGCTCATTTTATCTAAATGAAGAAACACAGACACAGAGAAGTAAAACAACTTGCCCAAGTTGTTTTTACAGCTAGTAAGTAAAAGATCCAGTAGTTGAACCCATTAGAGCCCACTTTCTTTTTTTTTTAATTAAGATTATGATAGTTAACAACCTTGTGAAATTACAGTTGTACATCATTATTAGTCATGTTGTGGGTACACCACTTCACCCCTAGTGCCCTCCCCCCACCCCCCTTTCCCCTGGTAACCACCGATCAGTTCTCTTTGTCTATGTGTTAACTACCACCTACGAGTGGAGTCATACAGAGTTCGTCTCTCTCTGTCTGAGAGCCCACTTTCTTAATCCACTACATTATAGTACCTCAAAATAACACACTTTGGCCATGTAGGATTTCTTCTAAGAATACAAATTTGGGTCAATACCAGGACTCTATGTATCAAGTCTAATATCATGCAATCATCTATTAATAGGTGCTGAAAATGCGTCTGGTACACTTCACCATTCCTGGGTTAATATACAAATATAAACTTAACATATTTAATTAATATTATTAACATGTAGATTCTTATTAAATTAAGAGTAGAACATAGCTCAACCAATAGCCATGTACTACTTAATGATTAAACATTAAATCCATTTCCATGAAAGTCAGAAAAAGGTCAAGATCCCTATTGTCATTATTGTCATTGATCTTTAGAATTTATCCCCTGTGCATTAAGATTTTTTTAAAAAGAATATTATAACATGTAAATATAATATATTAAGTGAGGGGAAGGCAAGTTATAAGAGAGTAAAAAATATACTATTTAAATTAAAAAGTAGACTGCAAAAATACATAAAAAATAATCATTGTTACCTCTGGGAGATAAAATTTTGAGTGACTTTTTTAAAAGTTTGAACATTCTTCCACATTTTCCTGATTTGCATTAACATACCCACTATTATATTTTTCTCATTAAAGAAAGTAACATCTCACTACAGTATACTGGGAACCTGATGTAAAATACAATACCTGTGTTCCATACGTATTCGTTTATTAGGCATCTATTGTAGAATTTAGGGTATTCTAGACTTCATTTTCTAGCATTAGAAATTAATGTACAAAATTTAATTGCACACTAGCCTAAGTTAATTTGGATATACTAACTGTTAGGTTCTTAGCTACTCCCCACAGCCTTGAGATTAGATTATAATGAATGCAAAACTGAGACCAAATCCTTCCACACTTACAGACATTTATTAAACGTTCATTGAAGCAGACACAAAACATTTCATACAACCTGTTTTGTAAGCTTGACAACATCCCAGCAGTCTGTCCTTTTAGTGTTCCAGCCACCATCTTGCATGGAAGGTTCATTTGAGGCAAACGTGACAATACTCCAGGGTCAGGATTCTGTTCCCGTTGTAGTCCGTGTCAGGCAGTCCCAATCACCTGACCCATTGACTGGACATGGGACCCTTTAGAGGTCAAGCGCCAGACTCGTTTCTAGTGGTACAGGCTACCAGCCTCACCAGATTCTAATACCCTTTCATGAAGGGTGAGAGTGTCTCTAAAAACTTTAGCTTTTCCCCATATCTTGAATAACTTCAGTTTCGCCAGAGAGAGCCCATTTCTACATCACATGATTAACAAGCTTCTAATTTCACTGATATAAACTCATTTCTGACATTCACTCTGCTAATGACCAAAGCCTCAGGTGGCCTTGGATCACAAACGTCCCTGTGGTAGCCCCCTCTGGAGCAAGGCCTTTCCCTTACCCTACTGGTTCTCCCTGAGGTGAAAATTTCAAGCAGGGCATCATCTTACTGTCCCCTAGATCTTAAATTTGACACACACAATATCATACTGTCTAGGCTAAAGTATTTTTAAGTAAAATACTGACGTAAACAATTGAATTTTTGAATGGCAGCAAACAAGAGGTTGGGAACCTCTAAGTAGACAGGGGACCATGGATTAGTACTGAGCAATGAGGTTGCAGATGTTTGTGGAAATCAATTGATGGAAAGTGGGCTATCATATATGATACCAATGATCATTAAGAACTGCTATGTACTGGAGCCGGCCCGGTGGCACAGCAGTTAAGTTCACTCGTTCTGCTTCTCGGCCGCCTGGGGTTCACTGGTTCGGGTCCTGGGTGCAGACATGGCACTGCTTGGCAAAAGCCGTGCTGTGGTAGGCGTCCCACATATGAAATAGAGGAAGATGGGTATGGATGTTAGCTCAGGGCCATTCTTCCTCAGCGAAAAGAGGAGGATTGGCAGTAGTTAGCTCAGGGCTAATCTTCCTCCAAAAAAAAAAAAAAAACTCCTATATAGAGTAGATTACACTAGGAAACAAAACTAAAGCCTGAGAGGTAATTAAGGAATTTTTCTTCATTTGTGTCTTTGGTTCTGTTCACATTTGCCAAGTTCCCCCCCCCCCCCCAAGTAAAAAATAATGCAAGTTCATTATGTAAAATTTGGGAAATATAAAAAAGGATAATGAAGAAAATAAAAATCACCTCAAATCCTAGCTCCCAGTTGTAAACTTAGTTAACATTTAGTGTAAATCCTTTCCATTTTCTTCCATTCCTATACATGTTTATTTTCCATAGACTGTACAATGTTAAACTCTTTTCTAATCGTGAAAGTAATGCATATTGAATTTAGAAAACAGAAAACACAAAGAAAAAGAAATCACCATAATCCTTTCAGTCATCGGGACCGTATTTTATTTGTACTCTCATCCCAGCAGCTAACACAATGCCCTATTAAGCAGACTGTGTTGTCTGCTTGATACCTGCTCCGTGAATAAAGAGATCATTTGCCGACACTGTATTTAGAAAGACAACATATTCTAAAACCAATCTTGTGACCATGGCTTGAAGGGAAGAAAGGAAACAAACCCATTTCTATCAGAAAATGATTCTAAAGCCTACTCCTTGAACACCTTAGCTTTTTATCTCGCGAATTGACCTTTCTCAGCAAGATGTCCATGGCCCAAATTGTGTATTGCGTGCCAAAGAGTTAAGTCAGATTACTGCTACACTTCTCACAATCCAAGTTCCACATCTCTATTTGTATTTCAATGAAAAGGATTCATGGTGCACTGAGTCATTAAGGCTCTAAGATCTTTGCAATTCTTAATGGCAGCCCACCAGGGAAAGCCATTGTAGAACAGAAATAGCCATAGGATTAGAGAAGAAAGCCTTGTTTGCAATGCCATTGCTGCTGTGTGCACTACCTCCTGTGCTGTGGCATGAATGGATTTAGATATAAATCTGAGGCTTTGCAGACTAAGCACCCTCATCAAATAGTATTTATTGAGGGTTATGGCTGAGATACTGTTTTCCTTAGAAACAAGAGGCAACAGGAAATTTGACTGAGAGTAAGAATTTTAACACAAATACACATGGCAACCTTTCATGCAATGTCTTCTTAACCTAATAGCCTTAAAACCGTATACTTAGTTCTTGGAGTAGAAAAAATTTATAAAGAGAGAAAATTTCAGTTTGATTTGATTTCCCAGTTATGATCCATATTTTTCCCTCAAATTTTCTAAAATCCATGTTAGAAGCATGCAGTGATTAATGTGACTTTCAATTTCTTCTCCTCTTTATCTGCCTACAGATAAACCAGGTCAAACCAGGAATAAGTTACAATTGAAGAAATATTTTCCACATCTTACCACACACATACAAAAACACCAATTAGCTATTATTTTCTGTATTTATAACCCACTAATGAATCTCTTGAAATGGAGGCTGAAATCTGTAAATGTCTGGGCTGAAATGAAGTTCAATCTCAGAACGTAGTGAAGAAATTTTGGACAATTAGGCAAACTCTGCTCTCTAGAAAACTGTTCTCTGAGACACAGCAGAGGAGGAGGCAGAAATGGGATTGAAAGCAGGTTTCTTAGGGGGAAGAAGTGAAGCTGAGAGCACTGGGCAGACAGGTTGGGGACGTCTCTGGAGAGGCTTTCAGTAGAAGCTGACTTGAGATGAAATGCAGGTGACGAAAGATCTTTGATCATCTTCCTGGTTGTACTGAAGATTGTGTAAAAAAGATAAAATATCTAATGCTTACTTTAGAGAAACGCAAAATTCTAACCAAATTCCCCAGGTCCAAATATATAATGTGCAAAGATTTGAAAGAAATGAAGTTATATCCCCAAGTAAGTGTTAGGAAGCAAACTTAACCTCCTCTTTATTTTAGCCATCTGACTTTAATTGTACTGTGTGTGGCAATTATCTAGACTCTGTGGTTTAGAAATCCAGCAATTGGTAAGAGTGATAAATTTGGAAGCCCATAAGAAAGCTCTGATTAGATGAAAATGCAAACTGCAAATTTCTCTTACAGCCACTAAATTCAAAGTGGATTTAATTGTCTCCACTAGATTTATCTTAGGTCTACAAATTGATGATCTTTCTCTATGAAAGAAAACAGTATAACAGTAAAAACTGAAAGGGGACAGTCCTCATATTCCATTGCCATAAGTTGAAAAGCTTCAAGTTGAAAAGATGAAATAGTGTTTATTGGTATTAAAATAATGAAGGAATGTTGAACAAAGAGATAAAGAAAAGCAATTATTTTATTAAAAGGTGAGAAATTAATTTAAAATTAAGTTTGCTGTAGCCCTTGATTTACTAGCAAATTTTTTAAATGCAGACATTATATTTCCCAGTAGTCTTGTAGCTGCACATTCCTGTAGTCCATGTATTCTACTGAGCTTGAGAATGGGGATTAATTTTAGATGTGGATCCTGCCCATTCTCTAATATGTGTTATATTTCTATGCTATAACATTTATATATGTATTGTGTATGCATATATAATGTACACTCATATGTACTGATCAATACATACCACATGCCATCAGAAGGTTAAATTATACGGGAAGTGGTCTACCCATTAAGGCCTAAAAAGGAAAATACATTTTAGAGAATATTTTCAAGTGGGGTTAGAGGTGAAGAAATCTTTTTAATGGTTCTATCACTTTTGTTTAGACTAGCAATATCTCCCTAGCTAGAGCATAAGTTTAATTGAGGAGAAAAAATCAGTTCCAATGAATGTCCCTGCTTCTATATGTTGTTGGACATATTCTTCCTTGAAATGCCTGACGTTTCTCCTCTCAGCCAGTCTGAACACTGGCACATGGTAAACTCTCAGATTATGGCTCAAAAGAACTTAGCCATCCTTTGAAGGCTGTCTTTTATCCTACTAACCTCACAGAATGTTTCCTGACTCCCTGCAGTCCACAGGGAACTCTCCTTTTTCTGAACTTTTGTAGCACTTAAAATGTAAACAATTTGAATATCATTTGTTGTCTTTCAAAAATGGTCTTATATTTTCTTTGCTCATGTATGCCCTGTCTTCCTGACTAGATTATATGCCATTTGAGGGTGGATATCAGTCTTGTACTTTGTGTCACCATTGCACCTAGCTCAATGCCTTGTACATAGAAGTAGAATAGTTATGAGTGTTAAATACATTCACTTAAGTGATTGCTTAATTATATTGGTCTAGTATAAGCCATGGAGTTTGGCATTTAGAAAATACTTGAATACCTGTTTACTTGAAACTAAATGAGCAGTGGGAATTAAATTATTTTTTTAAATCTTGTTTGATAAAAATTTAGCCAAATGGTTTGTTGTGCGTTTTAAAGAAAAGATATTTGATAGTGTTACAGACAAACGCTTTAAGGAAATGCCGTTGTTGCATCTGGCTGTATCTGAAAACTTTGTCTAATATTGAAGCTCTGCAGTAAGTTTGGGTTAATCGCACACGTTTTTTTCCTCAAGTTCAGTGCAGAATAGTTTTTGCCTTTTATATGAATAAAATAACTTAAAATTTAGTTTCAACAAGTATGATACTTTTTCAACAGCTACCCCATATTTAGCGTTTAGTTTCATTTCAGAAGACTTTTTTATAGAGCTTGAAACTCTGCTTTTCAGTTAGTGACAAGGTCTTCTGAATAAACTTAAGTATTTTAGACATGTGAATGCTAAATATTTTTGCCAAATTTTTTTTTTTTTTTTTTTGGCCTCCTTTCTACCTAGTGGCCAACGTTGGCTGTGGATAGGTTTGAATAAAAGGAGCCCTGATTTAGAAGGATCCTGGCAATGGAGTGATCGTACACCAGTAAGTTTGAACTTTCTTGTTTGGGGTAGTATGGAAAGAATATTTGTTTCAAGAACCAGAAGCTGATTGTTAAATAATACATCCACATTCCATAGAACCATTAAAATTATGTAGATATATCTTTATTGAAATGGAGATAGATTCACCTATATGAAGTAGGGGAAAAACAAGTTACCAATCTCATTTTTATTAAAAAAAATACCCATATGTATAGTCTCTCTATATATAGTCCAAAAAATATAAAAGTATAAATATATAGATATAGTGGTCATCTTTGGGTAGTACAAGTGGTTTTTTCTTTTTCTTTGTATTTTTTTCCTTTTTTTTCATAATGAGAAGCTTTTATCATCTAAAAATGTAAGAGTTATGTAAAAAAGAAAACATCTTTATTGGGGGGAATAATTTGTTTGGAGGGAACCTTAAAAATTATTTCAAATGTTTACATTATCCTAAAGAGAGATTTTAAGTAACACTTTTAAGAGCAAATTATTCTCAAATATTAAATATTCGCTCCACATTACCATTGTGTCAATTCATCGTGTATTCTTTCTAAATGTAAAATTCCTTGACTTTCATTTTCAAATTGGAACATATCTGAGAATACTTAATCGAGCAGCTAGCTTTTCAACACATGCAAAAAAAATATGTCTTTAGCAAGCTCCCGATACTCTGTGACTCCAACTGGGAACTTAATACACCGTTAACCTCCACTTCTGAAACTGTGGCTTCCTTTCTTTGGAAACTGATGACATTATGATGTTTTCTAAGTCCCCTCGTGATTTAGCATCCTGATATAAAAAAAAAGAGATGAAAAAGTTTTCCTTCCATGGCATATGAATGCGCTTGAGTTATTAAAGCTGCCCAAATTACATCTAAATTGCAAACATTTATACATCAGTCTTAAATTCTCAAGCCTCTCTTGTCTTTCAAGGTATCTACTATTATCATGGAAAATGAATTTCAGCAGGATTATGATATCAGAGACTGTGCTGCTGTGAAGGTCAGTACAATGCTGCAAAATCTGCATATTTAAAAAATAAATCTGGCATCGCGTACAGTCAGGCAACAGATCCATGGGTTGCCTTTTGTGTGTGGAGCATGATATTAGGTGCCGTGGGAGGCAAGAAGTAGACCGATGGCCCCACCCTCAAACAACCTAACTTACACTTAATTTGAGAAGATAAAATTCATATTCAAGAAAGATGGTTCTTATGACTACATAGTAATAAACTTCAAATGAATAGGCTGAAGAGGGCTAATGAAACTCAGAAGAGGAAGTGATTCCTGTGGACTATTTCCAGAAAGAGATGGGACTTGAATTGGACCTTAAGGATGGATAGAGTTTGTACAGATAGGATAGGGTAAGGCTTCCTAGTGGGGAATGGAGTGAGGAGGTGACATAAAATAAAAGGGAGTGGAAAGGAGGGGCTGAGGCAGAGAGGAGAACAGAATACAGATCAAGAAGTTTTAGTTGGCGCTGTGGTTGAAAACAAAGCTGGGAAATTAGACTACTGCCAGATTAATGAGTTTGTGCGTTTTTTGGTAGGTAACAGAGCATTGTTAAAGTTTTTTCACATGAACTAAAGAGGGTGTGAGATTCATCTTGAGACAGATTTCAAGGTGCAACGGATAGGACCGGAAGACATAAAAGACTAGTCAGGCAACTTTCTTTGCAGAATTCCTTTGTTTATTCATTCCATAAGTAATATATCCAAACAGTGTGCGACGCTCTGGGAGAACAACAATGACAAGGTATAAAACAGGTGTTGTCTTCACAGAACTTACAGCCTAGCAGGAGATAACGACAAGTAAGCAAGCAATTACAAAGGCTGTGACAGGCGAAGTATAAGCTTTATGCCAAAGCAAGAGTGTTATGGGAGAGTAATAATGCTGGTGATGGTGGCAATGATGATGATGACAGCAGCAGCTAATGCTTGTTGCTTCATGAGCTAGGCACGGTGCTAGGCATGTCACATATGTTATTCACTTAATACTTAAACAACCTCATGAGATAGGTTCTGTTCCCATATTCATCTCACGAGGAAGAAATTTGAGCTCTGAGTAACTTACGTGGTTATAGAACTAAAATTTAAACCCAAGTGTCTGGATCTACTATGCTGTATGACTACGCATTTATAGAAACAGTCAGAAGAGCTACTGGTTTATGGAGAAAATACTACATTTTAATTTAGATATTTTGACTCTAAGCTAGCAGTAAGAAATATCCTATATAGGAAGTTGAAATCAAGAGACTGGAGTTGAATGGAAATTGTATATTTAAAAAAGTACAAAGGGCCAATAAGTAGATTTGGGGGAATTGCCAATTGTAAAATGTAAGAAGATGTGGAAGGAAGAGACATATAGATAATATCTTTGCTCTGTAAGTCCAAGAAAGAGATTCAAGAAGGTGGTTGACCAGAAGTGTTACAGGAAGGTTGAGACAAAGAACTGAGAGGCCATTGGAAAGCACTGTTTACAAAGTAACTTCTAGTAATAAAGTGTATAGTATCATACCATTTTTGTAGAATTCCCAGTTTAACATATGGAAAGGCGAAAACTTCAGAGAAGCTTGTGAAGTTTCCAGAACATTGATGCAATAAACTATACTATGTCTATGTAAGTAGAGTCCCCATGTGTGAAGAGATTTGAAAATCTACGAAAAAACTAAATAGAGGAAACACTGGTGCAGCGTGCAACAGGAACTAGGCCAGCCAGGGCAGTGATCTGCAAGGAGAATCTTACCTCACCTGCCACAGTACCCACCAGAATCTTGGCCTTAAGAGAAAACAGTCCAAAAAGTGATGGATGCTCCTCCCAGATCGTGCCCTCCCCTCTCCTTTCTCTCTTCCTTGCTGATTGAAATTTTTAGAGAACCACCTTGGACCACGTGGAGGAGGATAACATCCTAACAATGCAGAGCCACACCAAAGAAGGAATGTGGGCTCCTGGTGCCAGACCTTTATATCACTTTTTTATGGATCTGCTTTAATAACAGCCTAGTGTTTGGAAACCACTGAAGTAAATATTCTTTTCTAGCTTGATCTTTCCCAAATTTAAAGGTGTGAGATCCTACAGTTTTGTATCAACAAAAACAAAAACAAAAAACCTGATAATTTTCATTTGGACGTAAACATGACCTTATATTCCCTTTATCAGCCCTTTGAAGGCTCTTTCTTAGGCTCTTCCTGTTTAAACACTGTGTTTATTCGTGTGTTCATTCAATAAACAAATATCTTAGGTGCTAGAGCTAAAATAGAGTTAAAGACCACAGGGCTTAAAGTTTAGTGTTTTATAAGGGCTGCATCAACATCAAAATATTTTGCAATCCTCTTCCTTCTTTAGGTCGTTCATAACCCATGGCGAAGAAGCTGGTTTTACCATGAGGACAGGGAATTTATTTATTTAAGGCCTTTTGCTTGTGATGCGAAACTTGAATGGCTGTGCCAGATTCCAAAAGGTAAGTGGCAGTTATTCCTTTTCACAGTCTTCTCATGTGAACACTGTGAATGCCGAACCAAAAGTACCTAAGAGAGCATTTTGTCTATAATTATAATTTTAAAAAGCCTAGGAAGGTGCAGTTAATGTATTAAGCTTTATCCTGCCTGACTCCTACCCCTAGCAGAAGGCTGGGTTATTGGAATAAGATGGTACCTTCCTCTTGGATCATGAAAGTGTTTGTATGGAAGATAAAATTTAAGGCTAATTTAGAGAGATTAGATTTTGGAATGAAAGATTATTTCAAGTAAAAGAAGACATATAGCAGATGAAATCATTTTAATTTTTATATTGATGCAAAATGAAGATAAGCTTGGGAAGCATGTGACAAGAGTCAAGAAATCAAAATTTGGCAGGTCCCTGTAAAATGTAGAAGCAATTTTCAATGAACTCCAAAACTGCTGATAGTTTATGGAATTCAAATTCCAATTCGGGAAACCAGTTAGCTTGATAGTAGAGGCTTTGGTGACAAAAAGGAGAGAAAATAAATAGATTTCCTTTTACTTAGCTTTTTACTAGGGAAATGTTAAAGAAATATTAAGGAAAATGTTGAGATTACTCCCAAATTGTTTTTAAATAATTTTTATTGAATATGTTAAATTAATTAGTGGTAAATGCACAGAAAACTCTAAAATGAATTTCTGAACTGAATGTAAACAGATCATGGAAACTAAAGGTATATCCTCCTACAAGTTCTCAAAGAACCTGAAGGTTACATCGTGGAACTAGTATTAGAAGATAGTTCTTCTAATTGTTCTTTTTCCTTAAAAAAGGCCTTTAAAAAAGCTTCAACGTGACATCTGATACAGTAACTGGCAAGTCTCTTGCGCAAAGGCAAATTGGCAGGCCATTAATAAAAAGGGGATTGTGTGTGTGTGTGTTGATGGGGTTTTCCAAAGGAGAAATTGTACTTGAATTATTCCTGATTATTTGATAAAACCTGAGGGAGAAACAAAGGAAAATCAGTTTGTATACCCTTCACACAGATGGAAAAGTAAATAATATATATAATTAATTTGGACAATGTCTCTGGTTTGAAGCATTAGTGGTGACGCTCCCATTAGTCTTTGGCATTTGTTAGCATGCCACAGAGAGTGTCATTGCTCCCTCCAATAATGCCCACATGGTAGCTGCTACCTGCTGCCTCCTGTTTGAGTGGTGGGGCAGATCCAAGAGTTTACACCAGAGCAACCTTAGAAATGACAAACCAGTAAACACAGGAAACATTACAAAGAGTATGTGGTTTCCTTTATTCTTTTCTTTTCTTTCTTTCTTTTTTTTTTTTTTTTTTTTGGTATGGAAGATTGGCCCTGAGCAAACATCTGTTGCCAGTCTTCCTCTTTTTGCTTGAGGAAGACTGTTGCTGAGCTAACATCTGTGCCAATCTTCCTCTATTTTATGTGGGATGCTGCCAAAGCATGGCTTGACAAGTCCACACCCTGGACCCCAACCTGTGAACCCCAGGCTGCTGAAGCGGAGTGTGCAAACTTAACCACTATGTCATTGGGCTGGCCCACCTTTTTTCTTTTTTATATATTTTTATTTTAAACAAAAGAGAAGGGAATTAACTAACTTAGCAAATATAAATCAATTAACCAAATAAATAAATCTTCTAAATAATTGCATCCCTGCTTTCCCCATGCAGAAACAAAATTAAAAACTAAAGAACTTCCTGTCTCAGCCTATTCACGATCATTTGAAGCAATTAATGATTGTTTGATCCAGAGTTTAAAGGTTAACTCTTCTTTGATAGTGCCTGAATTTCTAAATTACATGTGTTACATTCACCTGCTTTGATCTTTTCTTGGGTGTTAGAGCAGCCAAACAAAGTCTGCTCAACTTGACACTCTATATTAATCTGTATTTTTGCATTTTCTTAAAGCAGTTTACCTCTTCAATAGCCTAAATTATCATACCTTTTCTCTACCTCTTGACTATTGATTACCTGATCCAGCTGGTTCTAATTAGACTCTGCTTCTCTAGAAGGGATATTCTGACAATGTAAAAATTTTAAATAGCCATAACCTCTATAGATCTATATCCTTTTTAAATACAGTCATGCACTGCATAACGATGTTTCGGTCAACAGTGGACCGCATATATGACAGGGGTCCCATAAGATTAGCACCATATAGCCTAGGTGTGTAGTAGGCTACACCATCTAGGTTTGTGTAAGTACACTCTATGATGTTCACACAATGAAATTGCCTAGTGACGCGTTTCTCAGATGTATCCTCATTGTTAAGCAAGGCATGACTGTGTTCTTGTTTTAATTGAGAAAACAGTATCAAAAATAGGGCTCATAAAAATGTTTTTAGGAAGATTACCTTTAATGCCACTACCCAAACAAAAAGTTTTTTATATTATATTTCTTGATACCTTGTACACACATATTTGTAATCTAGTGTAAAAAACACCTTGTGTTCTGCTTTTCTCACTAATTTAGAGAAATTTGAAGGTTAGACATAGCTTCCTCCAACACACAAATAGACAGAAGTCTTTGACAAGATTACAAATAAGAAACTATGTATATTTTTAACTGATTTGCAGGATTGTTTATGGACAGTATCCAATATGCAGAGAACTGCCTCAGACGGAGAAACCAAGGATACTGTATATGTACGCAGTTCTCTGAGTAGGGTCTTCCCATGCATCAGGCCCTGATTCAACAGTAAAATTAAAACCACCTGTTTTACATTCTAATTTCCAAGATTCGTCATATTACATCTTTGACTTGAAACCAGTGTAACCTACGGCCAGAATGAAAAGGAAAAGGAAAGCAACTAGTGTCCTGGGAAGAACTGCTCTGTGCCTGCACCTGTGCTGGGTGCTTCCATAGGGGCATCTTACCTGATCTTCAAACTGTCTTTGTGAGTTAGGTAGTAGAGTCTTGTTTTTACAGAATAGAAAGTTAAGGCTCAAGGAATTAAGCAACTATCCAAAGTACTGCAGCAGCAAAGTGTCTGAGGGCATTGGAACACTGACCCACCCAACCTCAAAGCCCATGATTCTTCTTAAGTGCTGTATTTCCTCTTTTTTTTTTTTTTTTTTTTGAGTAGGATTAGCCCTGAGCCAACATCTGCCACCAATCCTCCTCTTTTTGCTGAGGAAGACTGGCCCTGAGCTAACATCTGTGCCCATCTTCCTCTACTTTATATGTGGGACGCCTACCACAGCATGACTTTATAAGCGTTTCATAGGTCCGCACCCAGGATCCGAACTGGCAAACCCCAGGCCACCGAACGAAGCAGAATGTGTGAACTTAACCACTACGCCACCGGGCGGGCCCCTGATTTTTATTCTTCTCTCAGTTGTGTCTCTCGCCTTCTCAAAAAGTTCGGTACTGGATCATTGTACATTGTTTCCAAGGATATCCTGGGACACAGTAAACTCTACCAACCTGGGTTTACAGAGCAATTACTCAAATTCCATTAGATGGAGATGTGATTCCTGAATAACCACATCCGACAATGATGATAATTCTGGTGCATATTCCTTAGTGCTTCTATGTAATGTATATATTATCATCATTTACTTATTTGTACTATTTAATTATTAGCTATATTTTATCCATCTGGTCTTCCTTTGTGACTTCCATGATACAAGGTAGAGAACTGCTAGTAATACTTTATTAATATTTAACAGATCTGCCTTTTTGGTTGCTGCTAAAACAACTTTAAGCATAGGCCCCACAAAATTCAAACTGAAGTGATTGTAACATGAAGGGAAATGATTTGTCCAGAAATGGACAAGCTTCAACAATGGTGCAAGTCTTCTGGGTTACGTAAAAGGCCCTACTTAGGATATGCCGTGATCTGTAATTGGATACTAAACTTAAGCCACTTATTTTCTTCCTTTTACAGGCCGTTTGCCAAAAACACCAGACTGGTACAATCCAGGTGAGTTAAGAAAACTAAAATTTAGCCAAAGCTGCTTTTGCCTTTTCAGTGATGTATTTTGTTAATTATTTAAGCCCAGGCCTAAGTGCCAGCTTCTTCTCTATCACATCTTCAAATGAGATGAAATGCCTCCAGGCGGGGAAGGTGATTGGCTGGTTTGGGATGAGGCTATGAGGCTGGGTTTGTCCTTCTCTGTGAGTTCAGGAGGATGTCAGAGTCACTCACTGGCTCAGGAATCCTTGGTTTCTTCCAGGCAGCACTGCCCTGACCAGAGAGAACTACTAATCTAAATGGATTACTATTACTATTAGTAAATTACTATTTATAAATAATTTGGAACGTTAGTCCGTGTTTAGAGGGTACAGTTTAGTTTGCATAGTCATAACTCTCATCTTCTTCCTCTTTAGAGCGTGCGGGAATTCATGGACCACCAGTTATAGTAGAAGGGAGTGAATATTGGTTTGTTGCTGATCCTCATTTAAACTACGAAGAAGCCGTCCTGTATTGTGCTAGCAATCACAGTTCTCTGGCTACTGTGACATCTTTTGTAGGACTAAGAGCCATCAAAAACAAAATAGCAAATGTAATGTAAAAGAATATATTTTTTAATGTTTTTCTTATATTTATTCCATTAAAAAATATTTTAAAAATCTACAAAAGTTAAATGGTCCTCTAAAGTAAAATTTGCTCACTGACATCCAAATTCGTTATTTCAAGTTAGAACAGTTAAATAGAGTTGCTTAATGTTTTAGAGTATTTACAATTAGTTATAAATGTCAATTTATAAGATGAGCATCAATAGATAATATAAATCATTTTAATTCCTTGTCATACTTTTTACTAGAAGTTAGCTTTATAGTTAACTTGAGTTTCTGTTTCTACTAATATCTAACTTTGCAAAATAGCTTTTTGGAGGAAAAATAACGTATCTTTTAAAATTTATACTTAGTTGCAATAGGACACTGTATGTCCCAAGAATGTATGCAGGGACATACATTATTGTGACCATATTTTCTGGACGTAAAATAGGGCCTGAGAATATACAAACAGTTTTCAAACTACTTTTCAAACTTCTTTACCTGGTTTGTATACTTTAGAGACCAAAGTAATGGAATGCCTGGAAATTGTGGTGGTTTGTGGTTATGGTAGGACAGGGTATTTAAATAAAACCCGTTCTAGAAAATTCAGCACATGTAAGGATGGGTGTTTGGTTTGTTTTTCAGATATCTGGTGATGAACAGAAGTGGTGGGTGAGAAGTGAGCAGCCAACAAATCGTCGTTTTTTATAGTATGTGACATCATTGACGCTGCCTTTGTAAAGTTATCATTTAAAAGAAGCAGTCCAAAATTCCCTTTTACCAAGTGGATTTCTATTTATAATTCGTTTTGAATGTTAAGCCATATACTGCCTAGACTAGCAAAACCAAGTCTTTTGCATGTTAGCGTCAAGAAAATGACATAACGTTAAATTTAGAATTCAAATTACTTACAGTAAAAAACAGACTGGGACATGTAAGTACATTACGAATTGTCGAATCTCTCATTTTCTTTCAGCTCACGATATCCATGGCGTCACATCCCTATAACCTTTGGGGAGGAATGCTTGTACTTGTCTGCCAGGAGTTGGTTTAGCGGTAAAGTAAATTCCGAATCCTTTCGTGTTGACTATGTAGTATATGAGCTTCAGGTTCAATTATAGCTTAATCTTGTTTTCCTTTGCGTTATATGTTCGGTAGCTTTATCTTATTCTGATTTATTGCTAATGACAATAGCTCAAATTCCAAATGCAAATAAAGGTGCTTTTCACTGTGAATATTTTGACTTCCTTTATCCTAAAGTGGTTACTTAAGAAATAAACTTGCCACTTTCGTAACTGATAAGCATACAGACAAATTTGCACAGATGAACAGGCAGAGTTCTAAATACAGTTTAGGTCCTTTTCCCCTCATTAGCCTTCTTCGGCTTTCTTCTTACTTCCTGCCATCAGGAACTATGGAAACAGTGGTCATTACATCACATGTGTGCATTTTTATACCCAATTTTGGTGTGCTATAACCTACTGATACGAATAATAATAGAAGGCAAAAATGGCTAGGGAAGAAAAGGAATATATTTTAACCATTTGGGAAAGACTGACTTAACGAGACTTTCTTTACTAGGGGATTGTTTTTTAAAGTGTGCTGAATGGAAAATTCTCACCACAGTAATCCTGCTTTTCATTTCTCAGACTTAAATAAACCAGCAGACTGTAGTATCAAGTTGCCCTTCGTCTGTGAAAAATATAATGTATCTTCATTAGAGAAATATAGTCCAGACTCTGCAGCTAAAGTACAATGCTCTGGGGATTGGACTCCTTTTCAGAATAAGGTAAAAAGAGAATTGCTGCTTTATGCAAATAATGATTGCTTTTATGATGGTTGTATGGCCTGTGGCAGAAGGACAACCCATCAAATAACTTGACTAAGATAGCCTCTGCATATCTCAGCATCTCACCTGATTCTCTACACTGCCGGAAACCGAGTTATCTTTCAAGTTAGTCATGCCTACAGGTCTGTCCAAGTACTGCGTTCCTATTCTATCAGTACTAACACTTCTGTCGCTGAAGTTGATCTGTCAATGGATAGTGATACATTGAATGGTCAGGACTGTCTCTATGGCATGTAGGAAACTGACTTAATTTCTGCCTGATAAATTTTCCCCCGAAGGAAAACATCCAAGCAGCATCTACCAATCAAATTAGACCAGCATTTCCCAAACTACTTTTTGGGAACTACATGTATGCTAACAAAGTGTTAATCAGTGATCTTGCCTTCAAAGGGGGGTTTATGATTAAATAGGTTTGGGAAGTGCTGCTTTCTATGTCTGCCTCTTTGAGGGGCATAATCCATGGTGGTATATGTCTCTCTTAGGAAATGCATTTGGCTGCTAAAAAGAGAGAATGCTAGAGTATGTTAAAGCATTTATTCTCTCACATAAAAGAAGTTTGAAGGTAAGCAGGTTGTAGTTGGTGTGGAAGCTTCATGATGTCTTTGAAACCAGACTCCTTTTTTTTGAGGAAGACTCGCCCTGAGCTAACATCCACCGCATTCCTCCTCTTTCTGCTGAGGAAGATTGGCCCTGAGCTAGCATCTGTGCCCATCTTCCTCTATTTTATATGTGGGACACCTGACACAGCATGGCTTGACGGGCAATGCCAGGTCCATGCCTGGGATCCAAACTGGCAAACCCCAGGCCACTGAAGTGGAGCGCGTGAACTTAACGGCTACGCCATCAGGCTGGCCCTGAAACCAGGCTCCTTTTGTTTTTCTCTTCTGCATTTTTTTTTTAGTGAGGATGATTGTCCCTGAGCTAACATCTGTGCCAGTCTTCCTCTATTTTAAAGTATATGGGACGTTGCCACAGCATGGCTTGATGAGCGGTGTGTAGGTCCCTGCCTGGGGATCCTAACCTGCAAACTCTTGGCCGCTGAAGCAGAGTGCATGAACTCAACCACTATGCCACCAGGCCACCCATCTCTTCCACCATTTTTAACATAAGGCTGCCAAGGTCAAATTCAGAGTGTTCTCTCTAGAGTCTTTTCTAGAAGCCATCCAAAGGCATATATCATTGGCCATTCAAGTCTGTAAGTAGGCTGAAAAAAACATTTTATAGAATGTTTCAAGAAACACACTTTGGGACATACCACTCTACACTAACATGGTCATAATATCAAAAAGAAAAAGGAAGAGATGTGTCTGACAGCTGAAAGCAATCTGCAGTAAAGTTATAATATTCGGAGTATATTTTGGCTTTTTAAAATTAAGACAATCTTTTTTGTTCCCCAAAGTACTGGGACCAAAGTAATTTACATGGTTGATGTAAATTTGAATTAAAATATTCTGCCGAAAGACAAGGAGATAATTTCTTTAAAAATGTGGTTTTTAAAAAAAATTTATTTTTTTATTGAGTTTGTAATAGTTTACATCATTGTGAAGTTTCAGCTGTACATTATTTCTTGTCCGTTCCCATGAAAGTGCTCCTTTTCACCCCCTGTGCCCACTCCCCACCCCCCTTCCCCTGGTAACCACCGAACTGATCTCTTTGTCCATGTGCTTGTTTTTCTTCCACATATGGGTAAAATCATCTGGTGTTTGTCTTTCTCAGTCTGGTTTATTTCGCTTAACATCACACCCTCCGGGTCCATCCATGTTGTTGCAAATGGGATGGTTTTGTCTTTTTTTACGGCTGAGTAGTATTCTATTCTATATATATACCACATCTTCTTTATCCAATTGTCGGTCAATGGGCACTTGGATTGTTTCTGCATCTTGGCTATTGAGAATAGTGCTGCAACGAACATAGGGGTGCATATGTTACTTTGGATTGTTGACTTCAAGTTGTTTGGGTAGATACCCAGTAGTAGGATAGCTGGGTCATATGGTATTTCTATTTTTAGTTTTCTGAGGAATCTCCATGCTGTTTTCCATAATGGCTGCACCAGTTCGCATTCCCGCCAGCGGTTTATGAGGGTTCCTCCTTCTCTACAACCTCTCCAATATTTGTTATTTTTAGTCTTAGTGGTTATAGCCGTTTTAAGAGGCGTAAGGTGGTATCTTAGTGTAGTTTTGATTTGCATTTCCCTGATGGTTAGTGATGTTGAACATGTTTTCATTGGCCACCTGTATATATTCTTTGGAAAAATGTCTGTTCATGTCCTCTGCCCGTTTTTTGATCTGGCTGTTTGTTGTTTTGTTGTTCAGTTGTGTGAGTTCCTTATATATTATGGGGATTAACCCCTTGAAAGATATATGATTTGCAAATATTTTCTCCCAATTGGTGGGTTGTCTTTTTGTTTTGATCCTAGTTCCTTTTGCCATGCAGAAGCTCTTTAGTCTGATGAAGTCCCACTTGTTTATTTTTTCTTTTGTTTCCCTTGTCTGAGAAGACATTGTATTTGAAAAGATCCTTTAAGTTCAGAGTCACAGAGTGTACTACCTATATTATCTTCCAGAAGTTTTATGGTTTCAGGACTTATCTTCAAGTCTTTGATCCATTTTGAGTTTATTTTTGGATATGGTGTGAGATAATAGTCTACTTTCATTCTTTTGCATGTGGCTGTCCAGTTTTCCCAACACCATTTATTGAAGAGACTATCTTTTCTCCATTGCATGTTCTTGGCACCTTTGTCGAAGATTAGCTGTCTGTAGATGTGTGGTTTTATTTCTGGGCTTTCAGTTCTATTCCACTGTTCTTGATCTGTATGCCTGTTTTTGTACCAGTACCATGCTGTTTTGATTACTATGGCTTTGTAGTACATTTTGAAGTCAGAGATTTTGATGCCTCCAGCTTTGTTCTTTTTTTTTCTCAGGATTGCTTTAGCAATTCGGAGTCTTTGGTTGTCCCATATGAATTTTAGGATTCTTTGTTCTATTTCCGTGAAGAAGGTCATTGGGATTCTGATTGGGATTGCATTGAATCTGTAGATTGCTTTGGGTAGTATGGACATTTTAACTATGTTTATTCTTCTGATCCATGTGCATGGAATCTCTTTCCATCTCTTTATGTCATCATCTATTCCTTTCTATAATGTCTTATAGTTTTCATTGTCTAAGTCCTTCACCTCCTTGGTTAAATTTATTCCTAGATATTTTATTCTTTTTGTTGCAATTGTAAGTGGAATTGTATTCTTGAGTTCTCTTTCTATGAGTTCATTATTGGAGTATAGAAATGCAACTGATTTCTGTAAGTTGATTTTGTACCCTAAAACTTTACTCTAGTTGTTGATTATTTCTAGTAATTTTCCAATGGATTCTTTAGGGTTGTCAATATATAAGATCACATCATCTGCAAACAGTGAGAGTTTAATTTCTTCATTTCCTCTTTGGATTTCTTTTATTTCTTTTTCCTGCCTAATTGCTCTGGCCAAAATCTCCAGTACTATGTTGAATAAGAGTGGTGATAGTGGGCACCTGTGTCTTGTTCCTGTTTGGAGAAAGATGGCTTTCAGTTTTTCCCCATTGAGTATAATGTTGGCTGTGGGTTCGTCATATACAGCCTTTATTATGTTGAGGTAATTTCCTTCTATCCCCATTTTGTTAAGAGTTTGTATCATAAATGACTGTTGGATCTTGTCAAATGCTTTCTCTGCATCTATTGACATGATCTTGTGGTTTTTATTCCTCATTTTGTTAATGTGGTGTATCACATTGATTGATTTATGGATGTCAAACCATCCCTGAGTCCCTGCTATAAATTCCACTTGATCATGATGTATGATCTTTTTGATGTATTGCTGTATTTGGGTTGCCAATATTTTGTTGAGGATTTTTGCATCTATGTTCATCAGCAGTATAGGCCTGTAGTTTTCCTTTTTCATGTTGTCCTTGTCAGGCTTTGGTATCAGAGCAGAAAATGTTGGCTTCATAGAATGTGTTAGGAAGCATTCCATCTTCCCTAATTTTTTGGAATAGCTCGAGGATAGGTATTAAATCCTCTTTGAATGTTTGGTGGACTTCTCCAGGGAAACCGTCTGGTCCTGGGCTTTTATTTTTTGGAATGCTTTTGATTTTTATTGTTTTAATCTCTTTACTTGTGATTGGTCTATTCAGATTATCCATTTCTTCTTGATTCAGCTTTGGGAGGTTGTAAGAGGCTAAGAATTTATCCATTTCTTCTGGATTGTCCAGTTTGTTGGCATATAGCTTTTCATAGTATTCTCTTATAATCCTTTGTATTTCTGTGGTATCTGTTATAATGTCTTCTCTTTCATTTCTAATTTTATTTATCTGAGCTTTCTCTCTTCTTTGTAAGTCTGGCTAGGGATTTGTCAATTTTGTTTATCTTCTCAAAGAACCAGCTCTTTGTTTCATTGATCCTTTCTACTGCCTTTTTTGTTTCAATAGTGTTTATTTCTGCTCTGATTTTTTATTATTTCTCTCCCTCTGCTGACTTTGGGCTTTGTTTGTTCTTCTTTTTCTAATTCAGTTAGGTGTAGTTTGAGATTGCTTATTTGGGATTTTTCTTGTTTGTTAAGGTGAGCCTGTATTGTGATGAATTTCCCTCTTAGTACCACTTGTGCTACATCCTATATGAGTTGGTATGGTGTGTTTTCATTTTCATTCATCTCCAGATATTTTTTGATTTCTCCTTCAGTTTCTTCAATGATACATTGGTTGTTCAATAGCATGTTGTTTAGTCTCCCCATCTTTGTCCCTTTCTCAGCTTTTTTCTTGTAACTAATTTCTAGCTTCATAGTGTTGTGTTCAGAAAAGATGTTTGTTATTATTTCAATCTTCTTAAACTTATTGAGGCTTGCCTTGTTTCCCAACATACAGCCTATCCTTGAGTATGTTACATGCACACTTGAGAAGAATTCTGGATGGAATTCCACATGGAAGGTGTATTCTGCTGTTTTTGGATGGAGTGTTCTATATATATTGATTAAATCCAACTAGTCTAGCTTTTCATTTAATTCCACTGTGTCCCTGTTGACTTTCTGTCCAGATGATCTATCCATTGATGTGACTAGAGTGTTGAGGTCCCCTACTATTATTGTGTTATTATTAATATCTCCTTTTAGGTTTGTTAATAGTTGCTTTATGAACTTTGGTGCTCCAGTGTTGGGTGCATAGATATTTATAAGTGTTATGTCTTCTTGGTGGAGTGTCCCTTTGATCATTATATACTGTCCCTCTTTGTCTCTCTTTACATGCCTTATCATGAAGTCTACTTTGTCTGATATAAGTATTGCAACACCTGCTTTCTTTTGTTTGCCATTAGCTTGGAGTATCATCTTCCATCCCTTCAGTCTGGGCCTGTGTTTGTCATTGGAGCTAAGATGTGCTTCCTGGAGGCAGCATATTGTTGGGTCTTGCTCTTTAATCCATCTTGCCACTCTGTGCCTTTTTATTTGAAAATTCTACAATTTTCTGATTTTCATCTCTTTACTCCAGGCTTTGAAACCCCTTTCTCCCTTTTTTATTTCAGGTATGAGGGCCTTCTTTAGGATTTCATGGGGCGGGAGGGTCGGGAGGGTCTTGTGGGTATGAACTCCCTTAGCTTTTGTCTATCTGGGAAAGTTTATATTTCTCCATCATATCTGAGGGATATTTTCGCTAGGTAGAGTGTTCTTGGCTGAAATTTTTTGTCCTTCAAAGACTTGAATATGTCATTTCTGTCTCTCCTAGCCTGTAAGGCTTCTGCAGAGAAATCCTCTGAAAGCCTGATGGGGGTTCCTTTGTAGGTTATTTTCTTCTGCCTTGCTGCCCTTAGTATTTTTTCTTTATCATTCACTTTTGCCAGTTTCACTACTATATGCCTTGCAATCAGTCTTTTCACATTGACATATTTAGGAGATCTGATAGCGTCTTTCATGTGGATTTCCATCTTCTTCCCCAGGTTTGGAAAGTTCTCTGCTATTATTTCTTTGAACAGACTTTCTGCCCCATTTTCTTTCTCTTCTCCCTCTTGAATACCTATAATTCTTATGTTGCATTTCCTAACTGAGTCAGATATTTCTTTGAGACGTTCTTCATTTCTTTTTAGTCTCAGTTCTCTCTCCTCCTCTATCTGGAGCAATTCAGTCTGTCTATCTTCAATTATACTGGTTCACTCCTTGATGATATCCACTCAAGCATTCAGGGAATCCATATTTTGTTTTATTTCATCTGTTGTGTCTTTCATCTCCAATATTTCTGATTGGTTCTTCTTTATAGTTTCAATCTCTTTTGTGAAGTAGCTCCTGAACTTGTTGAATTGTTTCTCTACATTCTTTTTTAACTCATTGAGTTTTTTGATGATAGCTGTTTTGAATTGTCATTTAGATTACGTATTTCTTTGTCTTCAGGATTGATTTCTTTTTTTAAAATTATTTTTTATTTATTTATCTATTTTTAATTAATTTTTTTTTTAAGGATTGGCACCTGGGCTAACAACTGTTGCCAATCTTTTCTTCTTTCTTCTTCTTTTTTTCCTGCTTTATCTCCCCAAACCCCACCCCCCCACGCCCCCCCCCGCCCCCCCGTACACAGTTGTATATCTTAGCTGCTGGTCCTTCTAGTTGTAGGATGTGGGACGCCGCCTCAACATGGCCTGATGAGCGGTGCCATGTCCGCACCCAGGATCTGAACCCTGGGCTGCCACAGCGGAGGACACAAACTTAACCACTCGGCCACGGAGCTGGCCCCAGGATTGATTTCTGAGTCCTTGTCTTTTTCCTTTGGTCTGGAGATTTAATATAATTTTTGATACTGCTGGAGGGCGTGGCTTTATTCTTTTGCATTGTGGTATTATTTGGCTGCAGTTACCACTGGGTGGGGATCAAGAGCCGCATATTCTGAGCCCACTGTGTTCTGCCAGGATCCCTGGTGCTGGAGCCAGCACTGGGCGGGTGGGAGGGAGGAGCGCTTTCTTCTGCATGTTCTCAGGGTTTTCTCTCTTTGCCCTTGCTGTCTGCTCTCCTGGGGTGTTGACTTGATGAAGTCACCCCCTGCAATAGGTTTCACCCTGATGGGGGCTTTCCTCGAGGCTGGGAGGAACCTTGGGGATCTTTGATGTCCCGTGAATGGGTGCCCTCTCCCCCTTCCCTCCCTCCTGGAGGCCATGCACAATCCCCAAATTGCAGTCTTTTGGGGAGTGAGTAATGCTTTCTCTTACCCTGTTCCACCTTCTCCACAGGTAACTCCAGCACCTCCGCCTTCCGACATATGGTTGCATGGGTCTCTCAGACGTCTTTTGTATTGCAAGGATGTCCTCTGTTGGAATATGAATGTCTTTTTCATTATATTGTGGAGAGAGGAGTTCACTGGGAGAGCTCACTCTGCCATGATGCTGACATCACTCTAAAAATGTTTTTTTTTAATATGAGGAGGTGATGATTAAGAGTACAGACTTTGAAATCAGATGGAACAGAGTATAAATGCTGGCTATACCATTGTATGGCTATTTCACTTATGGGTAAAGTTACTTAACTTCTCTGTGCCTCAGTTTCCCCATTTGTTGTGAGAATTAAATGAGATAATACTATGTGAACTATTTAGCACATAGGAAGCACTCAACAAATGAGAGACTTAAAAAAAAATTATTTGAAGACCATTCTTCAATTGCTTAAATTGAGAGTGTAGATCTGCGTTCTTATGATACTCCTTTGTAGGTTTCCATGTCTCACAGACCAAAAATTAGCAGCCCTCTAAAAGATAAGGCATTTACTTCTTATGTGAGCTTTCCCATGTCTGGAATCTTATGCTTCACATATGTTCTTTATTTGCAGTGTTTTCTAAAGCTCAAAGGCAAGTCTCTCACATTTACTCAAGCAAATGACGTCTGTCACTCCTATGGTGGCACCCTTCCTTCAGTGTTGAGCCAGAGAGAACAAGGTAGCAGAACTGTTTTGGAAACGTGTTTTATTCTGATTTGGGGCCAAGTTAGTTTTGGGAGGCCGTGGGGAATTAACATATAAAAATAATCTTATTAAACTACTTTTTTACAGAGTAGGTAAAAGACTATATTCTGATAGTTAAATAAGCAAGAGATATTCATTGACATTTTTAGTATATCTTTAATTTGAATAAGTCAAATACTTTCTAAAAAAATGTCTTTCCAACAGATTTTATTACATCCTTGCTTCCGGGTATGGAAGCTACTTTATGGATTGGTTTGCGCTGGACTGCCTATGAAAGGATGAGCAAATGGACAGATGACAGAGAGCTGACATATGGTAACTTTCACCCATTATTGGTTGGTCGGAGGCTGAGAATACCAAAAGATGTAAGTTTTTTTAAATCAGTAATCTATGTAGCTCTGTGAAATACCTGAGTCTTTCATAAATTATTTGATTAAGAACAAGGGCCTATTAGGGCTGGCCCAGTGGTGGAGTAGTTAAGTTCAGTGTGCTCCACTTTGGCAGCCTGGGTTTATGGGTTCAGATCCTGGGCACAAACCTACACCACTTATCAAGCCATGCTGTGCCAGCGACCCACTTACAAAATAGAGGACGATGGGCACAGATGTTAGCTCAGGGCCAATCTTCCTCAAGCAAAAATAAGAAGATTGGCAACAGGTGTTAGCTCAGGGCCAATCTTCCTCACAAACAAAAAAAAAAACAGGAGCCTATTTTATGAGTCCATTTATATGAAACATCCAGAACAGGCAAATCTATAGAGATGGAAAGTCGATTAGTTGTTGCCAAAGACTAAGGAGGATGGAAGGATTGGAGGTGATGGCTAAATGACATGGGGTTTTCTTTTTGAGTAGTGAAAATGTCCTAATATTGATGGGGAGTGATGGTTGCACAACTCCATGAATATACTAAAAACTATGGAATGAGTGCTTTAACTGGGTGAGTTCTACTGTATATAAATTATACCTCAATAAAGCTGTCACAGGAAGAAGAACAGTTAGAACGGGAGCTCCACAGCCACAGGTGGATGCCCTAGTTTTCATACTAGCATCAGATTCCGTAGCACTTATTTCACAACCATGTAAAACCATCAAGTAGTGAGTTGGAAATAGAGGCAAATAGAAATGCTTTACTTAACATTTTGGGATTTGGGGCTGTCAACCTCAGTCTCCTGAGAAAAAGAGTACAAAATTGGTGATTAGTGATCATTTTTCCCCAAGAGCTAAATGTAAAGAAGCTATAGAAGGGAAGAAGGCACCATATTAGCAATAACTATCTATCCCAGGATACTGCTGCCCATTCCTTCTGTCCTCCCTATTTGCCAGATACAAACCACGTTTTTCACAAAGGGCAGAGATTAAGCAATTAACTTTTATGCCAAATTCCAAAAATATGTCCTAGACAGCAATCAGCTGATGTTCCTGATGCAATGTAACTTTGTTCAAGGTTGACATTGGTGGCAAAGGGAACTCTGAATCACGTGTAGCTATGTACAAAGTAAATGGCCAGCCCTAGTGGTCTAGTGGTTAAGATTTGGCGCTCTCACTGCTGCAGCCCGGGTTCATTTCCTGGTCCAGGAACCACACCGCCCATCTGTCGGTTGTGGTACTGTGGCAGCTACATGTTGTTGTAATGCTGAAAGCTATGCCGCTGGTATTTCACGTAAAAGCAGGGTCACCCATGGTGGACCATAGTAGACAGACAGCAGAGCTTCCAGACTAAGACAGACTAGGAAGAAGGACCTGGCCAACCACTTCTGAAAAAATTGGCTGTGAAAACCTTGTGGATAGCAGCAGAGCATTGTCTGATAGAGCGCTGGAAGATGAAAGGATGGCATACGGAGATAGAGCAGGGTTACACTCTGCTATACACAGGGTCACTAGGGGTCTGAGTCGACTCCATGGCACTAACAGCAAACAAAGTAGCTATCAAAATAATGTTTGGATATTATAGAAAACTTGAAAGTTATAGAAAAGTAAATACAGTAAAGAAAAATATCGACTCTTATCCTGCTTACACTTAGGCTGGTAGTTTTTAAACTTTTAACCATAACCCATAGTAAGAAATACATTTAAATCACCACCGAGCACATAGATATAAATAGAATATTGAATTGAAACAAAAGTTTCAGGAAAGAGTACTTACCCTTAGAGCTCAAGCACACTGATAGTTCTTTCTATTCTGTTCCACTCTAGTCTAGTCTAGTTTCTGTGTCCTATCCTGTCCTATCCATTTCATTATCACAAACGTGAGTCAAGATCCACTTAATTGATTTCATGACCTACTAAATGAGTCTCAAACCATATTTGAACCCTGATCTAGGAAAGCACAATGAGTATTTCAGTGTTTTTTTCTTGTAGGGCTTTTCTATACAGCATCTTCTTGACATAGATAAGATCATAGTATATGTACACTGTTGTATTCTACTTTTCTTAGTTTTATAAGTAGTTTCTTATGCCATTAAAAGATGAAGCTGATAAGCATTGTAATGGTTGCACAATATTTCTTAATAGATACCCCATCATTTACCTAAACAATGCTTCATATTTAGGTTGCTTCCAGTTTTGTGTAATCCTAAACAGTGCTTTAATCTTTGCTTATACTTCAAGTAACCTCCTTAAGATAGATTTTGGAAGTCATATAGCCAGATCAAAAGATATAAGTAGTTACAAAGCTCTGGTCGCCAAATTACTTTCCAGAAAGATTTATGAGTTTGTATTTTTGTCAGCAATTTATTGTGATTGCCCTTCTGTCCAGACTAGTATATTAATAATTTCTAACATTTGTTGAGCAACTAGTATGTGTCGATCAGTCTACCAATGCATCACATGCATTATTTCATTTAATCTGCACAAAAGATGTAAAAAAGTCTGTTACTCCTCCCCTATCTTAAAAATGTGGAGACATAGACAGTCGTATAACTTGCCAGCAGTCACACAGCCTATGTGTGCAGAGTAGACATTTAAATCCAGGTCCAAGAGGCTGCAGAGGCACCATTCTTAGCTTCTCTACTACATTGCTTCTGAAGTGCATTATCTTTTTAAGATTCTTGCTAATTTGGTAGTTTAAATGATATCATATTTTCATTTATATTTCTCTGATTTCTAGTGAAAACAAATTTCTGTAAATTCAATAATAATATGAATTTCATCAAGTGTGAATGTTGTTATTCTTTTCCAATTTATCAAAGCCTTAATGTATTTCTTATTGATTTTATGGTTATGTAAATATTAATATGCTGGCCTGTGTTTCTTACAAATATTTCTGTAGGTGTTTTCTTTAGGTCTGAATACCAAAACAATTACAGAAATAAGTTTTGATTTTTTTTGTTGTGTGTTCAAATGTGTTTATTTCCTTTTTTTCCTCCATTGATTTTAGGTTAGAAAGTCTACCATGTAAATGTTAGTTAAATGTATGCCTATATTTTCTTCGTTTTGTTTTATAGGTTGCCTTTTTTTTTTCTGACAGCATGATACATCTATGGTATAGGTGTATGTTATCAATAAATACTGAATCCTTTTCCCTAATCCTAGCCAATTGTCTACCGTCATTTATTTCATATGCACTTTCATTTGTTAAAAGCAATATAGGATGCCTCCTTCATCATATATGAAGTGTGTGTGTGTGTATGAGGTATACTCTTATACAGCTATTAGACTGATGTAAATATTATAACTTTGCCATGTTTTAAAAAATATAATAAGATTAGTTATCCTTTATTATATGCCTTTCAAAAACTACTTTTAGCTATTCTTGTCCATGCTTCCAGACACACTAGAATTATTTAGTCAATTTCCAGCTAAAACAATTTAATAAAAAACTTCTGATGAGAATTTGACAACAATCTAGGGAGAACTGGCATCTTTTTATTAATTTTCCAATTCAGGAATATGATATATAATACATCTCTCCATGTATTCAAGTCTTCCCTTAGAGCCCTCAGTGAAGTTTTTATAGGAGTTTTCTTTCTTGTCGTCATTGAGAATGGCAGCTTTTTCTTGATTTTCCTTTTCTTTTCTTTTTTTTTTTCTTGGTGAGGAAGACTGGCCCTGAGCTAACATCTGCTGCCAATCTTCCTCTTTTTGCTTGAGGAAGGTTGGCCCTAAGCTAACATCTGTGCCAGTCTTCTTCTATTTTATGTGGGATGCTGCCACAGCATGGCTTGATGATCGCTGCTAGACCTGTGCCTGGAATCCAAACCAGTGAACCCTGGGCCACCAAAGCAGAGCTCAGGAACTTAACCACTGCACCACCAGGCCAGCCCCTTGATTTTTTTTACTGATATGTAGGAAAGTGATTGGGGATTTTTATATATTTATTTCATAGGCATCTGTCTTACTAAAAGCTCTTATTTCTTCTCAAAGTTTTTCACTAAATTTTCTTGGGTTTCCTAATGAGATAGTCATAATTTGCAAATACCAGTTCATGCTTTATTACATATGGTGGGACTTCCAGGACCGTAGTCAATACCAGGAGTAATCAATACCATTCTAGACTTGATCTGGACTTTAATGGGACTGTCTCCAGCCTTTCATTGTTATATATGATGTTGACTCTTTAAGATATATCATTCTATAACTAGCTTATTTAGAATTTTTATTCAGGAATAAGTACTGGATTTCCTAAAACTTGTTTCCAGCATGTATTGAAATTGTCGTTTAGTTTTTCCCATTAGGCCTATTGATATATGGTATCATACATTAATAAGTGGTATATTAAACTGTCTTTATCTTCTTGTCATAAAATCTAGCTGCTCAGAGTAGATTATTATTTTACTGTTCTACTGAGTTAGATTGTTAGAATTTTGTTTGGGAATGTTTTCATCTCTGTTCTTGAGAGTTAAATTTTTATGCCATATTGTCAGGTTTTTTTTCTGATCATGTCAGCTTCATAAGATGAACTGGGTAACTTTCTGCCTTTGTGTTGTGAAATTATGACTCAGCCTGGGGAATCATCTTTCCCTAAAGACAGGGAGTTTGAAGGAACTACCTGCAAACCATGTGATGTTAGAACCCTTTTCAGAGATGATTTTTTAATAATACAGGGATTTGGTGCATAGCTGAGGGCCTAAACTCTAGGGTCAGGCTGTCTGGGTTTGAATTCCATTCAGCCATTCAGTGTGCCTTTGGAAGTTCACTTAACTTTGCTTAAGCCTCAATTTTTCGTCTGTAATTTCTGATGCTTTTGTACCTGCAATACAATGTGGGGATTACATAAGATAATTCATTTAAAGCTTTTAGCACAGTACCTGACCTATAGTTTTAAAAATGAGATATTATTAATTTCAATTTTCTGTAAAGTTACTGGTACATTTTGGTGTTTCCACTTCTCCTTATAGCAGTTATGTTAATTTGTATTTTGCAAGAAAGTTGTCTGTTTCATTTAGATTTTCAAATGTATTAGAATAAATTTGTGTATGCTATTATCTTCTTAAATCTCCCTATCTTATTTCAGTTGTTTTTACCTTTTTCTTATTTAGATTTTTACAAACACTGCTCTATGTTATTGCTTTCTCCTCCCTCTTCTCCAACCTCTACTCCTATTGCTTGAGACATATCTACAAATACTACTATATTTTTCTATCCTGTTCTTCTTGGAGTTATATTTTTGCTGATTTTCTCATCTCCTACATTGAATTCTTAGTTCATCTTTCTTTAAAAAACAGAATACATTTAATAATACACATTTGCCTCCACATAAAGTTTTACTCATATCCCTTATAATAGTTCTCTTATTATTCTGTCCTGTAATTATTTTATTTTGTTTTTACTTTAATGTTTATTGAGTAGTGAATGTGTGTGTGTTTTAATTTGTAGCTCCTAGGATAAGCTTACTTTTCTTATTTTTCTAAGTGTGCTTTGTTTCAAACATACAGAAAAGTATAGGGACAATATACTTTGATAAATTTTCATGTCTAGTATTATTGATTTGTGGTCAGAGAATGAAATCTAGATAGATACTTTTATTTATGGAAGTTTTTATAGTGACTAGTATAGGATCAAAGCTTTAAGGTGAGTTCTCTGTTGGGTGGTACACAGTTTGTCATTATAAAAAGTTTATGAACATCTAATAAGTTGAATTAATAATCAACCTAAATATCAAGAATGATAGCAGTGTATTAAATATTGCTATAATTGTGTTTTCATCTTATTTCTAACAGTTTTTCTTTATCTGTTTTGAAGATATATTATCAATATGGTGACTATTTTGTTTTATAATTTCTATAGTTAATTGCCCTTTTTCCATGCTTTGAAAGTTTATGAGGGTTTTCTTAATGATTTCATGGTCAGCTCCTTAATGGAAGTTTCTTACAGGGGGAAAATCCAATTTGGAATATAAAGTTCTCTTGCTAGGATCTTCAGACTTTTCCTTTCCCGATTGCTTGTGCATATTTGCCTTTCTCTTTAGATTTTTGAAGAAGATTTCCCCTACTACTGTGCTCTCATGCTCAATCTCCAAAAGTCTCCTTATACTGGGACGTGGAATTTTACTTCCTGCAGTGAACACCACACTCTGGCTCTCTGTCAGAAATATTCAGGTATGGATTATTATCTAGATAACTATGCTACTTTGCGCTGTTGATGTGTACAATACTTTTTCACAAAAATCTTAGAAGCGAATTAATGTTAATTTATAATCATATTGCTTCCTTGAAATTTCAGTGTGGCTAAATCCATATTGGCTCAGTAAGTCACATTATGTCAAGTGGAATGTGATTTTTTTCAAATTTCATTGCCATACTTAAGTAAATATCGAAGTTACTATCAGATGGGATTTCTTAATCGGAGTTGTCTAAGGTAGTAAGTTACGGTTGAATTTTCTTTTCCTTTCCACTCTGACATTTTTCAGGTTTTACTTTCTGCCATGGGAAAAGGAGGAGAGAAAACTTAATGTTTTTAATTGAGCCTGGTGTAAACGTTCACAGTTAAATTTAGAACTGAAAAAAAAAGAACATGAAGCTTTAGTAAAGGATTACTGTCTATGCCTTCCTGTAATCCAAATAAAAATAAAGTGTGTACTTAAAAAGAGGAATCATCAACTTTCCAAAAAGATATTTTTAAAGGGTATTAAATTTGGGCTGGCCCTGTGGCATGGTGGTTAAGTTCAGCCCACTCCACTTCAGCAGCCCAGGTTCGCAGGTTCAGATCCCAGGTGTGGACCTACACCACTTGACAGCCATGCTATGGCAGCATCCCATATACAAAATAGAGGAAGATTGGCTAGATGCTAGCTCAGGGCCAGTTTTCTTCAAGCAAAAAAAAGAGGAAGATTGGCAACGGATGTTAGCTCAGGGTGAAACTTCCTCAGCAAAAACAAAAACAAAAAAAGGTATTAAATTGTTTTCATTGATCACAGTAAGTTTCTAACAAATGATTTTTTGTTGAAAAAACAACTTTGTCATGTAATGAGGAACCTCAAGTGATAATCCATGTACTTCTGAACTTGTTTTTGCTAAATTAATCTTTACTCATTTGTCTCATACTTTTTAGTAACTACCTTATTCAGAGAAGTTCTATAAAGCAATAATTCAAATATATCCTCTTTTGGGTGGTTTTGTACATTTTTTCATGGGAGCGCTCCCAGATGAAAACTTTGTAGGAGAATACATAACACCTTCCTGTGTTGAAACAGTTCAAACAAATGAGGTATTTGACACCAATCTGAAATAGTAATCCTATGGCAACTTCCTTTTTTTTTATAGCTTTTCTCCTTCCTGAAACATATCCGCTAAAACAGAATTTTGTTCTAATTTTAGAAAACAAATGTTGTGGCTCACACATATTACCTAAGGTGTTAGCAAGACATACCTAGTTCTCCCACGCCAAATCTAAAATAAATGAATAGATAAGTAATAGCTAAAATACAGTATTATGGGGAGAAGTTTGAAAAAATGTCCCGTGACTTGCAGAGTCAGTGGTTTTTGTGGGCTTTTTTTCTTTTACACACAGAAATTGAAGACAGACAGACCATACAGAATACTTCAGAAACTGTGAAATATCTAGATAATCTGTACAAAATAATCCTGAAGACTATGACCTGGTCCGATGCTCTAAGGGAGTGTCAGAAAGATAACATGCGCCTGGTGAGCATCACAGACCCTTACCAGCAGGCGTTCCTAACTGTGCAGGCGGTCCGTCATAACTCTTCTTTATGGATTGGACTCTCCAGTCAAGACGTAAGTTTTCCGTCCCAACTGCCAGGATTGGGTGATGGAATGTGACATTTTTTATTTCTCACCGCCTCTCTCATATCAGACTAAAAGAAACCAGAGATCGTAAAATCTTACTCTAGTGAATGAATTTCGTGAAATATGTAATTTTTAGTGGCAGTCATCTTTCCACTATTGAAAGATCTGGTGCTTTATTGTTTAGATTAAGAAAAAGCTCTAGTGGACATTTGAAGCTGAGCACTTCTTTTTATTTATTCCAATCAAAGACTGTGCTGGAATCAGGAGCTGCCATGTCTCCTTAGCCAGTGAAAAGAAGAGAGGAAGGGAAGAATTAAAAAATCAGAAGAGGCTGGGTGTGTGGAAGCACTGTGGGTGGTGTTGAAGAGTCTTTCTTATCCCTTTCAGAATCAGCAGAGTGAAATTCAGCCAGTCTAAAAAGGGATTTGAATCGTGTTTCACCACTTCTTAAGCGCTGATCCTGGATAGATGTCTTGGGTACTTCTTATTCATTTCGCAGCCCAGCAAAGAATGCTAGTCTCCTGTTAATCCCAGCACTAAACTACGTACATGTAGCACAAACAGGAATATTTATGCTACTGAACCTTTTGGCTATAATTAATAGGGAATGTTTTTAATAAAGCTGTGGTGTTCCTCTCAGCATTTTTATCTCTTTTCTAGGCCTTGTATGTAATAATTTGATACTCTGCCCACTGAGAGGTATTGGAGGGTAAGACAGCGGGCTGGTGTATAAGGTTGCACACATCATGCACCACATAGGGGGTGCCGTTTACAAAGATTGTGATGGGAACTTTGCTCCCTGCATCTGTGCAAGGCATGACTGCTGAAGCCCTGGTTAGATAAACGTCACCTAGACCAGTATTCCTAATCCACTCTCAGAGAGAGAGCAATTGGCAGAGTGGAAGAGAAGAGTCCATTGCATTATGAAGCAAATCTAAGTTACGTATACCTTAGGATAACCCTCAATATATCAAGATGGTTTGAGGGCTGCCTGGAGAAAATGTGATTAAAGACAGTTTAGTTCTAGCACAAACCCAGGAGGAAAAAACTTAAAATAGATTTAGAGGTAAACATTATCTTTGACAAACTTTGGATTCATTACTACCAGCATTTGCCAGAAGCTCAACTGAAAGTAGTATTTAGGGGGCCGGCCCCACGGCCAAGTGATTAAGTTCACATGCTCCGCTTCAGCAGCTTGGGGTTCACCAGTTTGGATCCTGGCCGCGTACCTATGCACAGCTCATCAGGCCATGTTGTGGCGGCATCCCACATAGAAGAACTAGAATGACTTACAACTAGGATATATAACTACGTACTGGGACTTTGGGGAGGAAAAAAAAAGAAGGAAGATTGGCAACAGATGTTAGCTCAGGGTCAATCTTCCTTACCACCCCCGCCAAAAAAAGCATATCTTTTCCAAAAACAAAAAGTAGCATTTAGAAATTGCTTGAAGAATAGTTTCTCCAGGACTCTCAGTATTTTAAAATGTACCCTCAGGTCAAGCCACATCATCAGCTTCAACTGCTTCCCCAAACCTCCCAGTATCTATTCTTTCATAGCATTGCTTTTACGTACTTTCTCTTTGGTGTTTGGTATTATGTGAAACCCATCATTGTGTCTCTTGTGAGGGTGGTAATAAGTTATTACATTTCCTAATTTCAGTCATCTTAAACCTTTTGAAACAAAAGCAATATTGTCAATGTAGGAAATTTGTACAGTTATAGTAAATTAAAAGAAGGAAATTAAAATCACCTGCCTAGCGATAAATTTGGATTAATAATTTGGTAAATATCCTTCAAGTTATTTTTCTCTGTACACATTTATTTTTAAGACAAATCAGATCTTACTGTTTTGCAACTTCCCTCCCCCAACTTAATGATTTTGCTCTTGTTTCTTATCCTGTATTCAATCTTCACCTATTTTTTTTTCCTTTCACTCTTTATTTTAACATATTCTACATAGCTGTTTATCATGCATTTTCATAAGCTACCTTAAATCTTTGGAACATAGCAGGGTATAAATAAATGAAACTTTACATTGAAAGTGATTGAAGGTATTGAAAGATTGTAAACATGATAGTAACAATATTGGATTTTTACTTCAGAAAAATTATACTGGGCAGAAGCTGGAGGAGGAAGTGAGCCATCTAGAGATAGGAAACCAGTTAGAGTCTTGTAGAAGTTCATGCAGGAAATGATGTTGGCCTGAACAAAGGCGTGTTTACAAGGTCTGCAGTGCAGCAGTCCTGGGTTATGGCAAGGCCAGAGTATGGCGGTAGCAGCGGGTCACTCAAGTACATACAAGTGAAAGTACTTAGAAGTAGAAGAAGTCAAGAAAGTTGGGAACTGGGTGAGTCATCCACATGAACATAGACATCCCTAAGTCAGTGGTAGGACCAGGACAGAGCAAGGCACAGGGCATCTCCTCAGTTAACGTCATGGACAGGCAAGAGGGCCGGGTCCTCCATGAATGTCAGAGAGAGGCAAGGAATCTGGGAGTTTGCTGCTATCAGAAGGGTGTAAACCTCAGAGGAAATGACTGAGGGAGAGAAAAATACCTACTACCCCATTCTCATAGCCCTGTGGTATCTGAGGATGGAAAAGCAAACAGCCTTCTTTGTGGGTGCTGAAAGGAAATTATTCCCTTGGAAAAGACAGGTTTTAATTAAGATCAATTAAGGTCAAGAATTTAGTAAAAAGATGCTTATAGTCTTAATAAAGAGATTTCGTATTCAGCAAAGAGAGAGAGGGTGTGGGATGATTTACCTACCAGGAATAGAAGTTCCAGAGGCCCAGGGACCTGGGTTAGTTGCGAATGCGGCAAAGGGTAATACGCTGAGAGTACAGGCAACATCACATGGCCAAAGGGCCACATTTGAGGCCATGTGTGGCTTAGGGATTAACTGGCCACAAGGTTACAACTGGAACTCTAGTGGAGAACAGTTCAGAATGAAACAGTTGGTGGTGTTGAGACTTGATGATTCTGCTGTTTGTAGTTCACTAAGAAGACTGTGTGTGGCCTTTGCCCAATATTCCACATAAACCAGTGATGCAAAATTGCCTTGAGCCTCAGGAAAGCTAGTTCAGTGGGTCAAAGTGTAAGGCCTGATGCTCTGGCAGCACCATGGGTAAGTTCAGACAGGCCTGTGCCCTGCAACCCATCTCCTAGACTTCTCTACCTAGCCTGTGAAGCCTCTATCAAGACAGGTGGGTGGTCAGGCCCTTATTAGGATGTAGAGATAGATGTTCACAGACTTCTAGCACACAACAGAATATAGTGAATGAGGAAACTTCTCCCCAAAGACAAGTGTGAAAACAGTGGTGTGAGAGCCACAAGGCCTGAGGGGTTAAGAGGAAGGGAGCTAACATTTATGTAGCTCTTGTGTACCAGCCAGCTGCTGAGTTATGTATTTTACCCCATTGATTCCAGTCCCATGAGGTTAAGGGTCATATCCATTTAATAGATGAGAGGATGGAAAGTTGGCGAGGTAAACTCACAATCAAAAACTAATAAGTGACTGAGCCAGAATTCAAAACTAGGTATCAGGGCCTGCCCAGTGGTGTAGTGGTTAAGTTCGTGCGTTCCACTTCAGCAGCCCAGGGTTTGCTGGTTCGGATCCCAGGTACAGACCTACACACCACTCATCAAGCCATGCTGTGACAGCAGCCCACATACAAAATGGAGGAATATTGGCAACAGATGTTAGCTCAGGGCCAATCAGCCTCACCAAAAAAAAACAAACAAAACTGGATGTAGTTAGCTTTGAAACCCAGGTTTTTTCCACTACGACATGTTGCCTCTAACTTAATCAGTGCTTACAGTGATCCTTACTCCATTCCAGCTTTCTGATTTCCAACAAACAATGGTTCCGAATATGTGTGAGGCGTTGTAGCATAATGATTCATACCATGGACTCTAGGGCCTGATGGCTTGGGTTAGAACCCCAGTACTGCAGTTTATATTGTATGACTTTGCACACGTTACATGCCTTCAGTGTCCTCATCTGTAAAATGGATATAATAATAATAACACCTATCTCCTATGGTTGTTGTGAGGATTAAATAAGTTAATACTTGTAAAGCACTTGGAACAGTGCTTGGCACATAGTAAGTGCTGCGTAAGTGTGTGTTAAATATAAGATAAAATTAAAAGTCATTAGATTGACCATGAGGGTCAAAATAATACCAAAGGGATAGCATGAAGTATTATCACTTGAAATGTACTTCTGCTCTTTACAGGATGAGCTCAACTTTCGGTGGTCGGATGGGAGACAGCTTCAATTTAGTCGCTGGGCTGAAAACAACATGCAACTTGAAGACTGTGTAATATTAGATACTGATGGATTCTGGAAAACATATGACTGCTATGATCAGCAACCGGGTGCTATCTGCTACTATCCAGGAAGTATGCTAAGTTCAAATAGTTTAATTCTTAAATTACTATCAGTCTCACGAATAGCGGAATTTTGGGGTAGTGGTTTTGTAAAATCTAGTTTTGAAATTGTAAGGGAATTATAATCATGTCCTTTTTACCACAAAATTTGTTGTGAAATTTGTATTCAAGTAGAATTATTATATGTTAAATATTTTGCCATTAATTTATTTTAGACATGTTTTATCTTTACTTTTTGTCAGCTGACAATGGTAAATGACCTTTTAGTTTTAAGTCCCTGTTAGCCTCATTTTGCATATATTTTATGTTTATATTCTGATAGAAAACTTATATTTGTGGGAATTCTTTTATAATTCTTATCATTGACAACTAACATTTCTTTCATGAGTCACTGTTAAGATTCATTTGGTTGTAAGTGACAGTAACCAGCTCAAGCCAGCAAAAGGGGAAGTTAGATCCTCAAAAATGGGGATGGAGCTGAGCCTCCTGAGGAAGGGGGATCAGGAACGCAGAGATACTGTTTTCCACCTGCGCTCTCTTTCTCCCTGTGGATCTGCACTCTTCTCTTTACATACATTGTGCTTCTCTCTGCTCGCGGTGAAACATGGCGGCTCTGCAGGTTCCAGTTATGACATAACTGGAGCTGAATTGACTGCCTCTGAATTCCATCTTTCAAATTCTTACAGAGAATCTGATGGACTTAGCTTGAGTCGGGTATGCAATCTCTAACCCAGTTAGAGGAAAGTGGTTTTACAGCTGCCAGGGGCCCACGTTTGTGGGTTTGTGGTAGAAACAAGACACCACTTCACAGAAAAAGGGAGTTGCTGTGAGCTGAGAGAGGTGCTGAATGAGTCTACTACATGTTAAATCAGTTTGACTGGCTTTAAGTAGAGCGTATCTATATTTGCATTGTCTTGAATGTATGGCCTTTTCATAAAACTTTAAAAAAAGCCGTATTTAGATTTTCTAGATATCAGATTTTAAACTATTTCTGTTTGCTTTGATTAAAGCAATAACTTATTTAGAACATCAAGTATTTCACTACAATGTTCCTTTAAAATTAGAGAAGATATCAGTAACCAGAAACTTGAAAATGACTTCTCAAAGTTACAGTTAAGTGCCTATTATTATTATGTTGTATAGAGGCGGCCCCTTGTATTTGAAGTTTGGTGATACAGGGAGACAGAAACTGCATTTAACCTAATAGCACCTTGTTTTTTACATTCTTCCACTCACTCCACAGCAGGGGAAGAAAATTGTGTTAGCTAATTTCCTTCCTACAGAAAGCAAGTTAAGAGGTCACATTTGAGTATAAACAGAGCAAGCATCAACAGGCTATTATTTCTTGGCTTCCTGAAAATTTTGTACAAATCAAGTCTAATTACCATGAACAGAATTTAATGTTTATAACTGAAATTAGAATTCTTACCATTAATTCTTTTCCTAGATGAGACTGAAAAAGAGGTCAAACCAGTTAGCAACGTTCAATGTCCATCTCCTGTTCTAAACACTCCTTGGATACCATTTCAGAACTGTTGCTACAATTTCATGATAACAAAGGATAGATACACAGCAAGAACACAAGACGAATCTCATTCTAAATGCCAGAAACTGAGTAAGTATATTATATGGCCATTATATATTGCATTATACTTATTAAAAAACAAATCTCACCTGAGTGTGTTATAAATATTCCTAATTAGCACTAGTAATTAGATCTCAAAGGAGTCATCTCCTAGTTTCTCCATTATCAAGGACAAAGGATTAAAATTTGCATTTCATTAAAATGGAAAGTACAGGAGTTACCTCTTTCTTCACTCAGCTATTAGAGAGCTAGTCTGTCTTCACGTGTATAAACAAGATAGGTTCTACTTAAAAAGGAAAAGAAATGACCCTAGAGAGCAGAGACCTGTAATGTTAAATCAAGCTAGGCTGTGGGAAAAGTGAAGATAGGTCAAAAGCTTAGATAAGCCACAAAGAAGCAGCTCTGTTTAGAAGAAATAAATATTTCACACTTTCAGCTCTCAAGACTCTTCAGATATTTCCTATGAGATCCACTGAGAATTTGCGTGTTCTAAACAATGGACCTATGAACTTGGTGGAAATTCCTATGGAAAATATCCAACCATTATTCCCCAAAGTGTGATCTGGAGAACTCTAGTCTTGAGATGTTCTGCAAAAAAGGATCCTTAGAAAAGAACGAAGTTGACAAACACTGCACACCTTTGCCTCCTGTTAGACACTATCAAATGTACATTAGCATATACTTTAAGAAATATTGGCATCAATAAACTAGTTTAACTTTGTTTAACCAGTGTTTGCAAAGTTTTTATCCAGGTAGCCCTTTTCTGAGGACTCCTGTTAATTTCCTGAGGAACACACTTTGAGAATTAGTAAACTTTTTTAACCCTAAAGTAAGAGTGACCTCTAAGAAAAAGGAAGATCTATCTTATAGCCTATCCAAGAGGTTTTATTCATTGTAGTCTTTGACAGTGTATCATTAATATAAGTGGATTTGTATCAGCTCAAAATAAGTTTTAAATGGGGAAAAGTGAAGTGAACCAATGTTTTAAATTCTCTACTCAGCTGCTAGTTTTCCACTATTCTTTAAGACCAAATTTGGCATCAAAATGTTTGAAAACTTCTTAACCTATTCATTTCAGTACAAGGTAGTTTTAAATTACGTCTTTCTTATTTTTCACTATTGTTTAAGTTTTGGAGTATATTAAACTGGGAAATAAAATTTTCTAAATCCATCAAACAAAATAAAGTGTTCTATATAAGTAATTATAAAAATTATTGACTATTTTTTATTTAACAGATCCAAAATCACATATTCTGAGTATTCGAGATGAAAAAGAGAATGACTTCGTTCTTGAGCAGCTTCTGCACTTCAAGGATATGGCTTCATGGGTCGTGTTAGGTGTAACTTATGAAAGTAAGTTGTAAATCTGCTGATTTTCTCTGTTTATATTCAAACTTCATTATAAACCACTTGTTTATGAAGCTACAGAAGTATAGTTATTCAAAGTATATGTTTATCCATAGACAAAATTATGATTATGTACTTAGTATAACTTATATAAAGCCCTAGACAGTTTTGAGTCTCTGCTCTGCCATTAAAATGCGTTTACCACCAAGCTTATAGTTAAATGGTAGGAAATAATTTCCTTTCTCCACTCTCCCTCCTAGCAATTCAAAACTAACTAAAAATGACCAAACTCCCATATAAATCTCCAATACTTTATATCTCACTGTGTCTGTGGGATGAGAGAGAACAGAATTACATTTATACTAATGTTGCACCCTTGGGTTTATAGCATTGGCTTGAGGTATACGTTAGAAAAATGAGACACATAATCTGACAGTAGGATGGAATATTTGAACTTGAGACTAAATACCACAAGTCCAAGATATAATTTCTATGGAAATTTTTAAAACACAGACTCTAATAATAGAAGAAACAAGACCAATTTAGAAAAATACTCAATTAGCGACGTCCTGAAAATCACAGAAGTTTTGGAATTAGGTAAAAGACAATCACTCTGCGGGCATAAAGGATCAAAAGCATACATTTACCCAAAAAAGGGCTTATAAGGGGCACAAGACAATGATAGCCAGAGGTAGGGGAGGAAAAGATGCTAAATTACTCAATCTGACCATTTTAAAAATAGCCTTCTCTTTGCTATCTAACCTGTCTCTTTTTTAGAGTTGCTAAGGTTTTTCTTAAATGTTTATGGCTTGCAAATAGGTTAATGAAAATTAAGCTATCAAGTAATAGATAAGACTTGGGTTGCCAATTGAAGATGAGTTCATTGTAGTAGGACTTAGTTGCCCAAGTCTTTTCTCCAATGACTCTTGAATACCCTTAAATTTAGAAATGGGAAAAAAAAAATGGAGAGAAACGAGGTAGAAAGTTCCCAGACTGTACCTGAAAATGACTTGAGGAAACAGTGGTCCCATATGGAGCAGTGGAGATCACATCCAGGATATAGATAGAGGTTTCAGTTGTACCCTCTGATGTACTTTGTTAGTTATATTATCAGAAATCATTGAAAACGTATTCTGTATTCTGAAAAGCATTTTCAGGTCCGTAGACTTCCTTTTAATCATCTTAACTTCTTTCATAAAATGTATGAGTAGTAAAATTTCTATTAAAATATGTAGATATAGGAGCGACATATAGAAAGATGTTTCAAGCAAATACGAGATTTGGTTTAAAATTAATTCTCACTGGCTTAATTTACATCCATAGGCTTTTTTTTTAATTACTTCAGTAACTTAAATAATGTTTAATTGTATATACTACCTATATAAAGGATTTTGCTTTTTTAAAAGTTCTGACTTTTCAAAAGTAGGACCATGAATTGAAATTACTAAGTGAAGCCATATGTTAACTAAAAGACACTTCAACCCAGGTGAAAAAGTGACCCTTTCGTATAGCAACTTTAGAAATATACCCATTTCTAAGATCGCCCATTGTATTAGCCAGAAAATTGTAACTTTAACGTTTGGGGAGAGGGAAAGAGGGACTGGGAGACATGAGGTGACATAAAGGAGCAAGCCAAAACCAAATCGTGTGTCCAGTATTTCTAGTGTGTTGGTGCTGCAGGCAGATGTGTAGGCATAATGCCCTGGGAGATAGTAATCAATGAAAGGTAGACATAACCAGGACTACAAGGGATATGTGTGGGTGATAATGATATCATTCTTCATACTAATTCATAATTTTAATTGGCCTGGCTTTTTTAAATTTGTTTTCCCAAAAACTTTAATAAGATATATTCATATACCATACAATTCAGCCATTTAAGGTGTACAATTTAATGGCTTTTAATATAGTCACACAGTTGTGAAACTATTACTACTCCCGAAAGAAATACCATACTCATTAGCAGTATCTCCTCATTCTCTTCCCTCTCCCAACCCTCAGCAACTACCCATCTATCTTCTTTCTCTATAAATTGCCTGTTCTAGACATTTCATATAAATGAGATCATACAATTTGTGAGTTTTTTGTGACTGGCTTATTCCACTTAGCATAAGGGTTTCAAGGTTTATGCATGTAGCTCTGTAGCATGTATCAGTATATCATTCTTCTTTATGGCTGAATAATATTCCATTATATGGATATACCATAATTTATTTATCCATTCATCTGTTCATGGACATTTAAGTTGTTTTCACTTTTTTGGTTTTATGAATAATGCTGCTATGAACATTCATGTGCAAGTTTTTATGTGGATATATGTTTTCATGTCTCTTGCATATATACCCAGGAGTAGAATTGCTGGTTCTTTTCTTTAGCCCTTTGCAGAACTGCCAGACTGTTTTCCAAAGCTGCCGTACCATTTTCCATTGAGGTTTCCAATTCCTCCGTATCTACACCATCACTTATTTTTATCTTTTTGATTATAGCCATCTGAGTGGGTATGAAGTGGTATCTCATCGAGGTTTTTATTTCATTTCCTGATGATTAATACATTTCGTGTGCTTATTGGCTATTTGTATATCAACTTTGGGGACATCTCTATTCAGATCCTTGGCTTGTTTTTTAATTGTCTTTTTTATTATTGAGTTGTAAGCATTCTTTGTATATTCTGGATATAAGTCCCTTGTGAAATAAGTGATTTGCAAATATTTTCTCCCATCACTTTCTTGATAGTATAATTTGTAGCAGAAAACTTTCAGTTTTGATAAAGTCCAATTTATCTATTTTTTCCTTTATCACCTGTGCGTATCTAAGAGGGCTTTGCCTACCCCAGGGTCATAAAGACATACTCTTATGTTGTCTTCTAAGAGTTTTGTAGTTTTAGCTCTTACAGTTAGGTCTGTGATCTGTTTTGATTTAATTTTGTGTATGATGAAAGGAAAGAGTCCAACTTCATGTTTTTTGTATGTATCCTGTTATCACAGGAACTATTCTTTCCCCATTGAATTGTCTTGGCACCCTTTTTAAAAATCAGTTGACATAAATATGCACAACTGTGCATGGCTTAGGTCTAGAGAAGAGATTTCTATCACTAGTTTTATATATTAATTACTTTTTATAGAATAGTTATGTTCATTTCCATTTCAATTAAACATATATATAGGAGAAATGAATATTTGATGAAAAAATAACAAAATATAAAGTTATAGCAGGATGGTGGAATTATAAGTAAATTTCAGTTTTCATTTTTATAATTTGTACTTTCCAAATTAAAAGTAAGCATGATTTAATGTTATAATCAATAAATATTTTAGAGGGATACACATAATCATACAACCTTTTAGAAGAAAATTAGTTGAGTTTGAAATAGTAACCTCATAACTGTAATTCAAGTTTTGATTTAATCTCTAAGCATAGAAAAATATGTTTCTTCTCTAGATGGTTCTCTCATGTGGTCTGATAAGACCAAGCTGTCATATACACACTGGAGAGAGGGAAGACCAGATATAAAAAATGGCAAGTTTTTTGCTGGCTTGAATACTGATGGCTTCTGGGATATTCAGACTTTTAAAGTTATTGAAGAAATACTTTATTTTCAACAGCGCAGCATTCTTGCTTGTAAAATTGAAATGGGTAAGTATGCTAATGTAGAGTTTCCACTCTGGGGAAAGAGACTATAAAGCCGTTAGCTTCACTCGTGGGAATCATGCAGTTGTCTTTTGAGTGCCCCCTCTGCATTCAGTCCTATGAGATGTGCTGCAAAGGTTAGGGAGGAAGGACAAGATATGGTCTCTGGTGTCATGGCCTTGATCCCAAGGAGTGAAATGCATTTGAGGAGCCAACATTAAATTATTTATCATTGCTTTATGTAGGTTAGTCTTATGTTATTTGGTACAGGCTTAAATTTGGAGGAAGTCAAGAGATCAATGAAAACAGGAATAATGAAAACAAAGAATGCATTGAGAGGAGATAAAACTTGGTCAAGCCTTAAAGGATGGCTAAGATTCTTATAAATAAGAAAATGTTTTTGGGTAGAGTTTTGACATTCTAGGCTAAAAATGAATGTCTCTCAACTTTGCCTAATTCCTTAAATAAATCTAATTTTAAACATATGTCAGTTTTAAATTTTGCACAGCTTAAAAATTGTTATTACAGCCCCTCTGCTCTAAGCCCTCTGCTAGCCCGGAGCCTGTCACAGTCACATCCAGGCTGATCTCCTGCCTTCACTGTGCTGCAGAGTAACTTCCTGCAGCGGCGTTTCCGTCAGCAATCTCCAGGGAGTCCCTATTATCAGTTCCTCTGAGTCCATGTAAGCTTTGAGACTCTTTAGAAACCAGGGTCTATTCTAAAATTCTAGGCTTTCTCCCAGCCCCCGTTTTTTCCTATTCTTAGCTCAGTAAAGATCTTTTTCTGTCAGACTGATCTCAATTGTCCCATCTACAGTATATGCCCATCCTCATCTGCACCTTTTTTTATGTTTTTTTCCTGCCAAGAAGTCTGCTACCTTCTTTCTTTTTTTTTTTTTACATTTTTAATAAACTTTTCATTTTAGAATAGTTTTAGATTTACAGAAAAATTGTAAAGATAGGACAGAGAGTTCTCATATACACCGTAACCAGTTTCCCCTATTGTTGACATCTTACATTAAGGTAGTACATTTGTCACAACTAATAAACCAATATTGATAGATTATTATTAACTAAAGTCCGTACATGATTCAGATTTCCTTAGTTTTTACTTAATATTCTTTTTCCGTTCAGGATTCCATCCGGGTACCACATTACATTTAGTCATCATGTCACCTTAGGTTCCTCTTGGCTGTGATAGTTTCTCAGACTTTTCTTGCTTTTGATGACCTAAACAGTTTTGAGGAGCACTGGTCATGTATTTTGTAGTATGTCCCTCAATTTGGGTTCGCTAATGTTTTTCTCATTAAACTGGGGTTTGAGGTGTAGGGGAAAACCACAGACGTAAAGTGTCATTCTCGTCACATGATATGAAGGGTATATGCTGTCAACATGACTTATCACGGTGGATTTTGACTTGGTATTGTTTCTCATCTTTCTCCACCGCAAAGTCACTCTTTTTTCCCCCTTTCTGTACTGTACTCTTTGAAGGGAAGTCACTATCCTCGGTCTGCACTTACGGAGTGGAGAGTTACTCTCAACCTCCCCGAGCAGAGAGTATCTATGTACATATTTGGAATTCTACTGCCCAGGAGATTTGTCTATTCTCCCTCATTCTTAAATTTATTCAGCCGTTCATTTATATCAGTATGAGCTCATGGTTATTTGTTCTATACTTTGGGTTGTAATCTAAGATACTGCATTATTTAACATTTTGCTCACATTGTTGCAGCTTTGGCCATTGGGAGCTCTTTCACTGGGCTGCTGTGTCCCTTTGAAATACCCTCATGGTTGTGGTTTTGTTGTTTGCTTTTGTTTTTAGCTTACTTTCTGCTTACCTTATTTCTTTTTAGTCCTAAATTCACCTACCTAATCTCTGGAGACCTAGTTTATCAACAGGCTTTCTGACTCCCTTAACAGATGAATCTCTCCTTCTCTAGTTACTCACATGTATTCTAGTGGTTCATTGTTTTGACCTCATTTCAGGTGTTGTTTTCTGTCCCCAACTACTATGTGAGCTCCTTAAATGAAAGACAATGTTTGTGCCCTTTTTTAATCAGCCAGACAACTGTAATGTTTAAGAGCCTATTATATGTGCCATGGCAATAAGAAAAATAAAGTATGCATTTGACCTCCCTTATTAATAAGAAACCCAGTTTATTTAACTTTTAAAATGATTGCATTCCAGTCTTACCCAAAATATGTATTCTAAATAATTTAAATTTAATAACTAACACTTTTAATTTAAATATTATAGTTGAATACAAGGAAGAATATAATACTACTCTGCCACAGTTTATCCCATATGAAGATGGTATTTACAATGTTATTCAAAAAAAGATGACATGGTATGAAGCATTAAACACCTGTTCCCAGAGTGGAGGTCATTTGGCAAGTGTTCATGACCAAAATGGCCAGCTCTTTCTGGAAGATATCGTAAAGCGTGATGGATTTCCACTATGGGTTGGCCTCTCAAGTCATGATGTAAGTCTTGTTTTGTTTTCCAGAAACTTTCCAAATATGTTAGAGGATTGGAAATTTGAGCATAAAATATTAATTCAAAGTCTAATATCAGATTAATCCCGGGACTCAATTTGCGTAGCATAGTGCTTTCTTATCTTTTCACAGCATAGAACAAATAGAAAATTATATTTGTAGAGTGCACTTGGGCCAATGGATGGTACTGCAGCTACTCTAGACACTGCCAGGCCATCCCAAGGGCCCAGCAGATAAATATCTCAACAACACCTCTATAACCTATTTGAGGCAGACCAACTGGAAAGCTGGTGAAAAGGAAATAGCACAGAATCAGAAAAACCTGAGTTCTAGTACTACTGCTGGGCCTTCCATTCACATATTGGGTGATCGTGAGCAAGTTATCTAACCTTTGCAGTCTCATTTCCTCATCTGTAAAATGGGGATGATAATATTTTCCTTAATATAGGATGATAGTCAAAATTAACAAAAATTTATGTAAAATGCCAAGTAAAATTCTTAATGTTAGGACTAAAAGAACGTATATTTTCTTCCCACGTTCCCCCTAGAAATTAGCACTATTTGAGAATAATCTTTTGCTGGTAAACTTGTCTTTGTGCCACTCTTTGAGTCCTATTAATTAGTATATTCATCTACCTGTAATAGTGTTTAATATACAGAAAATAGACATCTATTGAGATTAGAATTGAAGGCCTAATTTTAATAATCTTTAGAACAAAGTGGGGAAGATAAAAGAAAGGATGGAAAATTAGGATTATAAAATCAAGGAAAAATCAAAAATAATCTTCCCATATGACCTTCTTAATAAATATTTTCCTCTTCCAGCTCTTTGCTGCTTGATGGCTTCTGTAATGTGAAAAAATGTAGCCAGAGACACAAACCACAAAACTATAAAATATAAAAAACAATATTCAGAATAATATGAAGGTTGGGATCATAAATCTGTAATTGTGACAAATGGAAGCCATTTGCACATCATTTAATTTCAAGTGTTATATAAACTCATCCTTTAAAAAAAATAAATCTAGAGACAAGGTACAGTAACTCTGTCTCTAAATTTAAAGTCCTACTTACATCGTGCCAGAGCGATGTCTCAAATCAAGGCATCAAAAGTAAATCCCTGATTTTACAAGTAGGTCCGGACCCACAACACTTGTAAGCAAGTAATTAACACTCCATTCCAATATTTCATAAAGTATGCATGTTCTTAATGTTCTTTTTGAAGTCACACATCTGGATTCAGGTTATCTCTATTATTGTTAAAACAGGGAAGTGAATCAAGTTTTGAATGGTCTGATGGCAGTGCATTTGACTACATCCCATGGAAAGAGAAAAAATCTGCTGGAAATTGTGTTATCTTGGATCCAAATGGAATTTGGAAACATGAAAAATGCAACTCTGTTACAGATGGTGCTATTTGTTATAAACCTAAGAAATGTAAGGCTTGATTTTGAATAACTATATATTTACTAAAATATGACACTTTGTTTTATGTACATGATAAATATGCAAAGGAATTTTAATAGATTTTTAAATAAGGTTTACTCAAAAGTCCTGTAAAAATAATTTTATACATTGTGAAGATAAACAAATTTGATATACCCATTCAGAGAACTTGTTCCCAAACACTTTCAGTTGTTCTATCACTGGGTAAGTTTACTCTAGATTTTTGAATTTTAATTTCACTTAGCAATGTTTTTCAAAAGCTGAGATGCTCCTTTTAAAAAAGGATTCCACAGCATAAATATTGGAAATACCTCAGGTGATTTACCATATTGATGGCTCTGAGAGTGTCTATAGTGAACAAGTCTATGTAACTTGGTGTAACTAAGCATTTTCCAAACTTACATGATCCTTAAAATTTAAAGAAAGAGCCCCTTCCATCAGAGGCTGGACTTGCGCTCATCCTCGGTGGGCGGAGCGTGAACCCTGGGGAAGAGCACAAGAAGCTGGGCTCCCAGGAGCTGCAGAGGCTGCTTGGGCAGGCCAGGAGATGGTAGCGGCCTTGGTCACTGAAGCTCTGGTTCTCAGTGCTTGCCATGTTTTCTGCTCTGAAGAATCCTCAAGGGGCCGGCCCCGTGGCCAAGTGGTTAAGTTCACGGGCTCCACTTCAGCAGCCCAGGGTTTTGCTGGTTCGGATCCTAGGCGCAGACATGGCACTACTTGTCAGGCCACGCTGAGGTGGCGTCCCTCCTGCCACAACGAGAAGGACCCACAACTAAAATATACAATTATGTACTGGGGGGATTTGGGGAGGAAAAGCAGGAAAAAAAAAAAAGAATCCTCAAGAGAAGATTCAACATTTAGCATCGAACAGACTCAGGCAGAAGAAAATGTGAAAACCTTATCTAGAGAAATGAGTGAATACAAGAAAGGGAGAATGATATAAAGAATGAGAAATAAAGGTACAATCAAGAACTGACATCTCAGTTGTTAGATACAGAAAATAAATGTAATCTTCTGGAAAATCAATTGGAATACATGAGAAATATGACAAAGCATGCAGAAATGGAGAGGACGGCTGTGTTAGAGAAACAGACTTTACAGGATGGAGGAGAATGACAACATGATCACACACAAATTCAGCGCTGCATTGGGTTGAATAGTGTCCCCCAAAATTCATGTCCACTTAGAAGCTCAGGAGGTGAGCTTTGTAGGTGTAATTAGTTAAGAGGAGGTGATACAAGTATGGGCCTTAAATCCAATGACTGGTGTCCTTACAAGAAGAGAGACACAGTCAAACAGAGGAAGAAGGGCATTTGACCAGAGAGGCAGAGATTCCAGTGATGCAGCTACAAGCCAAGGATTGCCAGCATCACCAGAAGGTGAGAGACAGGCACGAAACAGATTCTTCTCAGAGCCTTCAGAAAGAACCAACTCTGCTGCCGTGTTTTCAGACTTCTGGCCTCCAGAACTGTGAGCAAATAAACGTCTGTTGTTTTAAGCCACCAAGTTTGTGGTAATTTATTATGGAAGCCCTGGGAAACTAAGATAAGAACAAACTTCAAAAGCTGGATCTTCAAAAAAAGAAAATAACAAATATTGGTGAGCATGGGGAGAAATTGGAACCCTATGTATTGCTTGTGGGAATATAAAGTGGTATGTAGCCACTGTGAAAAATGGTATGGTGATTCCTCAAAATGCCTAACATGGAATTATCATATGATCCAGCAATTCCACTTCTGGATGTAAACCCAAAAGAAGTGAAAGCAGGAACTCGAATAGATATTTGTACAACCATGTTCATAGCAGCATTCTTCACAATAATCAAAAGGTGGAAGCAATCAAAGTGTCTATTGACAAGTCAGAAGTCTGAAAACACGGCAGCAGAGTTGGTTCTTTCTGAAGGCTCTGAGAAGAATCTGTTTCGTGCCTGTCTCTCACCTTCTGGTGATGCTGGCAATCCTTGGCTTGTAGCTGCATCACTGGAATCTCTGCCTCTCTGGTCAAATGCCCTTCTTCCTCTGTTTGACTGTGTCTCTCTTCTTGTAAGGACACCAGTCATTGGATTTAAGGCCCATACTTGTATCACCTCCTCTTAACTGGATAAGCAAAATGGGGTATATGCTATGGAATATTATTCAGCCTTAAAAGAGGAAGGAAATTCTGACATGTAATATAAATGGATGAACCTTGAAGACATCATGTTAAGTGAAATGTCAGTCAAAAAGGACAAATACTGTATGATTCCACTTATATGAGGTACCTAGAGTACTCAAATTCATAGAGACAGAAAGTATCCTGGTGGTTGCTGGCTGGGGGAGAGAGCAGTGGGAAGTTACTATTTAATGAGTACAGAGTTTCAGTTTTGTAAGACAAAAAAGTTCTGGAGATGGATGGTGGTGACGGTTGCAGAATAATGTGAATGTACTTAATGCCACAGAAGTGTAAACTTAAAAATAGTTATGATGGTAAATTTTATGTTATGTGTATTTTACCACAATAAAAAAAAATTGAGCCTTCTTGAACAGGAATATAACAAACTTGGCCCTTGCAGAAAAAATGCAAGAGTTGGAAGCAAAACTCCATGAAGAACAGTAAAGAAAGAAAGTGTGTGCAAGCATAAGACAGCCCAGTTGCGGACTGAATTAGAAACAAATAGACTTTGAAGATAAGGCATTTCCATATATCCCAAATAGAAGATGAATTTTAAAAAAAAATCCCAGCCATTCAGAAAAGTCCAGCAGTCCTAGCCATGCACTGGTAGCCAATGTTCAACATATTTTGCATCTAATGAAGTAACACACTTCATTGCCTTGTGCAATGCTGGAGTAGTCAGCAGTATATTTTTGGCAAAGCAGCCATTTTCACAAGGTAGTAAAAGCAAGAACTTACTAGTAATGTCTCCCTCCACCAGCAGTATTAATGAATAGTTGTCACAAGTCTTACAGACTTTACAGATGAATTTGGAAAATGAGTTTTGATCATCAGCAAGGGGGAAACCTACCTAGGAGTTGTTACCTGTCAAACTGAAGGAACGCTTAGAGCTCAAACTATTAGCATTAGTGGGAAGAATGGGGGCAAAAGCCAATCAGACAACTAAAGTTCAAAAAAGATCAAGCCCAACTGGAGACAAAGAAGATAGAGAAGCAGAGAAGGAATTAAGAGCCATCACAAAGTCCCTGGGTGAAGAAGGAGACAGCAGCAGCCATTCTTCTGGAATCACAGGGACAACAAGTAAGAAGAAATCTACTAAACTGAGACATGGAGAAAAAAGCCGGAGAAGCCTTCTATTACTGAAGGATGTGCAGAACATACATGACGTGTACAAAGCAATAGTTTGGGATGAGGTTACGGACCATACCGGGTCAGAGTTTTGATTCAGATAATCTGTACCTCATCAATGGGATGTGGATAATTTACTTTCCGGTTGTTATACTCTCTTCTTTTAGAATTGATAGGTGTTAAGGGATACAGGCTTCTTGTGTTACACAGCACAATTAAAAATCAAACAGTTTAAATGGAACAGTTAAATTCCAGGGGAATTTTTAAGAGCTGAGAAGCCACACCCAGTCTTTTTTTGTTCGAGACAGATTCTGCTGTGCTGATATACTGCCCTTTGTAAACCAATTACCAAATTTTCACTTGTGGGTGTGGTTTTTAAACGTTCTTTATGTGGCAAGGTAAAACTAGGTTTATATAATCAAAATGAAAAAGGACTCTAGAGAAAGAAAGAATTTCAATTATTATTTCAAAGTAGTTACAGGCCTGCCCAGCCTGTCTTTGTTTCTTTTCCTATTCTGTCTTTCCAATTGTTTTTACTTTAGTCTAAATCCATCTTAGAGGGCTAAGTACTTTCCTCTATCCTCTTAGGTTTTAAAAATGGTATTCCAAAAAGCTCATTAGAATGTATACTCTTAGGATTGGGCTGTGGCTTTCTCTGGTGTGTGTATTGAGTTGAATGTTCTTACCTACAGGAACCAGTTTCAAAAAGGAACATTTAATGAGGTTTTAAAGCCAGTCATTTTTTCTGTGCATTTTTACAATTGTGTCTAACATTTTTATAGCTAAAGAGGCGTCCTCTCATACATCCTCATCAAGATGTCCAGCAGTAAAAGGGAATGCGTCACAGTGGATCCAGTACAGGGACCACTGTTATGCATCTGACCAGGCATTGCACAGTTTCTCAGAAGCCAAACAGTTTTGTTCAAAACTTGGTGAGTTAAAATTTGTTGATTTTCTTTGACTCAATAATTTAATCATTGGAATTTTTCTTAAGGAAGTAATTTGAAATAATGGTTATATCTTTGAAAATATTTTTGAGCACTCACTATTTATAATAACACTGTAACCTAATTGCCCAGTGGTGGGGAAATGGCTAAGATTTTATGATATATGAGCTCAATGGAATATTGGAATAGCCATTAAAAATGTTCAATGTAAGGGGCCAGCCCAGTGGTACAGCAGTTAAGTTTGCACATTCCGCTTTGGCGGCTTGGGGTTTGCTGGTTCAGATCCTGGGTGTGGACCTACCCACCACTTGTCAAGCCATGCTGTGGCAGGCATCCCACATATAAGTAGAGGAAGGTGGGCACGGATGTTAGCTCAGGGCCAGTCTTCCTCAAAAACAAAAAATGTTCAATGTAAGAATAAGTAAATGGAAAATAAAGGTATGTTGGAAGACATATGATAAAAAATTGCTGGGGGCTGGCCCCATGGCCTACTGGTTAAGTTCAGCACACTCCACTTCAGCAGCCTGTGTTCAGTTCCCAGGCATGGACCTACACTACTCGTTGGTGGCCTGCTGTGGTGGTGACCCACATACAAAATAGAGTAAGATGGGCACAGATGTTAGCTCAGGGTGAATCTTCCTCAAACAAAAAGAGGAAGATTGGCAACAGATGTTAGCTCAGGGCAAATCTTCCTCAGCAAAAAACAAGAAAAAAGAAAAGAAAAAATTGCTAAGTGAACTGTTATGTGAAAATAATGACAAATGAAACAGTTTTAAACATAGGTAGATATGCTTAGATGAAGAGATTAAAAGGTAAATTTTTGTAAAGTTGGTTAAGTAGTAAATACAAAATCGTATATTTTCCATTACTTAGTTATTAATATGTATGCTTAGCCTGACCAGGGTAACAAAATCAGAGAAGCATGGGTTGTTCATTCATTCTACGATAGCAATGGCCCACAGCCGCTGATCACCATAAGGAACAGAACTTTTCGTCTTCAGATTTATATATTTTAGAAAGAGCAGCAATGATTGACTCTCTCCCATGATAAATTTAGCCTTTAGTCAAACTGTGAAATGACTTCTAGGAAGACCACCTAGAGTATTTCAAAGACCTGCGTCCTTGGGTAGCAGTTTAGCCAGGCAGATGGCACTTATCTCATTTATTTTGCTAACTGTGTGGAGACACTAGACTGATTTAAAAATCTCCTTGTTACTGCTTGCTTACATGGTGGGAGCTTTTGTGTGGGAGCTGTTGTGTGTTATACATGTATATACATATACTCATGATGGGAACTACTGCGAGCTATACATAGATATGCTCTGAAAGTCAGAAGCCTTTTGCTCCTAAAGGAGAAAATAGAAGGGTTTCCTGTCATGATAGTGTTGGGGTTAAGCACTTAAGCCTTGGAGGCAGACAGGTCTGGGTTCAAATCCCAGCTGCTACACTTACAAGCGGAGTGATATTGTAGAAGTTACACAATTGTTTCTCTTTTCTCATCAGAACAGTGAGAATGAAAGGAGTCCTTACTTCAAAGGTTGAGTAAAGGTTGGGTTGTTGTAGGAATGAATGAAATGAGATAATGCATGCCAATATAGCACAGTGCCCTGCAGATAGTGAGCATTCAAAACTATTCTTATTACTAGAAAGACTGAGGTTGACTTGCTAATTCTCTACCTGGCTAGCTGTGTAAACCTGAACAATTTACTGAACCTCCTTGAGCCTCAGTTTCCTCATCTGTAAAATAGTGCTAATCCCTTCCTCCCCAGAGTTATGGAACATTAAACAAGGTAACACATTAACTACCTGCACCCTGTGGTGATCAATGAAGGAGTAAGGCTTTCCTTCGCCGTTCTGTAAATACCCTCCTCTGCGGAAGAAATGCGTTTAGTTCAAGTCTGGAGAAGCTTGTTGCCGTTGGAGACTATTCGATTCCATTGAGGATAGATTTCCCAGTCTAGTTATTATTTTATTTCTATCCCTTGCCTGATGCTGGTAATAACACTGTCTTCTCTGTGGGTTTGGGACGACCCACATGTGAATACGCAATTGAATACTCATTTATTCAATTCCATGCCATATTTAGGAACTTACAATGGGCATGACCAAGTACTCTTACGTATAAGATAATATTAAAAGGAAGGCTAATTCTCTCCCATATTGCAAGCCTATTTGCTTTTATTTTCATTTTAACAGTAGCAAATTTAAAGCTGAGGCATTATACAGAAATAGTTGTTGAAGAGAGAGTGCTTAAAATCTATCGGGGAGCCCGTATTTCCACCCTCACATACTCCGCTCCTTATGACTAGTTGTTCACTCACAGAGGTCTCATGGGATAGGCGGTTCCAAGATCAAAGATATCACTAGGTAAACATTTTGAAGAAACAGAATTTTTATGTACGAAGTTTCAATCTAGAAGTTATCAATGTTATACTTTTTAATGTGTGACATAAATACCAGATTTCAAAAACATTTCTGTGTCAAGTTTGAATTTCTCAATGATCTTGATCATGATAGGTTTTTTTCAAATGGCTGCTCGAAAATAAAACACTTCCCTAGTTTGCATAAAGCTGATTCATTTGGGGTTTGTTTTCCTTCAACAGATCATTCCGCAAATATTGTTACCATAGAAGATGAAGACGAGAATACCTTCGTGAGCAGACTGATGAGGGAAAATAATAATATTACCATGAGAGTTTGGCTTGGATTAGCTCAACATTCTGCTGGTAAGGGACATCCTGTGTGTACACTGTGGGAAGAGAGTTCTAACTTGTCCTAAATACCAAGGCAGCCTTTCTAAAGAATGTTGAGTGATGGCCAATTCAGATGCTTCTTGTTGATGAATAAGCTAGGTCTGCTAGCTCTTTGGGAGGCTTCTAATTCCTAATGAATAAGTGAGTGACTTATTAATAACGATGGAAACACTAATGAAATAAAAATCAAGTTAAATCAACTGGGATTGTTCTAGAGACTTAAGATGCTTGTATAAACAGGATATTTTTTTCTGCTGCAATAGTATCTGTATTTCCTGTGTCCCCACAAGGAAGCATCACTTACTTCCCTTAGAGTTCTAGTGTCTATCACCCTGTGTTTTTCAGGCTTATAACTCTGTTATTCAGAAAGTTCTCTTCTTGTCAGTCCCTTCCCTCTTGAAACATTTTTACCATAGAGCAAAATTAAGTCTTTATCGTGATTTTTTTTTTCCAAACTAGCTAAGTAAAATTGCAGGGAATTGATTCAAAAAGATTTGTGGAAGAATTTTTCAATACAGAATAATAGATATAAGGTTTGAGTGAACTTGGAATTGATAAAGAATGAATTAGTACAAATTTGAGAGAAGGACAGGAAGTCTTTATCATATTTTATGCAAAGTTGAATTCTAAATAATTAAAATAAATTTGAATTCCAAAATATTAAGTACTTGTCAAAAAGTGAATGGATTCAAAGTTGGCCGTCTAATTGAATTGTAAATTCTGTTCACACTGTCACCACAAGGTGGTGCTGCATCAGCTGTAAAACAAAAATGGAGTCATAGTGGGGAAGACCCTCCGGGATCCTTCCTCCCCACCAGTACATCTTTAATGATATGAGTTTTTTAATTGGAGGACGGGAGGGAGGCGGAGAGCAGCCCTTAGAAATATATCCCTCACACAATAAATGTGCAAGCATTCTGCACTTGAATCCAAATGCCACATTCTATATCAGCGCTAATGGAACTTTCTGCAAAGATGAAATTATTCTATATCTGCACTGACCAATGTAGTAGTCATTAGCCACATATGGCTATTGAGGATTTGAAATGTGACAAGTGCCACATGGATAAAGAGAACAGATTCGTGGTTACCAGAGGAGAAGGGTATTGGGGGGTGGGCAGAAGGGGAAAAGGGGCACATATATATGGTGACAGATAAAAATTAGACTACTGGTGGTGGACACGATGCAGTCTATACAGAAATTGATAAGTAATAAGGTATAGTCGGAATTACACAATGCTATAAACCTTTATGATTTCAATAAAATAACTGAAAATAAATGTGACAGGTGCAACTGATGTTTGTTTTTTTTCACTTTTAATACATTTCATTTTAAATAGTGGCATAGCACAAGTCTAAGTAAATGAGTTGTATGAGCTACATGCCTTTTTATCTTAGTAATTCAGTTGCAATAAACATAGCTGTACTTAATTTCTTTCTTTAGATCAGTCTTGGAATTGGTTAGATGGATCAAAAGTGACATTTGTCAAATGGGCAAATAAAAATAAGAGTGGTGTTGGAAAATGTAGCATTTTGTTAGCTTCAAATGAAACTTGGATAAAAGTTGAATGTTTGAATGGCTACGGAAGAGTTGTCTGCAAAGCTCCTCTGGGTAAGTGTGTAACCTGTCTTTAAGGAATGTTTTTCAGAACAGGTCAGGAAATAAATGTATGACTCAATTATATGCAGAGTTTTGTACTTGGTTCTAAAGTATTTAATCCTTAAAGTATATCAAAAAAATCTTGATTAAGTCATAGAGATTCTTTCCCTCAGAAAAATAGATTACAAAAGACAGTAAATGCGCAAGATGTCTAGGACTCCCAGAGGAAATTACTGAAGAGTCTAAACTTTGTGTAATTCTTTCCTAAGAAAAATGGAAGCTGCCAGAGTATTAGGGAGTTCGTTTCCTTGAAAATGTTCTTAAGGTATATTTTATTCTACAGTTTGAATATGTAAAAGCTCAAAGTCTAATTCCTCAGTTAGTTTGTTTCCTTTCTCCTCATTCCTGTAAAACTCATGATTAACCTCACAACAATGCAAAACTGGATTTAATTACTTAAAATGTCGTGGGTATCTGTAGGAAATCATAATTTGAACTTGTTTATCATTGTGAATTGATACATAAAATAACTGTACAAATCTTATCTTACATAACTTCATTTCTACAGAAAGAGCCTAAATTTTTCACAGCAACATTTTTAAAGATCAAGCATAAACATGGCCATTTCCATGTACAAATTTTAAAGATAAAACCCCAATTCTAGGTGATTGTTATCTATATAATCACACATTGATTCGGCAAATATTTAGTGTGTCTCCTATATGTCATGCCCTTTTCTGTGTGCTGGGGTGCACCTGTGAACAAGACAAATAAGATACTTTTCTCACAGAGCTTACAATCTAGTAGAGGAAGACAGATAATAAGTAACCAAGCAGGTCCATTTTTTAAAGCGAGGAAAATATCTAATAGTTATAAACTCTGTGTGATCGAGACTAGGGGGGTGGCTGCTCAAGACTGGGTTATCATGGAAGACATCTAAGAGCGGACACAATGAAGCTGAGATCTGAAAGGCCAGTTAAGCAAAGACTAGGGAAGAGGCACCCCAGGCAGAGGTACCAGTTGGATCAAAGAGCCTAAGGCCGCACGAGCTTGATGAGCACTCAGGAAGACCAGGAAGGTGTGCAGGTGCCAGACACCTAGGCTCTGGAAGCAAGGGTCAAGAGTTCGGCTTCTATTCTGAGTGGAATGGAAAGCAATTGGGAGATTTTTGGGGGTGAGTGGGAGCAGGGTCAAGGTGGTATGAACCAAGAGTTCTGTTTTGGCATTTTGAGCTATCCATGTGATGAGATATCCATAGGGAATGTCTAGTATGCTGCCAGACATACGAGAGAGAACGGAGGTCAGCATAGAGATGGGGCCATCTGGACAGCAGGCAGAGAAGGAGCCTGGGACAGCATTTGAAATTGAATAACTAGAAACTAAATGAGGTCATCCTAAAGGCCTAAAGCATTTTAAAGCAAATAATACTTTATTTGGCCCTAGATAAGTCAAACACAGAAATTTACAGCTTTTAGCAATTTGCTATCAAAGTAAGGTAATATGTTGAGAGTTGTATTCTCAAAAGGGTGATGGGAAGGGAAAGTGAGGATCATGATAGTGCTGTAATTTCTTTGAAAGAAAATTGCCCTAGCAGTGAAGAGGATTTGAACAAAAAGGAAAACAGTTAAATATGAAAAGAAAGCACTTACGTGTTGGATGGTGAGTTTGAATTCTGTGTTAATGCTATGGAACAGTCAGGAACTTATTGTATCTAATTTGTACAGGGTTTATGTACATGACACACAGCCTAAAGAAGAAAATCAATAGTGATCCCTTCTATATTCTCTCCCCAATGTCAATGCTCTCCCTCTTCCAGGCCCCGATTACAGAGCAGTGGCTATCACAGTTGCCGTGCTGAGCATTTTAGCTCTCATCAGTGGACTGATCTGGTTCCTCCTGCAGAAGAACCATTTGCACTGGGCTCGCTTCTCTTCAGTTCGATATGAACAAGGAGCGAATGAAGATGAGATTATGCTTCCTTCTTTCCAAGACTAAATTCTTCTGAAAGTTTGCTGATTTGCACTAAGGTGTTAGGAAAAGTGAGCCATTTAAAATTTTCCCAGTGTCAGTATTGACTCTGTTCCAAAGTAGAAGCCTTAAGGACACGTTCAGTTCTTATTGTTATTCTGGTATCCACAATGAATGCCCCTCGGAATGCCATGTGTATAACTCTGCTTAACAGAATGGAGAGGAAGCAAAGCTAGAAGAAAAGTCCAGTTGTTCGTAGGGTAGCAAATTTAACATGCATTGTCTCTGTAAGAATGTGGTTGGTAACTAGGATGTGTATATTTTAATGGCATTTTAACACAACTTCTTAGAAAATTAAAATTAGCATATTACTAGGTCACGCATCTACCTTTTAATTTTTAAGAACATCCAGCCAAATGCAAAATGAGTACCTCAAGGTAAAAGCTATGAATAATATCAGCATTGTTTTAAAACAGTCATTTGTAGCATTTGGGGTAAATTATTAAACAATGAGCCATGCTTATTTTTTACACAGCAAAATGATGCCTCTTGGCAAGATGCTTCTTATATTATTCCAAAGATATTTCATACCAAAATTATTTAAATGCAAATGTTTTGTTCTGTTCATAGTTATTTATAAAACAAAGGCTTTTTTTTTTAAGGCATGTTTTTTTTTTTCCTCCCCAAAGTCCCAGTACACAGTTGTATATCCTAGTAGTAAGTTGTTCTAGTTCTTCTATGTGGGACGCCACCACAGCATGGCTTGATGAGCAGTGTGTAGGTCCGCACCCAGGATCCAAACCCACAAACCCTGGGCTGCCAAAGCAGAGCACATGAACATAACCTCTATGCCACAGGGCTGGCCCCAAAACAATGGCTTTTAAAGAAGATTTGGTACTTAACATTTTCTAAAGTTTGGGAACATTATTTTTAGATTGAGTAGATACCCTGTAGCAGTGTGTTTTTTGTCTTGTGTACAACATATGACTATTTCCTTTTGAAAAGGAATCAGCTAAAGATGAGTTTTTGAAAATTTTACCATTTATATATTTTACATGGCATGTCAACTTTTGACTAAGAAGTTTTTATTACTTTATCTTTTTACATGAGCTAAAGACAGGAGGGATCTCTGTAGGAAATTGTGCATCTTGCTTAAGTAAAAATGAAAATTTTATAATGAAACTCTAGACCTTATGATTACTACTATAACATATAAAATTATGAATGATTAATGAAACTGTTTTGTGGTTATCACTTTAAATTTTACCACCTAAAAATATATTCTTAATAATAACTGGACATGGTGAATGTTTTATTCAGTGTTTAATTTATATTTGTACTTTAGAATATTTTTGTATAAAATTCAGAGATTTATTTTAAAGTTGAGTGTTTATACTATGATGAAGTTGTAAATAATTTTCTAAGACAGTTTTAGTGTAGTCTAAAAATATAGATGTCCTGAAATATTTTTTACTGAATTTGATAGACTAGTTTTCTTGTCCTGTGATCTAAACAATTCTAGTCATTAAGACTTTCTTCAAAGAACTAAACCAGCTTGAGGTGAAAAGTACAGCTACACAGATCTTCCTGGACTTACGATGGGGTTACATCCTGATAAACCTTAAGTTGAAAATGCGTTTAATACACCTGACCTGCCGAACATCATAGCTTAGCCTAACCTACCTTAAACATGCTCAGAACACTTACATTAGCCTACAGTTGTGCAGAATCATCTAACACAGAGCCTATTTTCTACTAAAATGTTGGATATCTCATGTAATTTATTGAACACCGCACTGAAAGTGACAGACAGAATGGTCGTGTGGGTGCAGAATGGCTGTAAGAGCAGCAGTCATTCACCCTCATGGGCACTTGGCTGACTGGGAGCTGTGCTCGCTGCCGCTGCCCGGTATCACTGGAGAGTATTGTACCGCATATCACTAGCCCAGGAAAAGATCAAAATTCCAAGTTTTAAGTCCGGTTTCTATTGAGCGCATATTGCTTTCGCACCATCATAACATAGAAAAACCATAAGCCGAAACATCGTAAGTCTGGGACCGTCTGTATATAGCAGTGATGTCATAATAAAGTTTTATTTTTCTAAGAAGAGTGTTGTTGATCCTTGCTGAAAAAAATATCTCTATATGGGGCTTTATTATGTTAGGCATATAGTATGACAAGAAATAAAGGGTCCAGCTATTGTAAAGTGAAACATCCTTAACATTTTGTGTGCATTTTTTAAAGAATAAATATAATTATTCCTATATCTCTGAACGTTTGATTTTAGTCTCTTTTCAGATTCCTTTGACTTAGCATGTCTTGTAACTATCGGATCAGCAGAGATTCCATCTATGGCCCACTTACTTCTCATTCTTTGTGCCCCCCTCAGGAGATCCTGTCCACCACCTTCCACCCCAAGGCCTTCATCAGCCACTTCTCAGTCAGTAGTTCAAATACCTAGTTCTGGGTTCATATTTCCAACTCCCATTGGACAATCTACGCAAAAGTCCTTCTCAACACAAACAGAACTGCCCATATTATGCTCCCCTCCCCATTTGCCCCTGTTCCAGTGTCTCAGAAGAACTGAAGACAGCCTTTGCCCATCTTCCTTAACTAACCCAACCCCCATATCTGGTCCGACATTATTGATCTTTCAAATCCAGGTACCTAAAAAAGCGAGCAAAAACACCTAACGATAGCATACAGGGGACAAATATAGAAGTGATACCAATGATCCTTCTTTTTTCCCCCCTTACCCCCTGCACAGCATGTTCCCCTCCCTGATCCTGGGACAAGATACTTGCATTATCTGGGAGTTCTCACCTGCAAATGGCTGCTGCAGTGTTGGTAACCCCCAATCCTGACCCTACTGCCAGGGCAAGTCAGAGATTCAGGTTTCTTTATCTTTGGTTCATTTAATCCTAAAACCCTCTTGGAGAAACAAAGACCTAATTAGTTATCAGTTCAACAGCTTTATCTTGCTTAAGAAGACAAATTTTAGCTAGATCTCAAAGACTTTTTTTTAAAAAGACCTCATGATCTAT